TCCATCTCCCTGAGTGTCACTCCAGTAACAATTTATAGCAAACTGAACGTCGTCTTTAACATCATATCCTTTACCTTTTTTCAAGGCGTGCCAATCCCAAAATTTATGCTTATGCCAAACCTGCTTGAGATGTACTTAAATCTATGTAGTGACTGTGCGCAGGTAAGTTTTCACCTGAAATCGTTTTACTTCCACCTGTTTCCTTTGAAGAGTTTGCACAATACAAAAAACCTGTCGACTATTTGAGTCCAAGTTCAAAACCCAGAACTGTTTCTGGTCTGGTAGAGTTCATTGACGTATAAATAGAGCCTATAGGATATAATGTTTGAAGCATTTCTGTCTTTAATGTTTGAAGCTCTGTTTTGTCTGCTTTCTTGTCATATAAATCTTGAGCAGTGAATTTAATATTATGTTCATCCTTCATGACATAAACATCTTTACATCTAATGTTTTTCTCATCGTCGTTATGTCGTCATCCGATGTTAAACCTTGTGGAAAGTTAGGAGGTTTACAATATAATACATCCCCACCAGTTTCTTCAACCGTTCCTTCAATACTTTCTATAGCAACAGTTGTAAAACTTGTATGTGTATGGTTCTTATCTGCTTTCTTCTCTAACTCATCGTTAACATAAGTTTTATCTGCTTTAAGGTCTAAACATCCTGAAAACCCATCCTGATCGGCTTTAACTTTAAAAGTCTTCGATGTCCATTCATGGTACCAGTCAACCCTTTCTATAATTTCTTTATCTTTTTCGTTAACATATTCCTTATCTGCTTTCTTCTCTAACGCACTAGCCATAAGTCCCTTATCTACCTTATTTTCAAGGCTAACGTTTAAGTCTGTTATTTCAGATATAGAATGTGTATGAGTTCTTCTTTTAGAATATTCGTTTTTCAGCTCTTGTCACTTCACTTGACATTTTATTGTCAACATATGTTTTGTCTGCTAGTTCAGGATGAGTAATGTTTCTTTTGTTGCATAAGCATTGTTAGCTCTTTCTTCTTCTTTTGCTATTGCATCGTCTACATATTCTTTGTCAGCTTTGTTGTCAACATCCGTTTTTCAAAAGAAGTTCATTTATAGGTTTCTCGTTTAAAGTTCCTTTTGTTGGATTTATACAGACAGTATTGTTCTTATTGTCTTGAAACAGAAACTCATCTGTCATTGGGTTTAATGTCAGTTTTAAGTTTCCTTCTTTCAATGACTCAGATATCTTAGAATAGTTTGAAAAGTTTGTTGTGTTCTTATTTAGAGCTTGCAAAATGAGTTGTCGGTTGTGTTGTATTTCTCTCATGGAAGCAATATCTTTCGACATTTTTATTCTAGATAAAATATGCTTCCAATAGAAAAAGAAAATTCAAGAGTTGCTACAACTAAACCATTAGATGAACTTTTTACTAATGTCGGTCAAAAGTTTGAGACAGAGACCGTAAAGCATGAAGGCTATCGTTTTGACTACCCATTAAGATGGCTAAGAGACCCATCTGTCACAAAAGCTATTGGCTTTCGTAGAATGAAGTTTGTGTCTGTAGAAGATAAAAGTTTTCCATTTATTGTAAGGTTTCATATAGATTATATATCTGAAGGGAAACGAAAAATGTGGGAAGAAATTGAGCTAATACAAGTTGACCTTTCATCTTCTCTACAGACTGCGTTAAAAAATATAGAAGATAAAATAAATTCATGTTATGCAAAATATGCTGATGAATATGCAAATACCGAGAGCACACTTTATGTGAGAATTGTATATGACAAACAAAATTCACAAGTGTCATTTCAAATCTACGAAGACAATCCAAAGAAAGACGAACAAATATATACAGAATTCACTGCAATGTCATGGTATTATTTGCAAAGAATGTTAAATCAGAAAGTCAAACTTCCTTTAGCAAATATTTACAGTCGATATGCAAGAGATGAACCATATTTATTTAAAGATGTTTTCGACCCAGCTGCTATTATTGTTCATGCTTCATTTTCTGGCGCCCAAAACTCTTTCTTATGCTTGGCAAATGACTTTTACGAAAAACCTACAAAGTTATACGAACCACCAAGTGGAAGTATTTCAGACTTTCAAGTATGGTTTACTACAGATGGAAGAAAGAGAATAATTCCATTATACCACGCGTTTTACTTAGAACTTAGTTTCATATACAACTACTATCGAACGGTAAAAATATAATTTTAATACGGTTGAGGTGTTGGATTTGGTTGCCAACTAGACTGTGGTGCAGGTTCAGGCTGTTGTATAACAGGAGCTTGTTCTTCTGGTTCAGGGTCTTTAGGTATAATACCAACGAACTGACCTACTCTTTTACCAATATTTTTGACACCGTTCCAAATTCCTCTTCCGACAGATTTTATTCCATTCCATATACCTCTTCCAACATTTCGAAAGAAGTTTCCTATTCTTCCAAAGAAACACATTTTACTATATGTAAAAATCTAATGTCCGCCTAGTCTCTTACGTTTCCTTCTGAGTTCCATAGCATTCTTTAACTGGAGCTCATACATTCTATTTCTCCTCTGGTAGAAAACATACTCTGGGTCAACTCCTGTGTTCGCGTCATCTGCATAGAGTTGTTTATATCCCACTTCAGGGTTTGTATAAAACTCTTTCCATCTCATATTTGCATACCATGGTGGCAAACCTAACGCAGCGTCATTTGACATGGCAGTTTGCATTTGTACATCTGTTGGCACTTGACCATAGTTTGCCATTGCAGTTTGTATTCTAACTTCATTTGGAATATTCTCTGGGTTTGGTTGTCCAGGTTGCTGTGCATTCGCTAAGTTCTGTGCGTCCATTTAATATTAGATAAAAATATCTCTTACGAGTACATATACTGAACATTTGCAGGCATTGGTTCATCTTCATATTCTCTGTACTTTTCTGCCACGTCAAATAAATAAATGACACAATGGAAAAAGCCTAAAACAAGTAGTCCTATTTCAAACCACATTTACTTACCAATAAAATTTCTTTGTTATGACACTTTCTCCAGTTTATAGGACCTCTCTCATATTCTATCTTATCGTATCTAAAATCATAGTCATGTATGTCCTCTAACCATCTCATGACACTTTCCAAACCACTTTTATCGGATGTAAAGTAAAAGCATGGATGGTTATGTAAAACGTCTAAAGTTTCTAAAGAGTCTCTCAAAGTCCAGTCTACTTGGTATTGAAAATCCCATGTGTTATAGAACGGCGGGTCCACTATAAAGAAAACATTTTCCTTGTCTTTATATTTTTCATACAAATCTGTCCAATGACATCTCACAAACTCTATACCCTCAATATATTTATCTATGTCCTCTTTGAAAACATTTGTATAGTTAAGATATAAAACTTTTGACATAAGTGTTTCAATGTCATGAACTCTTATAGCACCACTATATAATAGTCTAGCAGATATACTATCCCAGTCAATATACTCTGCTTTTTTCAAAACCTCTCTGACAGTATTTTTCTTATCTAATGGTATACGTTCCATCTTACCTATAGGTATCTTTTCTTTTAACTCTTTCAATATTTTGTTTGTGTCTGGTATATGTTTGAGACGGTTCATATAGTTGTCGAAGTCATTGCATATAATCTTTGAGTCAGGAAATACAGTATGGCACAAATGAGATATATAGAAACTTCCACCGAACAAATCTACAAATGTTAGACCATTCGGTAGTTTCTTAAGTTCTCTCAATAGAATATCTTTACATCTACTCTTATTTCCAAAGAACGGTAACGGTGGTTTTGTAAAATTCATTTATATATAATAATAAAAATGTTTTTACCCGAAAAGTGACAGAAAAGTGACAAAACATTTACGATGAAATCATGAGTTTTCTACCCTCTTGAATTTTCATGAAATTTACACCAAAAATATATTTTATGTTAGAATGTTAGATCTAACATGTTTTCTAACATGTTTTCTAACATCGTAGAAAACTCTTGAAAATCATGAAATTTACACCAAAAAATAATGTTTATGTTAGAATGTTAGATCTAACCTTCTACCCTAAATTATATTTTTGGGTCCTTTACGCTCATTACGAAGAAGTCTTGACAAAACATATACGATGAAGAAGTTTCGACAAAACATTTACGAAGAAATCATGAGTTTTCTACGATGTTAGAAAACATGTTAGAAAACGTGTTAGATCTAACATTCTAACATAAACATTATTTTTGGGTCATTTACGCTCATTACGAAGAAGTCTTGACAAAACATTTACGTTCATGTTTGACAAAACATTTACGAAGAAGTCTTGACAAAACATTTACGTTCATGTTTGACAAAACATTTACGAAGAAGTCTTGACAAAACATTTACGATGAAGTCTTGACAAAACATTTACGATGAAATCATGAGTTTTCTACGATGTTAGAAAACATGTTAGAAAACGTGTTAGATCTAACATTCTAACATAAACATTATTTTTGGGTCATTTACGCTCATTACGAAGAAGTCTTGACAAAACATTTACGAAGAAGTCTTGACAAAACATTTACGAAGAAGTCTTGACAAAACATTTACGATGAAGAAGTCTTGACAAAACATTTACGATGAAATCATGAGTTTTCTACGATGTTAGAAAACATGTTAGAAAACGTGTTAGATCTAACATTCTAACATAAACATTATTTTTGGGTCATTTACGCTCATTACGAAGAAGTCTTGACAAAACATTTACGATGAAGAAGTCTTGACAAAACATTTACGAAGAAGTCTTGACAAAACATTTACGATGAAGAAGTCTTGACAAAACATTTACGAAGAAGTCTTGACAAAACATTTACGATGAAGAAGTCTTGACAAAACATCCTCAGGGCTAGAAGGCACGAAGTGCCTGGAAGCCCCACTACCTTTTTTTTTTTTTTTTTTTTTTTTTTTTTTTGGTTGATAATTATTTATTATTATTTTCTATTCAAAAGATTTTTTTTTCCAAAACTGAGGAAGGAAAATTTTTTATACATGTCAAAAAAATAATAAAAGAATGGAAAGATTTTTAGCTTTAACTCATGATCCATCCAGTGGAACACCTCCTATTGAGGTTATTATTAATGAAATCAATGAGAATAAGAATGTTGTTTTCTATACAATGGGAAATTGGCTAAATTCAGCAAAAGGAATTAATCCGACTTACACATATGTATCTATTAGAGATATTGTTGACTTATCACCATTAAATCTAGAAAGATCTAAAGATCCAGAGCAATTAAATCCCTTACAATCGTTTAAATGGTTATATTTAATTTATTCACTTGTCAGCAGAAAAGTATCTGATGATGAAGAACTAGAAGAAGCAAAAATGAAATACATTTTCACATCAATCTTTGATTTTATCAAATCTGTTGATTTGAAAATAAATTTTGCAGCTGAATTTACATCAGCTGTAATTGTTTTAGCAGCAAGATTATTACAGAATAACAATGTTAAGATCGCTGAAATCATTAATGATCAAGTCTATCAACAGTTACTCGCGATTTTCAACTCTCAAATCGAAATCAGTACAAAGATTAAGTTAAACAGTTTTCCAAATCAAAATTTGTTATTATTCCTTTCTCCTTTACCCATTGAATTCTACGAAAAACATAATATTTTCAAAAATATTTCATTAATACTTAAATCAGCAGTTGTCAGACTCCTTTTACGCACAGTTAAACATGCATTCCCACAAATATGTCTTGATGACATGAAAATTTCGATCCAAACGCTTTGCTATGATAGTCCAATTTTAGATCAAGCCACACAGCTCTTAATTCACCTTTTCAAGGACAATTCCATCGAAGCATACAAATACAAAGATCAAATTCGTTACCAAACTCTTTCAAACAAGTTAATTTCTCATTCTGATACAACAAATTGTTTCAAGAAGCCAATAAACTACAAGATCGCTCTTGAATTATCCCAAGATCTCCTTGAAATCGAGAAAATTGCTCAAGAACATCCAGAAGTCTGGGAAGACTTTTTATCAGAAAATACCAAACTCCAAAACGCGTTGGAAGACATATTAATGAGCGACTACGATGATCAATTCATTGTTGCCGTGGTATCTTTGTTATGTTTAGGCCATGCAAAGGTCAAAAACATCGAATTAGTTTCAAAATTATTCTTTACAACAGGAATTCAAAGTGTTCGCAAGCAAATGAAGGATTTACTTCTTATTCAACCCGATGTATCAGCTTCCATCATCGCTAAACACTTCAAAGACGCTTCAAATCATGGATCTCAATCCGAAATTTTCTTTTCTTTAGTTACAGAATTAATTAAATTGATTTCTGATCCGAAAGACCTGATCAATTCACTTTTAGTGTCATTGAGAACCGAATACGACCTTCTTAAGCTTCATCCGAACATATATATCTATTCAGAACTCCAAAAATTCATTGACATTTCGAGTTCTTATTTGGATGAACAACCATGTGCTGTTTGTAACAACCCGGAGAGATTGCCAACACTAAGGAACTCTAAAGATATTGTTGACGGGTACAAATACACGCACGAAGATGTATTAATGAAGCTGAAACATCCTTTGATCATTTCCAGTTTCATTTTGAGTTACAACATCAAAAAACCGGAAAAATTCCCTCAAACAGTCAAAATTTTTGTTTGTTTGGAAAAGATATTGGACAACAATCAACTTCTTGAGATCAAAGAGTGGAGATTTATTTCGGAAATGAAGTTAAACAAAAACGAAAGAGCATCAAAATTGGATTTGACTCTTCCTGTAACTGCGACATGCGTAAAATTCCATTTTTGTGATATAAAAGAAGAACAAACACATATTATTTATTGTCCGGCATGTCACAGTGAAGTAGACCAGAGAACAGGAAGATGTCCGAACTGTCCAGAAAACGCATTTCACTGCAGAAAATGCAGAGAAATTGATGTTGTCCATCCAAACAGATTAATTTGCACTTCTTGTGGAAATTCAAACTTTTTGGAGTATTCAATTCAAATGAATTGTGTCAAAACATTCTCACACACGAGAATAAACTCTGATGAAGATATGGAACAGAGTTTGGAGATGATTGACAATTTGATGTCAAAAGTTCACAATACATTGAATACTTTACAAGAATACAAAGGAAAAATTGAGTTTTTGTTGAGTCCTACAAACGAAATCTCAGTGAACCAAAGGACATCGGAACTCAAAGTCATCTACAATGAGAAATGCAAGCGATCCTTCCAAGAATTGACTGAATTCGTGCAACACGTATCAGCAATCAGACAAAGTGTCTCAAAATACGTCGGTTTGACAAATTCATGCAATTGCGAATGCCCAGAAAACATGTGCTACAACTGCAAGCATATGTATATTACAAATGGTTTGTCTGTCATCGGAAAGTTCGCTGAGATTTCAACAACAGATGTTTCCGACGCCATGAAATTCTTGATTTCTTTCTGCGATGTGGAACAATTCTCAAGTTCTGCGATCAGTTCACTTCTGTCATTTTGTAAACTCAATGAGAATTTGACAGATAAAATTATCCAATTGTTTTTGGATAGTCTGCCAAATCCATCACCTCACCTGGCCAATTTACTTTTCCAAATTTTGGAAATTGATGATAAATTTAAATTAAGAAGATACAAAGCGGTTTCAAATGTTCTGATTGAAACAATGAAACATGTTGATAAAAATCCAGCACTTGTATCCATAGTTGTTCAACCTTTATCTCGTGCTTTGTTGAAATCAAATCTGTTGTTAAGAAATCGTGACGATTATTTGAAATTCAATATTTTGAATACTCTTTCAAACATGAAATTGCAAACCATTGACATTTTTGACAATTTCTCTGAAGATTTGATCAGAAGTTTATTGTTTAGTTACAATTCACAAGTCAGAAGTGATGTGTCAAATCTTTTATTTGACATTTCAACAATTTCTGACAAATACTTCAACAAAGTTTTTGATTTCATCAACCAGTCATTTTTGAATATCCAGAACTTAAAGAAGAAAGAGAACGACCAATGTTTGGATTTATTGTCGAAATTGAATGAATTTTCTCAAAAAACACATAATCATTCAATAAATTCGAAAATTATTGATAATTTAATTGACAAATTACTTAAAGAAACAGAGCAAACATATAGAGAAGAAAACTATTTGTCAATGGATCTTTCTGTTGGCTACAACATTAAATTAATAACAAACATCATTAAACCATTTATAACTAATGATGTTGATTTGTTATTTATTTGCGAAAAGAAATCTTATTTAATTGAAAAACTCGCAAAATCGTATTTCATTCTCAAATCTCTCATTTTGCAGAGATCTAAATATTTAGAAGATTCTTCAGAAATCATAAAATCAGCAATTCTTAAAATATTAAGTTGCAAATTTATGATAAATGAAGAGGAAAAATTCACAAAAATCAGTGAAAAGTCAGCAAGTTTGATTGTGAAATCATGTGCTGAATGTTTATCACAGATGAAGAAATCCCAGAAAATGATCATCAAAGAGATGAATGAGCTTTTATTCCCCAAGCACAAAGCGAAAGAATTCCAAATTGTTTTACAAAAAATTAGGACACAAGAAATATATATTCCTGGAAGAATTTCTTCAAATCCTTTCTCTAATTACACAATTGGTCCGAAAATGGTTGACGTCAAAAAGAAGATTTGCGCAGATTTGAACATGCCGGACTTGATGCAAGACCCGCATTCCATGGAATTGTTGGTGAATGGAAATATCATTTCTTTGGATTTGAATGTCGAAGATGTTTATATAAACGTTTGGGAACCGAGATCTCAAAACAAACCAATGCTTGTGATATTCAGATTACAAGGTTTGGATGGTGAAGCACAAGAACCAATGATTACATCATTCAGAAATAATCAGGGAAGTGAAGTGACAGACGATCAAATTCAGAAATTTGGATTTTCAAGGATTTTAGCAAAAAGTGACGATTTATTTGTTCCTTTCATCGATTCCATTGAAATTTCTCCAACAATTGCTTGCAATGTATTAACTGCTTTTTGCCAAATCCAAGAGAATGAAAAGAAGATCTTAGAATTCAATGTTATTGATAAACTGTTGGATTCTTTGAAGAAATTAACAGAAAAAAGTGAAAAATTAAATGACAAAGTCGCAGAAAAAATGATTCCTGTACTTGGTCTCGCAAATCTTCTGGTTAATTTCGATCATTCCAAATTGAATGATGACGATAAAATTGACAGCCACATTGAATTTATTTTGAAAGCTTTACAACTCGATATTGTCAAAAATTCTGTGCAGCTTCAATCCAATTTATTGTCATTATTACCTCATTTTGCCTGCAGAAGGAAATCACTGATGAAAACAGTTATGGAGTTCTTTATTGGCGGCCTGAGACCAAAGAATTCGACAGAGAAATTCAATTTCTACACGAATTGTTCAAATATTTATTTATTGAACAGTTTCAGTGAATTCGTGAATTCTCTTCCAAATAATGACGACGAAAACAATTTGAAGGGTTCGATTGGCCATTTCCTAACAGATGCAATAAATTACGTCGAAGAAAACTTTGACTTAAACGAGGGTCCGAAATCAAAACAATGGGAGAAATCAGTTACAAAAGAAACTCTTCCTGCAGCTCTCAAAACTTTGTCAGGAATGGCATTTTCTGACATCTTGCAACAGCACTTGCAGAAAGATGATTTTAAGTTTTTGAAATTGATTTTGCAGTTGAGAAATGTCGCATCTACAACTGATATTGGTGAAATCGCGGAACAAATCGTGAAGAACTTGAATTTAACACCGATTTCTGAAAAATTAAATTCATTGATTGAAGAAGAAAAGAATTTAATCAAACAGAAGTCGAACGAAGAAAGAGAAAAGCTTCTCAAGCAAAATGAACAGATGATGTCTAATAACAGTCAGCTCCAGAACCTCCTTTCAATGCTTGGAGATGAAGAAGACCAAATTTCTTGTTGCATTTGCAAAGACGGTTTTGACTTTTTGCTAGATGAACCTTTAGGAATTTACGGTTACTTCTCGAAGGAATCCAATTTGGCGACACATTTCGTTTTCGTCCACCAGAAATGCCACTACTCAGAACTCAAAACCCCAACACAAAGAATGAATGAATGGCAATCCGCAAGTGTCAGAAATGTCGAATCTCCATGCAATTGTATTTATCCAATTCCTTCTCCAAATGAAGTGATTTCCAACTATGCCAACAAGATCAATAAGTTCTACAGATCGGCAAGGAATATCACCAGCGATATCAACTACCATCTTGAGATCGTTTCGCAAGGAAAGTCCATCAATTTCAAGATGGGAGGTGGTTCTTTGGTAAATGATATCAAAGTTTTGCCACTTTTGTTTTACGGTTATTATTCGTTAATTGAGAGTTCAAAGCGCCAAATCATTTCCAAACTGAACTCAACAAACAGTTTAACCAAACAAGATGCTGTAGACTGTTTATTGCTGATGACAATTGAAGAGTGGCGACATTTCAGAGAAAAAATTTTGAAAGATCTTTTGTCAAATTTGGTCAAAGATGTTCCTGAGAGTGAAAGATTTGGAAAGATCAAATCAACTGTCATTTACTTCTTAATACTAAACGAAGCAAATGAAATGATTAAGAAGGAGACAGGAAGAAAACCAACAGAGAATGTTTTCATTGAAGGAAATCCTGATGATAAATGGATTAATGATTTCATTGAAAGAATCAACAATAATTTCAATGAAGTGCTGAGCGAATGGCAAGATTTGGCTGATAAAGTTCAGGATGAATTCTTGCAGATTGAGGATATCAATACTGCTTTGATTTTCGCAAATATGGAAGTAGAAAATCCAAATACTTGGTTGACAACATTATAATTTTTTTTTATTTTCTGAACAAATAAAAATTTGATTTTATATTTATTATTTAACAATTAGTCTTAGTTCCTTTTTGGTTTTGGATTTTAAAGGTTCATATAAGTCAATTTATTTTTAAATCGAAATGGAACTGAATTTGTTTGAGTTCCATCTGTAAGAATATTATTGACTAGGCTATTAAAGGAATATGGTCTGTAGTAATCATCGATATATGCCAAGTTTTATGAGATGAAAATATTTAATCGTACGATCACAGAAAGGTTCATTCATTATTGATAGACATGTAGTGCATGATGATTATTCATATGAGATAACCTTGAAATGGCAAATGAAAAAATATCAATTGCATTTCAAGGATCAGTTAGCGATACTTGTTGAGTTAACCATCAGCTTTTTAACGTACAAAATCATCTCAAAAACGTCTGAATTTCCATTCAATCGAGAAGTGCGCTCAAAGTGAGATGAGGACGATTATCTTCCCGCATTTTCGATGTAAACTATTCAAAATATAAAAATAATGCGGCGTCTAAATTGCGCCAAAAAAATAAATCATTTCATTTTACATCGGGGATGATTAACGACGATGACTTTTACTTTGACTTCGATGCGATCTCATCACCAATAGCCGCTCCCAACGAAGCATTGCCAACATCCATGGAGCTAAGTTATCCTTCATTCTTCGAAGACACAAACCAAGGCGAGAACGTTTTACCGCTTGAGGGTATGGATACATGGATGGACAAGAAACGAAAAGAGCCAATAGGCCGATCATACTCCACTCCAGAGATACAAAATGTATTTCCAATAATAAATGAAATTAAGTCATTTAACCAACGAAGCCCTATTACCCAAAAGCCACAAAAGAAGCAACCAATAGTATTCCAACCTTTCTCTTCATTCGATGCTGCTGAAATTACTGTTAAAGCATTGAAAGAACATGTTTATACTTCAAAATCTACTGATCTCTTTAAGTGGTAAGATTATCTGTTTGTTTATCTTAGAATTTAATTGTTTATTGTTTAATATTAAAATTAGTTAATTTGCGTAATTTATCTTATTTCATCAATTTGCAGACATATAAGATGATTGAAGATTTGCTAGTCTTATTATTTTCAATTACATTTTGACATTCAATTCTTGAAGTCCATTGATGGATACTGATATTGTTGATTTTAAAAGAATCCATCAAATTCTTTAAAAACTTAACCCGAATACATGATTCTAAATAAAAAATAAAATTCTTTATAAAAAGAAAAATATATGATAAGAATGAAGAAATATGCGTTTCACATCCGCAAATAAAGGTACTCTTTAATCTATAAGATACAAATTTTGAAAATAATACTGAAAAATTGTTAATAGAAAGAATCATCATTTGTTGAAGCTATAACATTAATTATTTTGCATAAAATTTAATAATCTGCACTGGATGTTCAGTTAAAGCTAAGTAAATAATCAAATATAAAAACAAAGATTACCCTAATCGTTTAAATATGTGGACTCCCATTTTGCTTTTAACTGGTGGCATTATTTCGTTTATTTGTAGAGCGCAAACTTTATTTCTGAATTCGGGTAATAAATTTGCACGAAGTAACCATCCTAAATTAGAATTTGTTCTTTTATCATATATATCCGAATATCTCTCTGCTAATTCTTCGAATTTTGAAGTGTTTTCCAATAGTTGCTTATGAATTACTTGTGCTAATGTCATAGCTTCATCTGCTGTACGCGTAATTTCTTTCCCTTCCCGATCTACTGTATTTACAGATTCTTTAAACTTGATAATAATGTGTTGAAGAAAATAGGATTTCCCTTCATTAGGAGGATGATGCCAAGTGCTAAATTTGGTATCTTTATTATAGTAATAACACAAACCTGGATAATCTTGGCATTCTCGGAGTTCCCACCCTGGACGAAGAGAAATCATAGTTGTGACATGTGATATGATAAATTCGGATTTTTCGTCTCACTTTCAGACAATAAACTTATTTAAAGGGGACAATAGTATTGAAAATTTAGTAATCATAGTGTTTTCTACACTATATATTAGTTTTACATTATTTTAATCCATAATTCTTCGGAAAAAAACATAATTAACAATTTTATTCATTAATTTGAATATTAATGATATTTTTCGAAACAAATCGTATTACTTTTAAGTATTGAATCTTACTATTTTAATCTTATGGAACATTTTATTGAAATCACCTATTTCTTACAAGCACAACTTGTAAAAAGTAATCAAATTAATAATACATTACAATTTAAAACAAAAAAATTACATAATTAATTTTCCATGTCGTAATCATCAACATCTGAAGTATTTGCAGAGCGAGGTTTCAAACGTCTTCTATGCTCATGGATCTTTTCATCAATCTTTTTAGCTCTTTTGATTCTGAAGTCACTAAAGCTTGCAAAATCTCTTTGAAGATTCGATTTCGGAGGAGATGCAATTCCAAGCAATTGTTTCTTGATCTCTCTGTGATTTAGAAGCAATTGCACCATGGATGTTAAAGTTGCTTCACCAATTTCCCTGTATTCGTTTGGTGTAAATTGATTATGCGTTTTCGTCAAAGTTGAGCCACCAATTGACATTTCTAAGGTATACGAAAAAGGAACGCTATATCTGTGATGAAGTGCAACCCTCATTGTTCGGTCATAAGCTTTTGGACCTAAAGTATAAGATGATGTTGAAGAAAAGTAAGGACAAGCCTTAGACATGAATCTTGGGAATAAAGATGCAAGATCTGTTAACGGAATCCTTCTGTTTTTGACCGTATACGTAAACGCATTAAATAATCCTGCATGGCCATGGAAATCTAAGAAGAAAACGAGTTTCCTTGTTTCAGTTAATGCATCTAATAAGCTTAATATCGAATTTCCAAGCTGCGTTTTAGTTTTCTTCTTCCAAACGCGATTATAATCAATTCCGTCTAATCCTGGCCTGTAAAATCCGCAAACAACGCCATCAACATTTACCATTGGTATAATGAGAAATGAATATTCGTTTCGTATATCAGTGGCTTCTGGATCCATTTTATTAAACAATTTTTCTAGAAATCCTTCCATTGCATATGATGAACATGTCTCTCCTGGATGGTGTCTAGCAGCAATGACTATTAAAGGCTTCTTTCCATGATGAATTTCTTTAAATTTTTCTGGAAGTTCATACGATTTCTGTTTGTCTGCATCCCAAAAGATCATAGGCACGTTTAATTTGCCTGCTGATGTTAAAATGTTTGTAATCTTTACATAATTTGGAAGACTCTTCAGAAATTCGTTTAAATCTGTGTAATTATATGGATATGTATAAGCAAAGTATATTGAATCTGGTTTCTTTACAGTAAAATCAAATGACATCGTGTATTCTCGGGGCCTCCCACTGATACTTAACCAATAATTGATATCAGAATCGATTCGTTTCCATCCAATTCCGCGTTTCTTATCGGTAACACTAAGAGCTACTGGTGTTACACCATGATGATGAATACCAGTATCTCTATGAAATCCTGTAATGATAAAAGTATATTTTCCAGGGTTGATATTTTCTGCTTTAAAGTAAAACCACTGAGCTGTATGCTTAGGATCTGGCGAAATGTGAATTTCATATGCGAAATCTCCTCTTGTAAATACTGAATCTAAATTTCCAGATTCAAATTTACCAATAAACTTGATATCATTTTTTTGAGGTGAAAGATTCTTAGGATATACTTGTCTACGTTGTTCTAGTGAGTTAAAAGGTGTGGATGATGATACGCGTTTTTTCGAAAATGTATTCGTTGGATAATTGTGAGGAGATACAAGACGTAACGGTCTTTCCATACGGATTAACGGGGTTATTCTTTTATTAATTGGCTTGGGCTTCTTTTGCTTTCCTTTCTTATGCTTTTTAATCACTTTCGTATCCATATAAAAAATTGAGCTAAATCAATTTCAAAAAAAAAATTATTGAAAAAAGCAATAGGGATCTGATTTTAGATCAATTCATATCCATAAAAAATTGAAAGATATCATGTAAAAAATCCCTGAATTTTTCTGAAGTGTTAATTTACAACATAACTATATTTTTATCATACAGTTTTTTTTTTGAAAAAAGTTTAGTAATGAATAGATATTCGGAATAAGCTTTGAATCAAATGAATCAATGCAATGAAACCAAAGTTCTTAGCATTACTACTTTTCAACATAGCTCACTTCAATATATCCTTTTGGAATTTCACTGATTAATAATTGGAATTCGTTATGAAAGATAAGGACACCCAAAAACTCAATAGGAAAATGAGTCAGTTATTAAAGACTAGCGTAATTTGATCTTGGTTCCCAAGTTCTTTTTATTTTTAGCTTGGATTTTCAACATTAAATCATAACTACCCCAAAATGCAATTATTAATTGAATATGATGTCACTACTGGAAATATATTGATAAACCAAGGTAATTATATTATTTTAATGACTACTTCCAAATTTAAAAATTGCTTAATGACTTCAGGATCTACAATTTATGCTTATGAATTGCTATCTCAAGTTGACATGCATTAAATACAGACAAAATGATTTTATTGATGAGTTGTTCATCATAACAAATAAGAGATATTGAAACACTATGAAAGATTGTCAAAGAAGATATTGAATCACGGTGAGAGTATGATTCAAAATATTTAAACATAAAGCAAAAATGAATCATCTCATTCAATAAACGCTTGAATTGTAAGATGTCAAGAACTCCCGGCTATTTTCACTATATGAATATTTATAATCTCTTGTACTAAATCGAAATAAACACGAAATAGTATGAATGCAATTTCAACTCCTGTTCATCAAGAGAAAACAAGTTTATTAAGTTCTACTTAGCACTTATGATATATAAAATTTCCAAGCAACCTGAGTAATTTAGATGCAGAAATATCTGCAAATAAATCAAGCTATTTAAATCCATCAAATTATTCAATATTTTGACTGGTTAATTAAAGTAAATATACGTCACTTCAATAAGAAAAAAAGGCATGTCATATAGATACCAAGATAATTCCTCCATTTTGAGTTGTCGAATCACTCATTCAGCAAGAAAGAAATTAAGGAGAGAGTGAAACTACAAGCATCGATTGTTATACAAATATTCATTCAAGCAGGGATTAGAGCATCGATAACTCCCTCTCATTCAATTTGGATATCTTATAAGAGAATTATTTAGTTTTGATACTTTTTTTCTGAATAAAATATTCGCATCAAAATATAGTAATTATTAATGGAATATTCAATCTCATACTTATGTACATGAATTTTGAAGCTTTTTTCTAAATTGCATTAATATATCGAGGAGATAATTTCTTGACCGGAAAATTGTGTGAAAGATTGATAAACTAATTATTATTATTAAACTATAGAAAGATTTAATGGCAATAATGACTTAAATTTGTAGAAATAACAAACGGAGATTTAAAAAATAAAATAATGACGATAAATTCGAAATCAATTTGAAAAAACTAAAGGTATGAATCAATGAGAAAATTTTGTAGTTTTAATTTTGAAAATTTTTTGAGACCAATCAAAATCATTTAATTGTTTTATATAATGCGTATTCTGGTAAGGAAAAGTATTTGTATATAGTTTTATATTAAAACTTTCCTGAATCTATGATAATTTTTTCAAATAGCAAATAACGCTTAAGAGTATATTATTCTACTCAACACAAAATAATTGGTTCGGCACCAAAGAATTATTGTTTTTAGACGATTATTTTGAAAAGGCTTCAATCCAATTGAAAATTTTGAGAGTTGTAAAAAATATTGTCAAGAATTATTCTGGCTAGAAAATTAAAATGTATTTATACAGAAATGTAACTATATCTTTTTTTTGTTTTTTTTTTGAATGGTTCATATTATTTATAAGTATTATGCAGTATCTTTTAATTTGTCTTATTTTTATGTAACTGTCAATTTTGATATTATTCAAAATCTTGAAAGGATAAATTTGATCAACAAATAGTTATTTTTATAATTTCATTTATATTTTCATGAGTGTAAAATTTGTAATGAAAAGTGTTTTAATAGCACAGTTATTATTTTTCGCCAAAATTGAAAAAATCTGACAACCACTTGATAACATGTATATTCTTCATAATTGATTCATGTTTTTTCTATTCAAATTTTTGAAAGGATAAATTCAATTCAAAAATTTATACTTAAATATAGAAATGAAGTTATACATAAAATTGCTCAATTAAATAAAAATTTGAGAGAATATTGAAAAATGTTGAAAACAAATTCCTGCTACATTTACTAATCTATTGAAACATCATTTATCAGTTATAATTCATTGGAATAATGTTCCATGATAAATTTGATGAAATTCAATACTATCTCAAATTTTGAATATATTCGGTATAACTTATAGAAAATTTATTATTCATTAAAATGGCTGAACCATCCATGTCCAAGTCCATGTCAGCCACTTCTGATAATTATGAAACCAATAAAATTCATGCAACCAATCTTTGTCTTGGGAAATCAAAGTGGATTGATTCAATTTTTCCAATCTACGACCAAATGATGCAAAAAACAAAGTTCCCAACATGGGTAATGAGCTTTATAACAATAATTCTTATGATGCAAACATTATCCGTTGGGCTTTGGATCTATTCTCCAATCTTTGATAACGTTACACCAAAGTGGAGGAATTTTTATATTAAATTATTAACAGTATTCATATTTACCGATCCTTTAGATGTTTCAAATACAAACGGAATCACAATGATCATATCGATATGCGTGGCACTATTCTCCCTTGTCTATATGTTATTCCTAGCATGGTATCAGAAGAAATTTTACCAAATCCCACCAGTTTACCTCTATATTTGCTCTTTTATTATTGATATCGTTGACTCCCTTTTCATAATTCCGAGTGTCAACGTCATAGATCATGGTGTTGTATCATTAAAGTACGGATATCATCCAGTATTTGTTGCTGAGATCGTTGTGGGAGCAGTTTCCTTTGTTGCATTCTCAGGAATTTTCTTAATAACAACAAATTTGAAATCCCGATCAGTTGTTCTTACGAATTTATTATTCCCGTTGTTCGATCACTTTGCTGTTACACTATGGGTCATTGCAACCTCATTCTTTTCATTAATTTCAGCCCTCTTTAACTATTACCATGACTGGTTATATCTTGTTGGCAATACAATTCACTTATTATTGACGATTTTTATTTGCTACAAGTTCTCATACATGCCATTCTACGAACTTTGGAGAAACTCAATGTGTATGGCATTCAGTATCACTAGTATTGCATTGGATCTCAACTATTATGTCCTTGACTTGACAGGCCTTACTTATAACTATACAATTATTGTTTATATTTGTGCTTTCTTCATTAGTTTAGTTCTATCACAAATCTATTTCAAGTATGCAGTTAAGAAGATTAAAAAGCAACTTACCGAAAATCCTGAAGTAGAAAGTGTCAATGACTATCTTGAATCACTCAAATTCACAAAGAATTCAGAAAGAGCAATGATGTATATCAATGTTGGCCTAACACAAATATGTGACTACTTTATCGATGGATCTATAACTAATTATATTATTAGTGCAAACAGTTCTGATGAATCAACCTCAATTTTGTTACAAATTTTAACTTTCTTCCCCTATGCTTCTCGAAACATGAATGTTCTCTTTAAGAAGTTAGTTAATAAGAAGAAATTGAAAATTGCAGACAGATTCTTGATCTATCAAACATATAGAATCAAACTAAGAAGATTAGTTTCTGATTCTAAGGACACAATTGAGATCTTTAACATGTTAAACAAAAGGACAGAAGAATGTAAGAACTTAATAAATGCATTCTATGACAGTCCAAATAACTCATATACTTATGTTTCTTCTCTTGGATTAATTATGAATGATTTGAATTCGAAATTTGAATCCGTAATCAAAGAAATACCAAACAATGTCAGGATTATGAATTTATACTCCGAATTCTTGACAGAGTGTTTATGTTATTTCACTCATTCAGTTAGAATTAAGATTAAATCAGATGCTATCTCTGAAGGAAAAAATTTCAATGTTGATGTCAGTTTCCATTCCTTAGTTAATAAATTCCCAAGATTATTAAAGGACAAGCATGTAGATACAAAAGGCAACAGAATATCAAAGAAGAATGGTGATTCAAATGCAGATGGAAGTACAAAGAAATCTGGTTCCTCATCAGTTAACAATTCCTCCTTAAATTCATCTGAATATGATGTTGAATTGCAAGAAAGTGTTTGCCAGAAAACAATTCGCCAGGCAACTGCAAGATTGGCACTGCATAATGCTATTGTTGATTCTCAACCAAAAGAGATTGCATATATCAAGATCATAACAACATGTTTGTTGGTCCTGAACTTTATTGACTTCTTAGTTCTTTACTTCTTTGTTATATCTCGTTTGGAATGGAGAAAGAAGAGCTATGAGAATGTTGGAAATCTTGGTTATTCAACATTCTATCATATTTATTCCAACTTGTTCTTATTGATCGAATTTTCAGTTGATACAGGAAGGTATGATGAAGGCACAAAATATATTGGTGACATATCAATTGATTCAACATTTACTCTATCAATTCTTCCAAGAAATATTACAACACCAATGAAGGCTTATACATGCACAAACAGGAGTAACAGTTATTTGGGCGACTTAATTGATAGTTTTGCAGTTCTTTGCGAAGGGAGAAATCCATTTGATATTTCCAATACTTTGGTATCAGGAAATTCTGTATATAAAGTATGTGTTGATGCAAAACCAATGGGAAATATTTCGGCATCATTAAAGAATCAAATTGTTACGTCCAACTACTTATCTGCAAACATTGCAGGTACAATGCAATCAGGTATCAGATATCCAAACATTTTTGCTGATAATGATTACTGTCAGAAAATGTTGAATGATGGGTTGGTAATTGGAAACACTTTTAGCGCTTTGGATGAACTATTAGCATTTTATCTTAGGTTATCATCACATAATAAGTTGTATTTCCTTATTATTACAGTTATTATCCCTGCTATTGTTTTTGTCTTAACAGTAACTATCTTTTCTCTCATAATTTATTCATACCAAAGAAGAGAAAGTAAATTATTCAAAGCTTTGCATAATTTACCAAACCCAATCAAAGATGATTCCAAATCTCCACTATTGTTTAAGAATGAAGATTCTGAATCAAATGCAAATAACAAATTAAAGACAACAAATATCATGAATCAACTTCCTTTCTTCATCTATTTGTTCTTATTAGTTGTTATTGCTGTTTTCGTCTCAGTTGGATTTAATGCTATCAAGTTAGATTCATTGCTTACTACAATCTTGAACTGGTTCTACTTCTCGTGCTCAAGAATTGTTATTGCAAGCCAACTTGGAAACAATGCAGTCCAAATGATTTTGATGAATGATTCATTACCACAACAAATCACTGATTTCGAAACATTAAAAGATAATGCTGTTGAAGACTTAGAGAAAATGATTTTGGAAAACAAGGAACTTATGTATGGAACTGATACTCAACCAGGAAGTTTGAATTTTGATAAAAAATTAGATGAATATCAATTGCAAGGCAATTGTGAAATTCCTGGAACTCCAACTTCTATTCATGATATGTATGCGTGCACAAGTATTACTCAACAAATGATTATGTATAGAAACATGGTTAATAACATATTTAAAGATCCTCAATCCTTCCAAGGCACATTAAATGGAGAAGTTGCCTCAAACATGATTCATATTCTTAGATTCCACATTTACCCTGCAATTATTAAAGTCACTAAGAGAATTGGAGAAGTAATGGAAGAAACATATGATACAAGAATGGCCGATCAACTTATATTAGTTATTGTTGGTCTTGCATGTTCTGTTGTATGTTTTATTTTGCCATTCCTCTTCAACAGACTCCTATTGCTCGAATACAAAACTGTTATGGTTTTAATCAAGAGATTACCTCCAAAAGTTGTTGCAGAAACACCCGAAATTTTGGATTTCTTCTCATGCAGAAAGAAAACAAAGAAGGAGGGAATGAGTTTGTACAAATCAATTGTCTTCCAGACAAGCGAATGTATCATAATAACAAATCAGAATGCAACAATAGAGATTGTTAATGATAGTGTTGCAGCTAACCTCGGTTTCTCTCCAGACCAGATGTTAGGACAACAGGTAACTAACTTCATCAACGGAAATGACTGCCAGAAGATCAATGAGCAGATTGACCTCATGATAAATAACAATGGTCCTAGAATCTGGGAGGATCATATCGAGATGATCAATGATAAGAACGAGATGATTCCTTTTGCAGTTACTATGATCGGAATCTCTGATGCTAACTCGAACCAAGTCACATCGATTGTCCTAAGCTTCACTAATGAAAGTGAAGTTATCGAGAAGCGCAAGGCAGCAGACATAGCAAAAGCAAAATCAGAGAAACTACTTTATCAGATATTGCCGAAGGACATTGTTGTCAGATTGAACAGAGGTGAAACAGACATTTCATTCACAATTCCATCTGCAACAATATTCTTCATCGATATCGTTAAATTCTCAGTCTATGCTTCAAGTCTGACACCATCTGAGATTATGACAAACTTATCCACTGTTTTCGCGGCCTTCGACCAGAACGTATCTAAATATGACCTGATCACGAAGATCAAGCTTATTGGTGATGTCTATATGGCAGCTGCAGGTCTCTTCCAAGGAGAAGAAGATGACCCAACGAAGCACGCAGATCAATCAATCAAATGCTGTCTAGACTGTATAAAGTCTATGGATGAGATAAACTCAAACCTCGAATCATCAATTGAAGTCCGTATTGGTGTCAATAGTGGAGGTCCTCTGATTGGAGGTGTCCTTGGAAGTGATAAGCCAACATTCGACATCATTGGTGATACGATCAATGTTGCAGCAAGACTTCAGTCAACAGATATCCCTGGACGTATTCAGATCTCAGAAGGAACAAAGTCTCTTATCGACGGACTCGACTATATCATTGAAGAACGAGGTGAGATCTTCTTGAAAGGAAAAGGAAACCGCAAGACTTTCTTTGTTTCACATCCAAACAAGAACAATAGCATCGAAAACTCTCTCTTATTGAATTTGAGCCTTCAATCAGAAAACTAAGAAAAAATGGTTTAACAAAAAGAATTATTAATTTTGTTTTGTTTGTATAAAGATTTCATTAATATAATACATTTCTTTTTATGTGCTTCTATTGATGACCTTTTTAGAACAAAATCACTCTTTATTTAATGGAATCTACTTTGATCAGAAGTTTTAGGCAATGTCATTGAGATTAGTTATATAAAAATCTAATTAACTTCGCAAAATGAGTTACCGTTTTTTAAAAAAAGTCATTTGACTGTTCCGATAATCACTCGAAATAAAATAGGAACGAATATAAAATAGTTGTGGTATCATACTTTAAAAGTAGTTTTTCTAGTATTTTCTTATGAAAATTCATTATCATGTACTTTGATGGGGATTATGGATGATACATTATGCTACCAACATTTAAAAAAACTACGGCCCTTACTTTAAAAACAGAAACACAGTGAATACCAATAGGAAAAAACTGTCCGTTATAAGCTCGAATAAAAATCAATTATTATTTCAATCAATTTGAATGCTGAAAATACTTAAAATTAATATGATTATATCTGAGCGAACAAATTTTTTAATATGCGCATCTATCTATGATGAATTAATTACACTGACCGAAAAAAACAAAAATATCTGAAATTTCGACAAATAAATATATTATATCTTTACTCTAAATATACAAAAGAACATCACAGAGTGTTAAACACGAAGAGCGCATTCGTGGATTCCGCAAGAATTAAATGCTTTACAAATTTGCTTATAATTGTTGGAAACATTTAACTTTTCATAAGCATATTCAAATGGGGTTTTGTTCTTATGGTCTTTCTCTTCAAGTTTAACTTTAATTGAAATCAGATACTTTACAACATTGACCATACCTTCTTCTGCTGCAATATGGAGCGGAGTTCTCATTGTATCTGTTTTACTGTCTTTGTCACATCCGCAAGAAATTAGGAATTTGATAACTTTAACATGATCCATTCCTGCAGCTGCGTGAATTGGGCACCATCCTTTATTAAGCGTTTTCGTGTTTGGATCTGCTCCCATCTTATAAAGGTACTTTACTACTTCGAGGTGTCCATTCATGGCAGCGAAGTAAATGCAAGTAGCGTTTTGGTTATTCATTGAGTTAACATTACATCCTATTGAAGCAAGGTATTTAACTATTGGGAGGTGTCCATGGTGTGATGCATAAAGAATTGCGTTGAAACCAGAAGATTCTTTAACAAAGTCCTTATCAATACCTGCCTTTATAAGAGTTTTAACGATCTCAAGGTGTCCTTTGGCAGAGGCTTCGAGTAATGCGTTGTTACCAAATTTATTGACTGCATTAATTTGGCATCCGCCGTCAAGAAGAGCCTTAACAATATTCAAATCTCCTCTAACACAGGCTTCAATTAAAACCGTATCAGAATATTTCTCATCACGAACTTCGGATAATCCAATCGAACACGCAACGCGTATTGATTCTTTATCATTCTTGCTGGCATGTTCCTGGAAAAATGTATAAACTCCCTTAAAATCTTCGAGTTTGTACAATGACAAAGCGGCTTCAGGGATTAATAATTTTGATTTTTCGGATGAACTTTCTTCCTCAAGCATCTCTGCTGCTGATGCCTTGAGTGTTGTTTTAATCTTGGATAGTTCTAGAATTTCTTTCATCATTGATTCTTTTTCCGATACAAGATCTGTAAGTGTTTTCTTATAGTCATCGATTTCTTTTTGAACATCTTCATTATTTGATTTGGAACTTATTGTCATATTGTTTCTGGATCTTGTGGTTTGTACTGATGAATTTGATTTCTGCTTCTCTTTAATGGATTTATTTTCCTTTACAACCTTTGAAATAAATTCATATATGTGTTCAAAAATTTTTGAATGAACAATGCCTGTAAGATTGAAAATGAAATCCAACACAGCATCATCATTATCAGTTGGGAAATCAACATTTAAATGCTTAAATACCTGAAAGAACTGTGGCTTAGTATAATTATGCTTGCATTTTGTTAATATTGATATGGTTTGTGGTAAATCGTGTTCTGATTTCTTAATGTTCTTGTAATATGTTTGGAATGATTCTATTTCCTGTGGATCAATCATTGCTTCGTCGCTAAGCTCGCCACCCATTTTAAGCTCACTCATTATTCTAAAATGAATTCAAATATCGCATTGAAAATTTCCTTCTCCATGAATCAACAAAGAAAATAATTCTATATGAAATATGTGATACTATTATATGGATAACAGCAGACTTCTATTTAATTAATTCAGAGAGACTTTGGTCCATCTACATTCAATTTTTTGATAAATTTTCTATTCAAAAGTTATTTTTATTTGACAATTTTGAGAACTGTTAAATTTAGAGGTTTTGATACAAAAAATATTACATAGGTAAATATAACCATCTGTAAATTTTATTTTTTTACAACTCAATTCAAAAAATAATGGTCAACGATAAATCTGTATATAATCTTGCTAGCCACAAATTATTCATAATATTATATATATAAATATGCATTGATGACATCAATACTAGAGATCATCAAGAATTTAATCGATTTTATTGGAATAATTCAAAAATTTCTTTTTTTCGTTCCAATAATAGATATACTAATTTTGTTTTTCGAATAGAAGTTAATAAGAGTCTCTATATTTTAATATTCGAAGCATTTTTTATCTCAACACTCTAGATTATCTATTTGTTTTGAGAAAACAAATTTAACCCATATCATATATAGAATTCTTGATTGTTTTAACATTTTTCATCGTATTTGTAATTTCTTTACATTTTCAAAAAGTGTCATTAAACCTTTGTTCATTGTTCGTTGATCCTTACTTTCAACAAGTGAACTTTACTTTAAAGGCGAAGAATAATATGCATATCATAAGCAACTAAATTAGCATTATCATTCTTCATTATTCTCTGTCATAGAAATATATCACTTGTTCATGAATGTGTTGCAATACTCCAAATATATTTGATGATTATATAATCGATTTATTAATGAATGAAGAGATATTCTGCTTACTACACAAAAAAAAGTTAGCTCTATTCATTTTGAGCTACTGTATACATCATTGGAGTATCATAACTCATCATGCGACAATTTATTAATAATTCCATTATAGACAATCTTTATAAAATTGTTAACTCTCTGATTTCCGAAAAGAAATTAGCCTGAAGACATGAAATTTTGTATATTACTATTCATAATGAGTATATCCTAACCATTTAACTGCAAGAATTCTGTTTAACTTTATTATTATAGGTATTTATTGAAATTATATTCGATTTCATTTTATAAGATCCAAAGGTTTAACTGATTTGTATTAATTGAAGAATATTTGTGTTTAAAACTATTCTTTTAGTTTTAATAAAAATAAATATTGAAACAAAATCAAGTTAGATTCAAAATCTTATGATAAAATAATATCACAACATACAAATTTGTTTTTGTTATAATCAAATGTAGGAGGAAAAAAGAAAAATATTCATATATAGAATTTATAATTCGAAGAAAGATCGAAACTGATCTTACTTTGTCCAATATCTTCTGATTGAGCTAACTGGATATGGATAGCTATTGAAATCTTGGTATCTGACAACGTATCCGTTTGTGGAAGCGTGAATGAATTGTCCGTTTCCGACATACATTCCGACATGAGTAACAGCTGTAGGTTTTTCAGAATCTGTGTGGAAAGTAATAATATCGCCTGGAAGAATATCTTTAGCGTCTTCAATAAGTTGTCCGTGATTTCCCTGAACGTCAGCTGTTCTGTGCATGAAGATATCAAGCCTATTGTAAGCCCATTGCATTAAGCCTGAGCAATCGAATGTATCTGGGCCACTCATAGCCCAGACGTATTTGCAGCCAAGCTTGGTCTTAACAAGATTTGCAGCTCTCTCTCCATCATTAGCGCCATCTACCTGCTTCCATTTGTATTGAAGTGCATCTTCAAGAATGTAGCCAATATAACCACGATAATTAATTCTGTAAAAGCCATCACAGTTAAAATCAAGAATTGTAACATCGGAATTTGCTGGAACATAGCGAATAATTGTTTCTGCGCGAGATGGTTCTGAATAAATATTGGCTTCTGTGACGGATTTTGTTGGAATTGTGATTTCTTCAAGGGAATCTTTGCTAATCCAGCAGTCTTCGGTACCAATTCTTACATGCGCAAATCCATTTTCGTATCCAAGTATATGAACATAGTAATCGAAGTAAAGCCAGTAACAATTTCGATTTAAATCAGGATTACTGGTCTTGTATGCTTTAACAAGATTTGTTCCTGGAGTTGTGAGTCTTCCAATTGTTTGGGTTTGATATGAAGAAGAAGTACATAACAAAACACTTAACATAACCTTGGAAAAAAAAAGTCAAATTTGACGATCTGTCAAAAAATTTGATTAGAAGAGTTAGTTTGTAAGTTTTACAAACATATCACATAAGTCAATAATAAATTAAAAACCTTAATGCGATCAGAAATTTTTATTGATGATTCGCTTCGAAATCAATATTAACTAACTAAACTGACTTAATTTTTATAATTTAACTCGATAATTTTTGAATTGAAATTTCGGTTAAAAATCTTATATCCTCGACATAAATTAGACAATCAACAATCGGCTTTTAAAAATATAAAATTTTTAAATTATCGTATCTGAGCCACTTGAAATTTCTCCATCAAATTTCAAAATCAATCAAACCTAGCTCGTATTATCATATGTCTTTTCAACTGTCTAAAATCTATCATTGCTGAGTATTTTTGGGTATATTGAGTTAAAGAATTTCCCAACACTAATATCAGAGTATTTTAAAGTCCCAAGAAAAAGCAACACACACCATAAAAAAGGGCAAATGCGATTTTAATGATAGGTTATGCCAAACTTAAGATATTCTATTCAATATTAAGAAAAATTCTTGTATTAATAGTATATAATGAATAAGGAAAAATAATAAATAAGATTTTATGTATGATTGAAGCTCTTCATTTCAGTGATTCGTGCTCTGGACGGATTTGCTTTGAGATATTCAACGCATGCTTCAAAATCTTTCATAAACAAATCGGCGAAATCCATTTCGAATCCACGGCGACACATAATTCTCATGACAACGATGTCTGAGCAATTATCAGCTAAAGCAAAAGCAGGAACTTGCCAGCCACGAAGTCTTAGGCGCTCAGAGATATCGTAGAGAGCGTATCCTGGATCTTGCCCATCTTTGATTTTGAAAGTTACGGCGGGAATTCCTTTCTTTGGATCGCCCTCACAAATAAATTCGAACGGGCCAAGAGGAGCAATTCGCTTCGCAAGGAATTGTGCAACTTGGTATGAAGCAGTGTGTACTTTTCTGTATCCTTCTTTGCCAAGTCTGATGAATTCGTAATATTGCGCAATAACTTGACCAGCTGGGCGCGAAAAGTTAATAGCTATGGTTCCAACCTGACCACCTAAGTAATCAACTTTGAAGACAAGCTCTTCTGGAAGAGATTCTTGATCACGCCATATAATCCAGCCGCAACCTAATGGAGCAAGACCATATTTATGGCCAGACGTATTAATTGATTTCACACGTGGTAAACTGAAGTCCCATTTGATATCTGGAGCACAAAATGGAGCTAAGAAGCCGCCACTTGCAGCATCAACATGAATATCGATATCTAATCCTTTCTCCTTTTGAAGTTGGTCAAGAGCATCGTTAAATTCCTTTGGGAATTCGTAGTTTCCGGTGTAGGTAACTCCAAATGTTACAACTACACCAATAGTATTTTCGTCGCAGGCCTCAACCATTCTCTTAGGATCCATGAAGTATTTTCCTTTTTCCATCGGTAGTTCTCTTAGTTCGACATCCCAGTATCTGGCAAATTTATGCCAGCAAACTTGAACAGGTCCGCAAACCAAATTCGGTTTATCTGTAGGTTTTCCTTCAGCCTCACGCTTTTTGCGCCATCTCCACTTCATTGCCATGCCTCCAAGCATGCAAGCTTCAGAAGAACCAATCGTATTGGTTCCAACAGCCTCTTGTCCTTTCGTTAATGGTGCATGATATAAGTCTGCAAGCATTCTAATGCATCTCATATCAAACTGAGATGATTGTGGGTATTCTTCTTTATCAATCCAATTTTTATTTATCGATTTATTCATAAGCTTGTGAACATATTTGTCATCCCATGTCTGGCAAAATGTAGCTAAATTTTGCCTTGCGTTCCCATCCAAGTAAAGTTCATCGTGAATCATTTGATAGGCAACATCTTCACGCATTTGAGAATCAGGAAACACATTCTTTTCGGCAACCAATCTTATTGACTCTGATCCAAACCTAGAATCAATCAAACCCTTCATCTTTAAGCAAAAATGAGATCATACTCTCAAAAAAATTGGAAGATTTTATAAAACATACACTTTTTGAGAGGAGGGGCGACGATTAAGTGTATTTAGAACAAAATGTGAACTTATATGTTAATAGTTGTTTGATAATATTTATTTATAATTCCGTAAAAATATCTCGACTCTTTTGATAACCATAAAAATGACAAGTCTGTTATGATGAAACTGAATTTTGTTATTTTATTAATAGTTTATATCTATGAAATAAAAGATTACAAATTGTAAGTAGAACTTAAGAAAATAAAGAGAGGTTTAAAATTTTATATCAGAATCTAACAAATAAAAACATTTCAGTAATTCGCAATTAATCAGAAAAGGGTCAATTAATAGTACATCCATAAAGTAATCTTTGATATCGCTTTTTTTTTTTTGACTTTTTATCAAATTTTCTTATTATAAACCAATAATATAATTGGGCTGAGTGATTGTGTTAATGTGTGGTCGCTAGTTCTTACAACTTCGAAAGTAAAGTACTCACAAAATCTAGATTGAGAGGCGGTCAATGACTTTTGAGGGGAAATTAACGCATGGAATTTAATATTATTTAGGTTGATATTCTTGCTTATTATTTCAGAAAAAAATCTTAAAAATTTCAATATGAAAATTGAAAGCAATTCAAAAAAATTGCTAACATGTAAATTTTAATATCCTATGCATAATTTCATATTTTGAACATTTTTTATTTTTGTTTAAAACTTAAAATTTTGCGAATTTAATATAATTTATAAAATATAATACGTATATATATTTAAAATACACTAAATTTAATTGTTAATTGACGTTTTTGGGAATGAATTTTATCAAAACATGCCTGAATCCGAAAATTTGAAAGAACGAATTACACAATCATATATGTAGAATTCAAAATACAAACTTAAAGATGTATACGTTTCAAAATTATTCAGATTGTGTTTGATTTCCACTCATTCTGTTTTCTTTTGAACTCTAACACTAACATTTCATGATGATTACATGATCCATTTATACATGGTTGAATTGTTCCAGATTCTACCAGAAAATCAATCCAAATTTCTCAATGCATTCATGTTGATTGGACAAAATTTAAAATTCATCAGCCTGTTTCCAGAGAAACTCATATATTCCCTAATGAAATGTAATTTTTGCTACATTTATTTCAATCAAATTTCAAAAAATTGACTGCAGAGCTTGAAAAGGTGATGAATCATGTTGTTATTAGAATGTACATATTAGATTTACTATTTCCAAAAAAATGCTCAAATTTGAATAGTTTTAGAAAATTTGGAATTACACTCCTTACATTATATATAATTAAATGTTTAAATTTTATTTATTTTTCCCTTTTAATTTTATAACGTGCTCTATCAAAACTAACCTCTCAATTGAAGGCCACAAAATCTAACTAGTGAGGGTACACAAATTTTGTATGGAGTACGGTTCAATTTTTGAGAGCCTCACTACTTAGATTTTGTGACTACCTTATGTATAATTAAAAATCGAACGCAAATTTCAATTGCAAAATTCGAGCGATCAATATTTATGGCAAACGAACATGATTTTGGGTACTTCACAGTATCGAGATATCTGAAGTCTGGCCGTTTAAATGACTTTAAAAGAGAATTGCATCAATAACAATGATATTAATTATTGTTAACATAATAAAATTAGGTAAAAAAATTGACAATAATAACTTTTATTTATTAAGGATACCCTTACATTGCGTAGTTAGAAAGAGAATATGATATTGTCATGATTGCTAAAGTTTTAGGCTCCAGAAATGAATATACATCAAACTGAAACAATTGATAAATTGAATGAACTTTTGAGAGGTTCTCAAATAAAAAAAATTATCTAATTTTTTACAATATTACTATTATTTTATCCACATATGTATATATAGTAATTTGAGAAAACTTTTAGGAAAAAATAAGTTTAATAAAAATCTGAATTTTACTTGTTGTGGGATTGTTATTAATTGACACTCCAGACGTATTACTAATAGTTATGCGTATGCAATTAAAGTATTTCTGATGGACAAAATGTGAGATTTATATCAGATAATTCATTTCTACTATTAAGTTATTCATTTATGAGTTTGCACTTATTCGCACTAAATAAATAACTATTAAAAATTGTTTTAATTAATTGACACCATATAATAGAGTGAATTTTGTTTGATCAAACAACAATAGATGATAGATATAAAGCCGAGAAACTTGCTATTAATATGCTCTACTTGCTATTTCAATGTAAGTATGATATTTTCTAAATGTTTCGTTCAGATAACTTAGATATATTAGTCAAAATTTGAAATTTTAATAGCACATATATTAAAAATAATTATTATTCATAAAAGATTAATGAAATAGTAAAAAAATCAATCAAATTATAAAAATACAACATTTAGAAGAATTCTTATTATCCTTCAAAAAGTCAGTATTTCTGCTGTAATTTTCTACAACATTGTAGTTATTGCACTTTGTCTATGGATTTGTATATATGTTATATATAAATTATATATCTAAACTGCCCATAAGTGCAATTTTTATATAAATTGTTTATTTCTTTAACAATTTCATATGAAATATGCTTTTTTAAGCGTATCAAAGCTGTGTTCTTAATGTGCATGGATATATCAAGAAAAATGTCGAAAAAAAAATGTGAATTCACAAATTCACTGAATTTTCACCGTTTTTTGAATTTTGCTACAGCACTAATATTAAATAATACTAAATCTTCTGTCTTTGTAAAAGAATCTATTCTGACAAAAAGTGCTCGTTTAAATTTAATGATCATCTGTATGACTAAGTGGTAAAAAGTGTTTATGACCAAAAAAGGGTTACATGCTTAGTCTATTTTTCTGACAGGATACTCTAGATTTACATGATCTCTATTTCATATCTCCGTTTTTAGATTCTTCGACAGATTTTATGATAGAAAACCAAGATTAACAAATTTCCGGCATGTTAATGAAGAAATCTGCAGCTACCCTCAATATTATTTCAATAATCAGTATCGTTTCTCTTACAATTTATTTTTTTCTCAATAATTTAACAAGAAATAACAATACACACTTGGTTTTACGTATAAAAGCTAAGTGTCGAACTTAATCAACTTTACTTACTTAGCAAATGAATATTTTTGTGGTTGCGAGTTCTGAATGCTGAAGTTTTAGATTTCTCTATAAATGATATCATTGCACTTACAATGTTGTTCCAGCCTATCGCATAAATCATAGAAAATCCAAAAAAAATAATATAAAGAAAATTCATGTCATGAAGTTCAAAAAATACCGTGTAACATTAAAATTTGTTATGCATAATACATTTTAGCTATTATTGATTTTTTTTAATTTTCGAGAAATTGAATGGTGAGTCCGATAGAGAAATTTTTAAAAATCCTAGTCCCTCATAGAAGTAATTTCCCTCGTCTCCCATACTTCCAAATGTATGCATATGACATAAACTTTTATGCATTACACAAATGGCCAATAATATCTATAGAGTAAAAAATTAGAAATTTAATTTTTTTATATGATAGTTATATTTCAGATTTGCGAGCGTAACTTTTTTCTCCATGGCATACTTGTTTTAAGAGCAAATGATCAAAATCGTCCTTCAATTATTGAAGGAGCTGATATCTTTTGAAAATTGAATTGAAAGGGTATTCAATTTTCAAATTTCCTCTCAATTTTGGAAACATATCAACTCTATGAATTAACAATTATGTGCCTTCACAGTTTATCAGTCATATAAGGTGCTTATAAAGAAAAAAGTTACGCTCGCAAAATATGTTTTTATATAGATTTCACATAAAATAATTATGTAATTTCTAAAAAGAATATTTTTGTTCTTGAATATTAAAGTGTATTGTAGTTTAAAAAGTTTTAAATATGTTGCTAAAATTTCAGGTTTATAGCTCATGTCTAGCATGACTTCTTCGTATGCGCAAAAAATCTGACACGTAAGGGTATCCTTAAAGAATGAAGTATATTATAATTGCCAAAATAAGTATAATGCCAATAATGACTGCGAAAACTGTAAGTCCTATTTCAGGACCTGTCATTCCAATAACATGCCTTACTTTGTCATCATATGTGTAATCATATTGGCATTTGTCAGAGTTCCTAGGGAAAATATAATTTTTAGAAACATAAAAATTAAAACTAGTTCTAGAATCATCGGTCCCCATGAAATATTTTCCGTCATAGCAGACTGATCTAATTTGAATATCATTAGAAGCTCCAGAAGGCTCCATAGTTTTTACATTTGAAGAAAGTTTCAAAACTCTTAATTGACGAACATTTTGGAATTTCTGGTTGGCCGCATCCGAAAATGTAGGTGTATTTCCAATGTATATACGTCCATCAACAAATTCAACATCCTTTGGTACTGTGAAAACTTTATCAAGAACTCCAAATGTTGTAACCAATGCATTTGTAAGTTTGTTAATAATGCAATTATCTTTTGCATAATAGAATCTATTTTCATCATCAATCTTGACATCAATATATCCAAAGGATAGGAATGCATCTGACTTAATGGTTGTTACTTCTGCAGGAATGTAAAATGTAAGATTTACGTAATTACCATAAAAATTATTGTGAAGATTAGAGAGCGAAGTCATTCCTTTTCCAAAATAAAACTTTGAGAGTTTATCGCAATTCATAAAAGCGCCAGTACCTATACTTGTTATTGAATCTGGAACTGTAAATTCTTTAAATCCACAACCAGGAAACATATATTTGAAAATTTTGGATTGTCTTGGATGAAATTCAACTGATTTAAGCGATGTACAGCCAGAAAAGATTAATTGTTTATTATTTCTATTATCTTCTGATGTATCTTCAAATATTAATGGAATTGTTATTGATTTCAATGAAGTGCATGAAGCAAAAGCAGAGTCACCGATGTCTATTTCGTCAGGTAATGTTACATCTTTTAATGAATAGCAAGACTGAAAAGCATTCGCTCCAATTTTTGTAACTGCTTTCTCGATTTTTAGAGTTTTGAGATTGATACACTCATAACAAAAATTATTAATAGTTTTCAAGGGCTCGGAATAATTGCTGTTACTGATTGATAATTCTTTCAGATATCTTGAGTAGCCTAAACTAATATCTTTTTCAGTTTTCTTTGTTATTGATATTTCTTTAACATTTTCAGCGAAATGAAATGCGCCACGTGTAACGCCATCATAATCTCCTGAGAGTGCAAAACTTTCTTTGCTATAAGAAGGAAGAATGAATTCAATGACACTATAATTCTTATCAATACCAATAACTTTTCTTGTAACAATTCCACCATTTTCCTTAAGAAATTCACCGTTTTTGAATTCAAATGTGATTTTTGTTAGATTATAAAATGCAAGTGGATTAAATTGGTTACAATCACTTGTTACAGTAACTTTCTCGAGATTTGTGCATGAAAAGAAAACATTATCGCTGAAATATGTATTACCAATCGTGATTTCTTTGAGTCCAGAGAAATAAAATGCTTTTTCGTTAGCAGTAACGTTATTCAATGTAACTGTTGTTAATGCAGTAGTGTATGCAAATGCATCTACGTTTAATGTTATTGGATTCGTTTCTGTATGAGTTATTGTTAATTTATTGAGTTTTGTGCAATTTGCAAAACAGTATTGACCAATAGATGTTGCGGGATCTAAAATTGTAACAGATTCTAAAGCTGTGCAGCATCTAAATTGGGAGTTATACAAAGAGGTATTGACTACAATTGATGTAATACTTGTGCAGCCTTCGAAAGCTGATGTGAGATCTAAAACATCACCTCGCTCTGGTGCTCTCTGGTTGTAATTGGTAATCTTAACTTTTCTGCAGTAATAAAAAGCATATGCACCAATGTCAACAAGACTTGAATCAACTGTAAACTCAAGATTTTCGCAATATTGAAAAGCATATTTTCCTACCGAAACAATTGTATCTGTTTTCAATGTTTGCAATGAACTGCAGTTATAAAATGCATTTGCACCTATTGCAGTGGCCTTTAGAGCGGTAACAGTTTTCAATGAATAACAACCACTGAACATATTTTTAGGGATAGTAAAAGTATCAGTTGATGTGATTGTTGCCGTTTCTAACAAGATGCAGCCTTGAAAATCATATTTTGAATTAGAATCCAAAGGAATTTCTACATTTTTGATGTTTGTTCCTTCAAATGCTTTAGAGTCAATCTGGGCTGATGATGGCGTTTTGAATGTTATTTTTTCAAGATCAGACTCGGCAAATGCCCTCTCACCAACTCTCTGATTTGTTAATGTCGCATCCTTAATGCCTGAATATGCAAAACTGGAATCCCCGATAGAAGTTATTTTCTCGAAATCAATGGTCTGCAAAGAGGGGCAATAAGCGAATGCAAATTCGCTTATTGATACCATTTCAGTTAATTTAACTTCTTTTAATGATACGCAATGATAGGCAAAATAATTTGGAATGTTGGCCTTAATCGTCATTGTTTCTATAAAAGGGCAATTTTGGAAGCACCTTGAGCCAAAAGTTTCGATATTTTCAAGATTAATGTTTTTAATTGGAGTTCCTTGAAACTGGCTGCTTTTTAATGTTTTGAGAGAATCTGGTAATGTAACATCGGTAACAATTTTATTGTCAGTGAATAAATTTGAGTCTAATGCAGTTACAGGGCTTTTAATAACTATTTTCTTGAATTTGCCGATAGCAGTATGGGATCCTAATGTACCAGTTTTAGTAGAATCGTCAATTATTAGAGTTTCCTTATATTGTTCTATGGAATCCAAATCACTAATACTAGTGATCTTTACTGTGTTGCCTTCATATGTAATTTCTGAGCTAACTGTGATTCTTTTTGCTAACAATGATGTGCTAAATAATCTCGATAGCATTGGAAAACTAGAATAAAAAATGAAATTGAATGAATAATTGAAAACAGTATTGAAAAAGAAAAATGAATTGCATTTAGTTATGAATTATACTATGATTATTAACCTCCCGAAATGGAATTGAATATAAACGATGCAAATTTTACATTAATTCAAACGATATTTCCAATTTTTCTCATATTTGAATACCCAGGTTTAAAAAACAATTCTAGAAACGTATGTATATTACGTCATCAAACATTTGAATTGAAAAGTAAAATATCGTTTGAATAGATGTAAAGTAAAGACATTATAGTTACGATTTATTCATGACATAAAGCCAATTCACTAATTTAACAAAAAAAGTAATAGTTGAAAACTCCTCTGAATTTTTCATTTAGAAAAAGTACTTTTTTTTAATGATGTTTAGAGTAAGTCTCTTTTCATCTCTACTCGTTAAAAGCAATTACATTAACTCTGAAATGATTATTTCGGGTAAAACATTAACGGTGACTGAGGAAGATGATTTTGGTCATAATTTGATTAACGACACACTTTTTGCTAATCCAGAAATTGACACACTAATTACAAAAACTGCTGCATTATCTCCATTATACGCTATCAAAGTTTCCCATGTTAAAGTGGAAGGAGAAGCTGATACAATTCCAAATGAATTTCTTCGAGGAAATGTTTATCTCAAAACAGTGGAACTATCCGAAAATATAACAAGACTTGGAGCATATTGCTTTGCCGAAACATCTATTGAAAAGATTTCTTTCCTTAATGAATTAACTTTTTACACTTCTTCAACCTATGGCAATGATGATCTTGGTAATGTATTTTATAACTGCTTTTCATTATCTGAAATTACTATCAATGCTACAATCATTCCTCCTAAATTTGCCTATGGTTGTTCTAATCTTACAAAAGTCACACTACTCGGATCTGAAATTTCATTAGGCTCTAATTCATTTGCACAGTGTACATCATTGCAATCATTTGATTTTACAAATGTTAAAACAATCGATTCATATGCATTTTCTTATTCGGCTATTGAGAATGTTACAATTCCAGAAAATCTAACAACAATTAATCAATATGCTTTTGAGTATTCAATGTTACAATCATTTGAATTATATGGAAATAAAACAAATATTAATTCTTATGCTTTTCAAGGAACGCGACTTAAAACCATTGATTTGACACTTGCAAAATCACTTGGATCAGGTCTTTTATCCCAGTGTATTTTACTTGAGCACATTGATATTGGAGAACAAGTTACAAGTATTGGTGGTTATTTCGCTGAATATTGTACTTCACTTGTTTCAGTCAATGCTTCATTTGTTGCTCAAATTGGTCAGTATGCATTTTATAACTGTAAATCACTTGAATCTATTGTTCTTATGAATTATTACGCTGAAACTGGTGGATATATAATTGGTAAATATGCATTTGAATTCTGCGAAAAATTAGATTTTACATTCCAGAGTAGGGATTACTATAATATTGGTAGTTATGCATTTGGATATTGCTCTAAGATAACTTTACCTAGATTGAATGAGGAATCCGAGATTAGCAGCTATGCTTTTATTGGCTGCGAAGGAATAACATCTCTGAAAATCAACTACCAATTAAGCCAAGGTTGCTTTATGGGATGCATTAACTTAGAAGAAGTTGTTTATGAATATGAGACCGATAAAACTATCCCAATGTATTGTTTCTGTAACTGTTCTAAACTCACAACTTTTACTGATAAAGGAGAAATTGAAAATGTAGAAAATTATTCATTTGCAAGTACCGGAATAAAAGAAATTGTTTTGAGCCATGCAGAAATATCAGAATATGCATTTGAAAATAGCAAAATTGAAGTTGTTACATTTGCATCCATTAAAAATTACTTAGCTTTCCAAAATTGCAAACATCTTGAGAAACTAATCATTAGTGAATATGCAGATGGTGAATCTATTAACGCAGAGAATTTCAGGGGCTTGGAAGATATTGATATTGAACTTGAAGCAGGTCATCCAACATTAAACATCTGGAATGATATTCTATTGTACAATTACTCACAAATTGTTTTCCTTCTTCCTAAGTTTAGCACTAAGAAATTAGAAATACCAAGCAATATAACAACAATTAGAAATCATGCATTTGCACTAAACAAAAAGATCAAAACATTAATAATGAGCAATTTTGTTAAATTAGGACCAACGCCTGAAGAAAGTAGTTCTATTTTTTACAATATCTCTTACTCTCCTTCCATCAAAGAAATTGAAATTAGTTTTAAGGAAGGAAACTTTTCTTTATTATCCCAATTTGGTTTCTTTGAAAAACTTGAAAAAGTAACAATAACAACTCCAATCAATGATATTGGAGATTATGTATTTCAATACTGTCCTAAATTAGAAAAGGTTGAACTTCCAAGTTCTTGCACTATATTAGCAGATTACGCATTCAAGGATTGTGAATCTCTCTCTAAGATTAATTTAGATCATATTGTTGAATTTGGAACAGGTGCAATGAGAAATACTTCTATTACAACATTTGATTTCTCTAAATTTGAAGAGAATACAACAGTTCCTTCAGAATTGCTCCGAGACTGTAAAAAGCTAAAAGAAGTTACAGGAACAGCAACTTTTACTACTATTAGTTCATATGCATTTTACGGCTGTGAGTCACTTAAGACAGTCAGTTTCCCGAAAGTAAAGTCTATTGAGTCATATGCATTTGCCGAATGTTATAAATTAGAATCCTTCGACTTCTCAAAAGTTACAAAAATTGATGAAAGAGCATTTCAGAGTTGCAAGAAATTAACTTCAATTTCAATTACAAATTACACTACTTGCAGTGAATATATCTTTTCAGATTGTCATTCACTTAAAACTTTGGAGTTAACTGGTCTTAATGAAATTCCAGAAAACGCATTTGCTAAATGCTACAAACTAAACGAAGTCAAGTTTAGTTCTAATTTGATGAAAATTGGATCTGGGTCATTTTCAAGTTGTGGATTCAAAGAATTGACAATTCCTGATTCAGTAATCAGTATTGGTGAAAATGCATTCTTTAATAACACCAATCTTAAAACTGTAACTCTTGGAAAGGGATTATGTTTCATAAATGCCAATTGGTTCAAATTCTCCTCACTTAAGAAACTTATTATTCCACCTTCTTTGAAGAGTATTGGACAACAGAATTTTAATTTTATTGATGATCTTGAAATTGAGTTTTCTAGTCCAAATCAAATTTATGGCTATGAGTCAAACACTTTGTATTCGAAGATAGATTATTCAATTGTTTCAACAATTGGCTTCCTTGACAAAGTTTATGAGATTCCAGAAATCATTAAACGCGTTAAAGAGTATTCTATACTACGCTTCATATCAACAAAATATTATCTATCCTATAAGGAAGACCATGAAGATGGTGAAGCAATATATTGGACTCAGAGTAACGGTATTGCTAGTGCCGCCATTATTAAAGTTCCATCTAATCAAATACAATTTGATAAAATCATGGCAAAAGAATATCCAGATAACAACTACGAAAGTTCATGGACCTATGGAGGAAGATCCATCCATCTCAACAGTATATGCTATGAAGGTGAATATCCACTCACAGAAGGCCAATATTTAGAGAATTATTTCGGCACAGAAAATTATTTATATGATGAACTTTTAGGTTCTACCTATAGTAATAAGAAGTGTTCAACCAAGCTAGCTGATGCATTTAAATGGCGACATATCTACAAAATGAGTAGTGCAGAAATCGGACTCACAGCATTTGTAGTCATTGCAGTCATTATAGTCATCATCCTCGTTGTTCTCATTATCCTTAAGAAAGCATCTGGTGGTGGTAGCAGCAGCAAGAACAACGACAAGAAATCCAGTTCTGGAAGTGCTAAGAAGGACTCTGGATCCGGAAGTGGAGGAAAAGATGCTGCTGAAGTTTAAAAGTAAAATAATTTTTTTTACTTCATATTTTTTTTTTGATAATTCTTAGAGAAGTGAAATTCAATTCACCAGATGAATGACAATATAAATTAAAGTCTCTATGTTCAAGATGATTTGTTTCAGAGTAGGAGTAATTTTAGCTAAAAGTGACACACCTGTAAAAAGTGACACACCCATGAAGGGTGTGATTACCGATCGGTAATTTCGACAGTTTAGAATTTAAAATTTTTTATGGAACTGTTGCGAGTTTCATAAAGAATTTAAGGAATATAAGCAAAGATTTGAATCAAAATCTTAGACCTAAGCCGCTCGATTCGCTCGCGGCTTCCGCGAATTACAGATCAGCAAAGATTTGAATCAAAATCTTCGAACTAAGCCGATCGCTTCGCTCGCGGCTTTCTTTATTATTTTAAATTTGCATATTTCCATCAAAAGTTCATAAGGTAAAAAATTTCGTTTATATTATTGCAAAATAAAATCTTCATTATCAAAATAATATTAAATAATAATATAATATAATTTATAAACAACTATTATTTAATAAAGTTTAATTGCCAAGGTTCATCTAATTTTTTGATTTTTAATGTTTTATGAATTTTATTTATCATGTATATATCTAATGAAGATTATATATGTAGAAGATAAGTACCTTAATATGTACGTAAATTTTAATGAAATTTATACAACATTATAAAAATTTATGAATAAAAACTTGATATAAAATAACATTTTTATTTTTACTAAGAAAAAAAAGGTTTTTGATAATAAATTTATTTTATTTCGAAAAAGTAGCAATAATCGTAAAAGGGTATTGATAGGCTTGCTAAAGTAACTAATTTTAGCTGTCAAATACTTTTGTATTTTGAAGTAAATTAGTATAAATTTGTTTTTACTTTTATTTCGAAAAAGTAGCAATAATCGTAAAAGGGTATTGATAGGCTTGCTAAAGTAACTAATTTTAGCTGTCAAATACTTTTGTATTTTGAAGTAAATTAGTATAAATTTGTTTTTACTTTTATTTCGAAAAAGTAGCAATAATCGTAAAAGGGTATTGATAGGCTTGCTAAAGTAACTAATTTTAGCTGTCAAATACTTTTGTATTTTGAAGTAAATTAGTATAAATTTGATATTATTTTAACTCCCTTTGAAAACCTCAATTTTCCATACAGAGGGAACGGGAATAGCATCCAATATTCCCTGAGAATGGTTGCGCATTCTCAGTTCCCTCTATATTTCGAACGAAGCTCTCATCGGTCTTTTTTTTAATACTAAACGTTTTTTTTTCCTGTCACTTTTAGCTAAAATTTGGGTTTGCCATTTGTTTCAAGTCTTCTCGATTAATCACATCCGATATTTGTCAATTTTTTTTTAAAGATGGTACAACTTAAACAGCTGACAATCTTTTTGATTTTCATGGGTTTTGCATCAATACTATTTATATTTCTATCAGAGATTTTCCATCTACAAAGAATTAGCCAACGTTTTGTTTCAATTAAAGCAGAAACTGAATCTACTAGATATTGGAAGAGTAAAGTATTGCCAATGCTATATGAAAACATAATTTTATCTATCGGGCTCCTTATATCCATTTACTATATACGTCCAATATGGAAATCAATCAGAAATCAATACTTATTTTCATACGTTTTCCTTAACATTCATCAACTTGCAATAAAACTTCCTGCAATTCTATACCAGCATTACTTTGTAGATGTTTCTTTCGGCGTTTACACTGCATCTTCAGGGAAATTTTTCATCGACTTAATTCTCCATTACATTATTAATAATTTATTGTTCACAGCATTTGTAATACCTACAATACTTATTGGAAATCGTTTAGCACCTCCAACTACTCAAAAAATCATGATTGAAGATAATCAAGATCAGATTGCAGATTCTGATCCAAAACTAGAAAATCTTGCAGATGTAGACCTCCAGGAATTAGAAGAAATCGAACCAGATCCAGAAGAACATGTTGAATCTTCCCAAACAGCATTTCGGACTTCTCCTCTCTGGATCTACCTTGGTGGAATACTTATTTCCCTATACATATTATCATATATCCTATATCCTACCTATTACAAGCTTTTCCACACAATATACAAACCAACTCCTTATATTGACCAAAAATCGCTTGGAAATCAATTCCAAAACTTCACATTCCCCATGAAAGATAAGAGAAATGAATCAATTTACATAATTCCTAACGATATTGATAATTTTTATCGATTAGAGCTAATGGGGACAATATTCCCAAAGAAAGTCATTTCCTCTAATATACTATCCAAGTCAGTACCAGAAGAGCTCCGTGCAGGAGCCGTTTACCTAGATTCTTTAATTGATAACCAAGCGAACCTCGTTGGATTCTTTATTGGTCTTCTCCGGCCTCTCCTGTTCATCATCATCTTCAAGGTGGTCGATGCGGCCGGAATCAAAGAATTTCACATCCGACCCGGAAAAACCGTTCCCTGTGTTTTACTTGTTTCCTTCGCTTTCTACAACACGGTCATGATTTACGCTGAACCGCTAATAGCATCCGTGCCCAGGTACTTCCAGAAAATTGCAGATTGCACATCTGTAAGAAGCGGGTACCCAATGAACGTCATTATATCGAGGATAGACCGTGCAAACTTCGCTACTGTTACTCACCACCCTATTTTCTCGCTTGTTTTCGTTAAAACAGCGTCTCCTGAAGAAAGATTTGCTAATATAGATGTATGTTTGAAATCTGGCAAACCAAAGTTAATGTAAATAAATATTTTATGCGCTAAAAAGTTTAGTAATTAAAAAAAACTTTTTTTTTTAATCAACAAAAAATATGTAAAAATTGATCGATTAAATGATTAACAATTGTAAATTTATAGCATTGAGATTATTCATATTTGTGCCAAGTTGAGGAATCATGGTAAATTAAATGATTTAGGAGTCAATCATCGGAATTCAAGAATTTTTGATTGCAGTGTAGAATTTACTTGTTTGGTTATTTCTATTTAAGGAATTATATTGAATATTAATGAAATTATTATAAAAATTTTATCAAAAATATTGTAATTTGTAAGTGAGGATAACTAGTTTGAGATTGTTTCTTCCTATACTTATAATATTTGTATTGTTTTTCGTATTGCTCTTAGCCTAATCAGTGAATTGAAAATTATATCTTTTTGAACCTGATCTGAAGCTGAAGGCGTAATCATTTGGGTATTAACAATCATCCTGCGTAACAATTGAGCCATCTCAAATTCCAAATTTTTTTCAAAAATCAAAAAATGAGAAGCGTTCTAACATTTTTTACTTCTGATTTTTCAATTTTCAATTTTTTTTGGAACTTTCATTATTGAAATCAATGTTTTAAAGGTAATTTAAAACAATTTCCCAAAAATATATAATACATTATATAAAAAAATATATAAATTTCTATATCTTAATGTCATTATCAATAATTAATGACAATTCATTATTGAAATTTTTTAAATTAGAATATAGCTATCCATTAATCCAAAAATAATAACCACTATGATACAAAAAGATGTAGCGTAACAATAATTTTGTAATTCATATAGAATTCAATGAAGATCTAAATCTTTTCACCATTGCTCATATCAAAAACAAAAAACTATAAGGTACAAAATAATAATATCTTCAAAATTTATAACATTCTTTTTCAAGGATTGCTTTTCTTCACTTCAAACAATATAAATATTTAATATTACAACTACAAACTTATTAATAGTATCATTCCTTCAATCTCTTTTATTTTCATCTTCACCTACTTTTCAAAACCAACAAAAAAACATATTCTTTAAAAAAAAACTTTTTTTTATTTATTGTTCGATTGCTTTGACTTTCATTTCCAACTCCTTCACGAGAGACTTTCCAAGTAATTCGTTAGTGCTTTTAACTTCTATTATTACCTGACCAGCAGCTGCCTGCACGTATGCAATTGCCTCATGACCGGCTGGTGTCTTTGCGTAAATAGCTCTTGAAGAAGCATCAGGTAATTTGATGTTTGATCCTCTTACGACGTTGAATGCTGTTTGTAGGACTTCTCTTGCTTTCTGAGTCTGAATTGGCTTCATCTTCTCATCGAATGTGCATTTCTTCTCTGCCTGTTCGAATCCTTCTGTTGGTGCCGCTGTCAAGAAGAAAGAAGGGAACAATCTCAATGTTGCATCGAGTGTTTCGACACCTCCTTCAACAGGGACAAAAATAATTCTCACTTTTTGTGGCTGCGTCATATTTGCTGCTTCTATTGTTATCTTGTGAGTTGCGCTTGAAACAGGCGAAATTGGTGTTGTTATACTTGGCACGTCAACACCTTTAACAGCTCCTCCTTGTGACTGAACTGTTATGTCTATCGAATTTATTGTCAGTTCTGTCTGGTTGTGGATCAAAACTTCGACTTCGAGTCTTCCTGGATTTGTCTGGCTCGGAGTGAATTCGATTGCGTTCACGATCAAACTCGAGTTCTCTCCGATCAGCTGCATCCTCGAGCGAGGCTTTGGAGCTGTGACAGGCTGCGGTTGCTGTGGAGGAGGAACTGAAACAGCGCTTGGCATTGGAAGTTCCTGGTTCTTGCTGCGTTTCCTCTTTGAGCCGTGTGAGTGCTTGGAATGCGTCGATCTCTGCTGGGCCTGCTTCATGAGGAGCTCCTGGTTGTACGGCATAGGGCGAGGAAGCTCTTTCTGAACATCGGCCATTTCACTCGTTAAGTCAACACTCGCGAGGGCATCGGATAAAGCGGAATTCTTCGGAGCAACTTTCGCTTTTTGAGCAGAATTCGAAACAGGAGTTGTTGTTTTAGTTGGAGCTTTGATGACAACGGCTTTCGGAGCGTTCTGGCGCTGCTTCCTCATTGGCTTCTTCGGCTTCTTCTCCTCTCCTTCCTTGTGCTCTTCTTTCTTCTTCGGAAGTTTCGAGTCGATGATTTCTTCCGGCTTTTCTTCCTCTTTTTCTTCGATTGCGAACAGAGGAATTGGGTCGTTGAGGCCTGGAGGAAGCTCTATTGGCTCTTGGTCATCAGGTAATTCGCTGGAAAGTGTCTCTTGCAACTGGGAAATTTCATCTGATTCTTGGGAGGTCTCGAAGATGTTGAGAAGCATAAGGATCATCTCTGCTCTGTCTTGGACTTCGGCGGGACCACTTGTTCTGAACATTTCAAGGCCAGTTTTGAGAGTTTCGAGAGCATTTGCTTTTTCTTCGTCGGAAAGCCTCAAATAGAGCTTGAGAGCGGCTGAAACGCAGCAGAGTTGAACTCTCTCGTCTGTTTGAAGGACAAGAGGCTGTACAAGTGACTCAATGCACTCATTCGACTCGGCATACTCTCCAATGATGAAAGATGCGACCAAAAGCAGTCTCGTCTTGTCCTTGTACTCAACATTGTCGAAGAGGGCGGACATTAGATCGACTAATGTCTGGCGAGTATCTGGTACACGAGATGCAAGGTCGTAGAACTGATCGGCAAGCTCGTTGTAGCAGGTAAAACCTCCTTCTTCGAGGAAGTCGATCAAACAGGTAATGTACCACTCAAAATCGCTGATTAATTCGTAATCGTTTTTAGAACAGATCTCAATAACGCGCTTAAGTACTTGATCTTTGAACGCTTGGTTCTTGGAGTCCCTGAAATGGTCGAACATTTTGCCGACAATTCCATCAATTGTCTTTGTATTGGCAAGGGCTGCGAGGAGATCAAGAGCGAGGAGACGAGTGCTCTCATCATTGCTATCGAGACATTGTGTGATTAATTCCTTGTGTTGAGCAACAAGTTTTGGCTGAATTTCGATTAATTTTATGAAAAGTGTAAGGCAAAGGAACCTCAAATTGGCATCCTTGTGTTCTAAGAAGGCTTGCATTCTCTGTGTTGCATATGTAAGAAGGATTGGATTCGTAATTGGGATGTCAATGATAGTTCTGACGCATTCGAAGAGAACTGTGATCGAATTTGTTGTCTCGAGGATTGTAGTGAATGGAGGAACGAGTTTCTTTGGAAGACGTGGCTCAACGCTGCAGAGCATGCGAAGAATTGTAATAAGACGAACAGTAATCCAGTTTGTTGGTGCGGTTTCGAGCATCTTGTGGAATTTTGGAATCATACCAACGAAATTCTGTGGATTATGAGCACATAATTCGGACATAACTGTAAGTGCAGAGAAAACAACAAAAAGATCTGTATCGTCAAGTCTGTTACGTAATGCTGTGAAGCCAGGACGTAAGGCGTCTGGATATTTAAGGCAAATGTGGTAGAAAGTCATAATAGCCTTTTGGCGGAGTTGTGGCCTTGCACCGGACATGAGGGCGATGACGTCATGTGCAATATGCTGTGCAAGTGGAAGAGATAAGTAAGGAGGAAGAGATGTAAGGACGGCATTCGCAATAAGTGGAACAACAGATGTAAGATCGCGATGAATTCTATGTGTAGCCATAATAACGACATCTGACTGGGTGTTCCACATTTGGGAGGCCGCGGTATAGGCAATTCTCTTGGCCGAGTAACTTTCAGAAGACATGACTTCAAGAACGGTGAAATCTGCCCATGAAACATCATAGCCAATTAAATTGAGGAAAATGACTTGTTGTACGATATCAGATTTTTCATCTATTGATGCGTTTGCGCATTCTTTCTGCATTTCATCCATTTGCTCGGATATGAACTTTTCTTCTGTTCCGTTGACTTTGTTGTTCAAATATCCACGAATAACATCAAAAAGAGTTCTTGAAAGCATTTGAAAAAAAAAAATTGAACAAGCAAAAGTGACACAAATCAAAAGGATTTTGCACCCGCTACTTCATTTTTTTCATTCTGGTATAAAAATGCAATATATTAACTAGGAACACAATGACGGCTATAACTTTTGCTTGAGCATTCTCCGCACTTAGTTATTTAATTCATTCGATATTTGGTATTGTACTCTGATGCAATTAATCAAATGTTCTGATATTTTAGAATCCATATTAATTAATGCAGGTGTTTTTAAGTTCAAATTATCTTGTTTAATTCAATCTGATTTGTAATACCTCATGAGAGTTATTTATATCTGAATTTAGGTATTAAATCAGTAGGATTATTAAAATTCATAAAAACAACTGTATAAATTATAATTAAAATGAAAAAAAGAAAAAATAATAAGTAAAGTGACTGGAAATGAAAATGAAAATCAGTGTACAGTTTTATTTTTTACTCGCTGTGAAACGTATTCGGTCATTTTTTTAAAAATTAATTTTTTGTTAGAGATAAGAGCTAAAACTCGGTAAACAACTTCTTTATGTCTAGAAAATTCTATCTTGCCTTTTATTTTTTTCTCGCTGTGAAACGTATTCGGTCATTTTTTTAAAAATTAATTTTTTGTTAGAGATAAGAGCTAAAACTTTGCAAACAACTCCCCCATGTCTAGCAAATTTAACATTCGTCTCCCATTTTTATATATTTGGTTTAGAATGTTCGAAAATGCGTAATATGGTCATTAATATTAATTGAAAAGAACCTTGAATTAATTCAATCTAATCTCACAAAATATTTTAAATTACAAACTTTGTAGTTTGAATAGATAATTAGTATTAAACTCAAATAACTAGTTTATTTTTGAATAAAAATTATTTGAATTTATTCAATTTTGTGAATTTTCCTTCAAAAATCAAGTTTAAATATCTTATTTGTCATATAATTATAAATACAATGAAACATATTCGAAATTGAAAAGAATGACTTTTTCTGTTCTTTCAATCATTCAATTTGAATTTTGCAATATTGGATTTCTCATTAAATAGCTATTAAAAACAACAAGCAATTTAACTTACATTCAAATTTATTTGTGTTATATTCAATCTTCTCAAAACTTATAATTTTCGGCTATAGCATGATTATATGCTATATAATAAACCTATAATAGTATCATTCTTTCAATTATTTGAAGAGAAAACCGAAAAAATCTATTTTCGGTCTATAACATCGATCATTTTTTTGCGATTGTCATGCAAATAAACTTAAAATATTGCTGCAGATTTTATACTGATAACTAAAAACGATTGGGTTCCAAATGATTTTTCTTTGAAAATTTTACCTGTAATTTTGAAAGAAAAATTCATCAATATATAATTGAAAATATGATTGAACTTATAAAAAATGATCATTACATAAACTGTCAAAATTTTTATTTAATTTTTAAAAATGTCTGCATATGATAATGCAATTCAAATGCATAACATGTCAAATTCTCTTTCTGAAAAGTATTTTAGATTGAGAAGAAAATTGAATACGCAGTTTATACGTTAATTTTTGAATTCAATCACCTTCATCGTAAAATCAATCTGTTAAATGATACTGTTTGAATTAAGTGATAGATAATTTAACGGAAATTTTCTGTTCGTTATATAATTGTAACAAAACCTCGGAAATCAATTATCATCTAGACATATTTTAAAGTATTTCTAAAACAAAATAACTTTTTATTCTCAATTTTCAAAACCTAGAATTATATTTCAAATATATTGTTAATAAAAATTTCGATTAAACTTCATAAATGATTTCTATATTGTTTTCAATTTCGACTTCTGAAATTTGAATTATGGTATTCATAAAATCTCGATTTGCAACTTGTTTCCTATTTCAGAATTTCAATTTTTATATTCACTTTTCATAGCTCAGAATTTTTATATTATTCAATACAATGATAGGCGGTGATATGCTTCTAAATGATTACAAGTTTACTGTAGGCTCAGATCGAGAGCTTTTTCATGTAGATCACAATCCGATTAATTGGGTAACAGCTATGTCACTCATGTTTTGCATGATGACCGGAAATGATGCAAATTTCATGGACGTTTTATTTGATTACGGCATTATTAACGTTATTTTAATGCGTATTTTGGCTGCGTTCTTAAATATTTTGGCATCCTACTTTTTTATTTACACTTGGAGATTTAATTTTGGCAACCAATATGCAGACATTGTTAAAGATACATTTGGATGGGGTCACAATACTGTTAGAATCATATATATTCTTACACTCGTCTATTCTGCAATTGCCAACATTTCATCATTAAAAACTACTTTACAAATGTTCATTCATCCAATTTATGGTGATAACACAATATTCACAAACAAGTATTTCGTATTCTTCTTTATCACTCCTCTGTTTACACTTCCATTTGTGTTTTTCAAAAAATTCGTTTCTTTACGATTTTACTTTATGATTGGTGATTTTGCAATTCTAACACTTCTGATTGGAACAATATATTTCTTTGTCACATCTTTCAAACAAGAAGGCTTCGATCCTCAGAAAAATTTGTTTTAGTATCAGTCGACTTCTGGGGGCTTGTGTCAACATTTTCCTCATTCACTACTCTATTCTGGGGCCAGCCATTCATTTGCAATGTCGCTACAGCCCTTAAGCATACAACTCAAAGATATGTTTTCAATCTCGTGATAACTTCAACAACACTTGTCGCAGTTTTTAACTTTTCAATTTCGATGTTTAGTCACTTTTATCTTTGGGGTGAAGCCGAAGATCAAGATATTTTGGAATTTTATCCAACTGATAATAGATTTACCCAAGTAATGCAAGTTGCAAGCATCATAAATATAATTATCACAAATGCTGGCTATCTTATAATTGCTAGTAGACAATTTGTTCAATTATTCGCAAGTGAAATTAACTTCATTTCCATATTTGTTGGTGCTATTATGGTCATATTCGTTTGTGGCGCGCTTGATTATTACTATGAAAGTAGATATGAAAATATCATCGAACTCATTGGATCAATAACATACTCTTTCATGGCACTTTTACTTCCTCCTATACTATACATCAGAGCATTCAAAGTAAAAGGCTTGAAAGGCTGGTCTGCATTAATTCATTTAATTATTTGCCTCGCTATCACTGGATTGATTATCAAAACGTATTTCTAGATATAGGAGTTCATGGTTCAACATGATTCTAAGAAGTCGTTTCTTCGATATTCTATCTAACAACTTTGTACAGCTTTGTAATAGGGTATATATTAAAATTATGTTAACATTATGACTATGACACATTTTAAATACTCTTGTTTTTTATAATTAACTTTTATGTCTGTGAATAAATTTTCTTTGTTATCAACATTCTAGTATTTTAAGTTAATCAGTTTAACAACTCCTGAGTAATCAAATTTTTATGCTCATATGCAACCTAACTCAGTTAATTTTAATCTTAATAACGATATTGAATTATATTCCGTATTTCACTAAATTGTCTAATTCTACATATATTAGGAATACTAATTTTATGCGAAATATCAAAAGAAATCAAGTTTTTTTTAAAAAAATTTAAGAAATTGATGATAAACATTCTTAAATCAGATCATTCAATAATAAAAATATTAGGAAATTAAGATAGAAGTATTATTATTTAATTTATTACGAATATAAAAAATTCATCAAATATCATCAGAAGCAGCAAAGTTATCAAATAAATCATCATTAATTTGGTTGTATGTAATTAATGGATCAAAATCATCTGTAATTTGAATAAAATCAACATTTTCAAAATTCAAAGATGTATCAAATATACATTCGTTATGATCTAAGTTGATAGTGCTTCTCGCAGTTTTCTTTGCTTTCTTTTCACGTTTCCTTTCTCTTCTAATCAATAATCTGAATCTGTTTTTGACCATGATTGGTGTTCTACCACTTAGATAAGTAGATATCAGAGACCAATGGTTTCCAATTTTCTTTTGCATATCAAGAAGAATTTTATCTTCTTCTTCATCCCATTCATCTTTACATAAATCTGGAGCAAGAACCGAAAGCCATCTTTCTCTGCACTGTCTTCCATTACGGCCTGGAACATTCAATGTATGGCATTCCAAACGGGAACCGCGGTTGGTTACCATGGATTTCCGTCACCGGTCACATTTTAAAGATTTTTAAAGCCTTATAAAAATATGCTTTGTAAATCATTTTTTGTAAATCGGCAAAAATTTGGTAATTTTCTTCAACTAATAAATCAGCGAATAGCATTTATAATACAAGAACAATCTTTTAAAATGCGTTTGATTCATTTTTGTATAATTTCATATAGGCACATATATTCTTCCGGGACTTTCCGTGATTTTACCGTAAAATCATTAGTTTACACCAATTTTTCCGTATTTTGAATAGTTTACTGCACTTTTTCCGTAAAATTGAGTTACGGGAATCCGCAAAATTTCCGGACCTCATTTTTCATAGAATATAATAATAATATTTGATAAAAAGATATATTATTTATATTTTTGATTTTTGAATTACGGAAAAAGTGAATTGTTAACTTGATTTTTTTATATGGTTAATTTTTCAAATGATATTATGAAGATCTAAAATATTAAAAGTAAAAAATTGAATTACGGAAAAAGTGAGGTCAAAAGTGAAATAAATTTGCAGAACAATTTTCATTGAAATAAGACATTGAGTATCACACTTTAGTGAATCAACATCTATAAGAATGAAGTGTTTTGAAGCTGAAATAATATTGAATAGAAATTAATTTTTTCTGAAATTTTGAATGAAATTATGGGAAATAAAAAAATTACTAAATATTGTATTCATACAAATATATTATTTTAAAGGAAAAATAGATGCTGATAGAAACGATGAAAAATTTTGAAAACTTTACAATTAATTTATGTTCGTTAACCACAGAGCTTGCAATCCAAAGCTCACGTTAGACTACAAGAGTCATGAAGTCTCATACTAAGGGATATCCAACATATATTTTAATAATCTAATGTTTGTGACAAATATTCAACATAAAATTAAGTTTTCGTTTCGTTACAAGGCATTCATACTTTGGAGATATCATATTTAATGTACAGAAAAGTTAATATTAAACAATACATGCTAAAGAATTAATAAATAAGATAATAAAATAAATTTATACGTAATTACTTTCATTTAATATGCTTTATGCTGTATAATATTGATTAAGAGGCATTAAAAGGTTCCATAGTCTGCTTTTATAGGCAAGATTTTTGATAAAAATTTAAAATTTTGAAAAATGATGAGAAAAGGAAAAAAAAGGTAAATGAGAGCAAGAGGAGGGAAAAAAAAGAAAAAGAAAAGAAAGGGAAGGGAAAAATAAAAGAAAGAAGGACATATAAAAATTTAGATGCGCATTCTTAATGCCGAGGCGGCTTGCCGCCGAGGCGCGATTTTTTTAGGCCTCTACGGTAACCCGGCAATGTTTTTTTAAATCTTGTACAGCCCTAAATTCAATGCAATGGAATCCCATCTTGTAGTTCCATTATTTTTCACTGCTTCTTCTAAAAGTTTATCTTCATCGGGGGTCCACTTGTTTTTAACTAGCTTAGTTTCCCCGTGCTTCTTTTTTCTAGAATATAACAGCATTGATCCCGGTACTTTAATTCAAATGAACCAAAATTATAACTCTCCTATTCAAAATTAAAAGAACATTCAATAATTCAGAACTGATGGTTTTGAGAATAATGTAATAATTATATTCTAAATTGGATTTAAAAAAGATCTATATTCCGATAATTCAGAATTTTATTTTGACATCACCGCGGTGATTAATTTGGATCCTAACTGTCGGTTCACAAAGTGACCTGCCAAAAAACAATATGAGGCTTCAGAGAAAATTATTAGCATATTTAAGAAATAAGATTCTAATTGAGAAAAATAATTTTGAGAAAAAAAAATTCAAAAAGATCCACTATTCATTGTAGATCCGTCAAATTGAGGTATCGTCACTCTGACAATTAAAAAGATATACATATACCATAAATTGATATCTTTTGATGTTTATGCACCTTGTAATGCTTTTAAACCATTTTTTCAAAAAATTGGAAGATATGAAATAATCATGATAACTATTTCATAACTATTAAATATCTAAAACAATACTACACATATATTGATAATTCATAGTTTCAATAATCTTTACATAACAGAATATTGACAAGATACTTCTTTTGATTAGCATGCATCGTAAGCAGCATGCATTTTAACAATTTTCCCAATAAAAATATATTACGTTCAAGAATATAAAAAAAAAAACAATTGAATTTTTGAAAGTATATATGGGAAAATAATATATATCTACAAGAGTTCAACACTCAACAAGTATAGAACAGTTCCATCAAACAGTTTCTATGATTTAATTTTTTGCACATTCTTTAAATTGAATAATCACTAGATCTGATCAATTAAGGAATATGCAATCCAACTTTCCTGTCATCAAACAAACGATCTTTGTTTTGAATTCATTACCTTGAATGAAATTGAAAAATTAAATTTCAAATAATTATTCAATAGGTATAATTAAATCATTGATGTATTTACGATTTACTTTAGTTTCGAAAGTTAATTCCTATTTTGAGGGGAAGGAGGAACTTCCTTTTGTAATTTTTTTTTCTTCGATGGATGGCGATGCTATTTACCTGACATCTGATGACCAACAAATCTCTACAGCAGAAGGTGATGAAACTTTCTTCGATTTAGAAGATAGTGATAGACATATTACATTAAATTTTACATTGGGTTATGAATCCGAAAAATTAAATGTCTTCACTGAGTATAGCACGGGAGAATTGACGCCAGATTTTATATATACATTCAAGATAGTAAATCATCTAAATAGTGAATATTCATTAAAAAAGGTAATCAAGAAAAATTTTAAGCATAATCACAATGAAAGCTTCCAATTACCAGATAAACTCACAAAATCCAACGGATTCATTAAAGATGACCATATAACTCTATCAGTTTCAGTTCTCCTTCGTGATAACATCTTAATCCGATCGCAATCCAGTTCTGCAGTTACAAGTCGATTAAATTCACCCCAAGTACCGAAATTTCTTCCAGAAAAAGAGATAAATATCCAAGAAATACAAGAAAACATCCCAAAATTACAGCTAGATATTCCAAAACTTCAAACCGAATCCAAAAACACGATTTCAGACTCAGATTCTGATGTAATAGAAGTTACAGCCATTAAAAAGAGTCATAGACCTTCTTCAATGACATTTTCATCAGATTCATCAGATTCATTTAATTTTATCCGAAAAAACAGTCAAAATTCGGAGAAACCAAGTCAAACAAACAAAACAACAACAGGAAAATCCCAAGAAGATACGAAAATCCTTCAAAAGAATTCAAAAAATGATGATGAAAGCGATTCTTTTGATTTGGAACTCGAAAATGACGAAGAAATCAAAGAAAACAAAAAAGAAATTCCTTCAAAATTCGAAACTTCTTCTGATGATATCTCTTTCAATTTCAATAGTCAGAACGATACAAAAAGTGACATTTTAAATTCAACATCAAATGCACCATTTAGTGGATTAATCAATAGAGGAACAACATGTTACATTAACGTGTGGCTACAGATACTTTTTCATTTGCCAATTTTTAGATTACATGTTTTTAAAAGTGACAATGAAAATGACAGTGAATTTTTGAATAGTTTACGACGGTTATTTTACAAAATGATGATTGAACCTACAGGTAGTCAGAATCCCAAGCAATTGATTGATAGTTTTGGCTGGGACACAGGAATTCTATCCACACAACATGATTCCATTGAATTTTTCACTCTTTTGATTTCTTCTCTTCCGAATTCTCTCAAAAAAATTGTCGATGATTTGTTCGAGGGAAAACTGAAGCAGAAAATATATAAAGATGATAAAATGCTAACAAAATCAAACCAGGATTTTCTGACTTTGTCTTTGGATGTCAAAACCGCCCAAAATTTGACAGAAAGTTTACAAAAATTTTCAGAAAAAGCAAAACTACAAGATTACAATGGCCAAAAAGACTGTGAAATGGAGACAACGATAAAAAAGCCGCCAAAAATATTGATTGTCCATTTAAACAGATTTTCTTTCGATGAAAAAGGTGTAATTAAATTGAATGATGAATTCAAATTTGATGAAAAATTTATTTACAAAACCGCTGAATATCAATTATTTTCTGTTATTGTCCACAGTGGTTCTCCTAACTCAGGACACTACTACTGCTACATCAAACCTCAGATGAAAGATGATTTTGTATTGTTTAATGACACTGAAGTGAAATTTTGTTCAAAAAGAGAAATGATCGAAAATAATTTCGGTGGAAAAATTTTCTCAGCTTACGTGTTAGTTTACATTTCGACGATAGAAATCAATTCAATTTTTGTTGATGTCGATATAAACGAAATTGACAAAACAAAATTCGAAGAAATGTTAAATCTAAATGTATTTTTTGACAAAGATATCGATTTCTCTGCAAAAAGTGGTTATTTATCGTATATTAACCGTTTTCCACTTCACTTGAAAATACCTGTTTCTGAAACAATAGAAAACATTATTCCAAAACTGAAAATTAATCCAAAAATTGACAATTTGACAGAAAATGACAAATATTTGTCAAAAATTGTGTCAGATTTTAATGAAGGAAAACTTTTAGATCTGAAAAACATTTCTGAAGAGAATTTAAGATATTTTTCTCTTGAAAATGAAATTTCTTTGGGAAATGAATTGCAAAAAAGTGACAAAATATCAGTTTTAGAAGAAACGAAAGGAGTTATCATTTTACAGAATTTTCCAAAGAAATATATTTTCCCTGTTTTGATTTACGAACCTTCTTTGATTTGCCCTTTAAGACTCTTCACAATTTTGAACTTGGATGAAATTGACATAAAAGTATCAGATGTAATTTCAATATCATTTTCTGACAAATCTGTCAAAACTGACAACATTTCACTTTCTGTTTCGAATGCAACACTTTCGTTCAAGACATTGATTAATTCCCAAAAATTGTCAGAAATTAATTTGAAAAATGGACAAATTTTTATTTTGTCATCGAAAACAGGCAATTTTGATCTGGATAATACAGTTAAGAACTGTTTTTCTTTTGATGACAGATGCAAATTTAATATTTCTTTCGATGAAAATCAAAATAATTTGACATTTGACACTTTACATGAAAATATGACAAATTGTCAGATTTATCCAAAGAAGTTAAGTTTATTTATGAGTATAATGAAAGAATCATTTAAGATCACATTGACATTTAACAACGAAATTACAAAAGATGTTTATTTGTTGCCTGATTGTAATTTTGGCACTTTTTATGATATTTTGCAGAATATTTTTGGAAAAAGATATGAAATATCGAAAGAAAAAACAACTCTTTTCTTCTTTAGTTCGAATTCTTTCACTCCTATTTATTACAAATTCGAAGATTTAGTTCGAAAATGTCTTTTCCAAAATAAATCTTATAAAGTGATGTCAATGAACGGAATTTCTCTTCTCTCTCAAAAAAGTTTCTTCAGAGTTATTGCATTGGTCGTAAACGGACCGATTATTGTAAAGGAAAGTGAATTTTTGGTCACTTCACTTTTCACTGTTGATGGAATTTTGGATGAACTTTATGAAAGGAATTTGATTTCATCCAATAAATACAAAGTTCTTGCTATGAAAGAGAATGTTTTTAGATTTGCTGATGAAACTGTTTATGTTTCTTTTTATTCGAATCCTTTCAGAGTTTTCAGCATTTTGTCGAAAGATGTTTTGATTTTGACTGTTTTCTACTTCACAAGGGAAAATTCAACACTGAGGGAATATGATAAGAAACTTCCTTTCCCTGTTGAAATAAAACCTGCTGATACTTTCTTGGCTTTGAGAGAACAGTTGAAAGAGAAATATCAGTTGGATACAACTGGAAACAAACTTTTTAAAGTAAGTTACGGAATTTATGGAAATATTGAAGCTTCCTCTGTAAATGATGATGAATACATCATGAAAGCTGTCAACATAGAAAAAGAAAGAGTTGGAATAGAAATCGTTATTTCAAACACTCTCAAACTTCATCAACTTTAACTTTTATATTTTGTTTGTATATTTATATTATAAATGTTTGTTTATATATTTAATTTTTTTATAATTAACTAAAGCCAATTGTTTAAGGGTGCACTTACGCCCCTATGACATGTCCTTCAATTCAGATGTTTAAGGTTAATTTTCAATGGCGCTTCACGCCAGTTGTCAAAATTTGAATTAAATCAGATGGGCGTAAGTGCAGCCTTAAAGGATTTACTATCTTCTCAATATTTTGAGATAAGAAATCTTATATTTTTATTGGAGTCATGATATAATATAAATACGTTTTATTCTTCCTCAAGTTAAAAAGTGTCCATATTATGAAATCTACAACTCAATTTAGAGTGGGTCAAAAACAATGAAACCATAGGAAATGATAGAAGAATAGAATAAAAATTGTTTTTTATTTTAAAATATGAAACTTCATACGAAATCATTTCTTGAAAAGATGGATCTTGACGACAATAACTTGATGATTATTTTTTAAAAAATTCATTTCAATTATATAAACTAACAAACAAAAAAATATTTATTTTATAAATTGATATGAGGTAAAATGACACGTATTGAAGATGACTGCCAAAGTACACGATCTGATGTGCATGGAATAGAAACATATCCAAGGAATTCATCAGAGTCGTACACGCAACACTGAACTAAGTTTTGATCTGAATTATCAGATGTTGATTTATTTGGAGTTTTATATCCAAACAAATTGATTGCTTTGTTTCCAAAAATCGACAAATATCCGTTGTTTAAATATGCATTACAAAGAACTGCATCTTTAATAACAATTGGCTTTTCTTCTTCGACTTTGATAAATTCATTTTTGTCTTCTTCTTCGTTAGAATCAGAATCATTGTTTGAAATCGAAGACTTTAATGAAGAAATTTCGAATCTTGGTTTTCTTTCTTCAGTTTCGAAGTAAATAACATCACAGTTGAAAATATTCTTCCATCCTTTTCTTACTCCAACATCTATTTGTTCTCCAAAGTTGTTCATCATGAAACTATTTGTTGGAACAATTGGAGTATCTGAATAATAAACTGCATCATTGCTTATATCAGCATGACTTGATCCTTGTATTCTTGGCTCTTTTTCTCCGAAGAAATAACTCATTATACAGTTAATTGAATCTCTAATTACTTTGTCGTTGGTGTAATGAGACAAAAGAGAATAAGCGAAATGAGAAACACTGTTTCGATATTCATCATCACTGAAACTTTTTTCTTCAAATATTGTGTAACAAATTCTACAAATACTTATTATTTGGCTGATTGGAATATTGAAATCAATTCTCTGACTCAAACAAATGAGGAGATGAACGAAAGGACCTTCAAATCTTCTCATTTCCGTCACATTCACTGGGAACTTTTCAAGAATCGATGTAATTCCTGCAATTGTACATGGTCTGCTCATTATGTATTCGAAGAAGATTGGACTCATCTTTATCTTCTCTTCTTCAGACATCAAAACATAGAAATTGTTGAAGTTGTGAATGTGAGAGAAATCAATCATCGCAGGAATAACAAAATCATCCATACTCGAATCATAAATCATTATGATTGTTTGATCAGTATTTTTGCTGTAAATAATTAACTTCTCAATTGATGATGGTTTTGAAATGATTTCGTGTGAAAAAGAACCATAAATCGAAGTCTTTTTCTTCAAAGAATTCGAAATAAAACGAGCAGCAAAATCGCAAGAAATCAATTTGTCGACAACAATAAAAACAGGATGTTCTGATGGATCAGGAATTGTTTCTGCAGTTGTGTGAGTGAAGTAAGCTTTTGGAGTTAATGTTGTTATAGAAGTAATATGATTAATTAACTGCGGCATAACTAACCTTATCTGTTTCGAATGAATGTTTGGAAATGTTCCTTCCAAATACAAATTCCTTGTGTTATCGAGATATTTCTTCATATAGAAATGCTCGAAATTGCAGATCATTCCCAATCTTTCGCTTGAAGGAAGCATAGAACTGAATGTCAACAAAATATCTTCGAAAACAGTTACAGATGATTGGGGAGTCAAATTTGTTTTCGCGTTGTTCTTTATTGCAATTAAAAGCTGATAAACACTATGCTCGTCTTTTACACAATCAATTACATCTTTGCAAAGGTTTGTAAATGTTGTGAATTTCTTGATTTCTTTCATAATGTTTTCGATGTCACTGATTGTTTTATTGATTTCATTTCTCAAACTAACCAACTTATCAAGAGAATTCCTCATGTTTATCATCTTTATACTGTTATTAAAGTATTCTGGCCACGAATCTCTTGAAAAATCAGTGATTTTCTGTATCAATTCGTAGAAATCATTTGTTTTCTGAGCATAGATATCAATCGATTGTATGATATCATCGAAGAGTTTCTTGTTGCAACAGAGAACGCAACTTATGTCGAACCATTCTGTTTTATGGAGATCTTTAACAGAAAAGTTACTAACACAAATGTTTTTCTTCGTTTTTGAAAGAAAATTACAATCAACAACAGAAACAACAAACATTTTGAATGAAAAACTAACAGGACGTGCGATATTCTTGTAATGAACTGTCCTTGTAGCCTGTAGTTCTAATCTCAAATGTGAAATATCATCGCAAAACTTTATTCCACTTTCGACAGAATCAATGACAACAATGACGGTTTCTCCACTAGAAATCGCAGAAATGAGAGTTTCATGATATTCAGAAGAAGTGAACAAAATCCTTGAATTCTCTTGATGGCTTGCTATTAATAGTTGTTGACAAACATTTTGTGGATCATAGAAGATATTTAATGGTTCAGGAATCAGGTTTTCATTGTCTTTTTCTTTTTCGGAAAAGAAAATTGGTTTCAATGGCAACAAATTATAAAAAACAATTTGATCAACAAAATTAATTACATTAAAGATTTGTGCCGTATTAATTGACAACTTTGTATTTGTCTTAGTGTTATTATCGCAAATAGTAAACAAAGATTTGATTGTTTTCACTGGGAAATACATTTGCAAAGCCATATGATTTTTGATCAATTCAAATGGATTCGTGAACATTTTTAGTTCAACTGATTTCAAAATTTCGTATCTTTGTGATTGATCAAATGAGCTTATTCCATAAGGATAACTCACTTGTATTGCTGTGAACTGTTTAACAAGATGTTCTGTCTCAACGGAATCAGTAATAACTGAGTTCATTACTTCCATAAATTTCTCAATTTGAGTGAATAATTTGACAACGTCATTTTGATTTGATTCCCAAGCTTTAAGAAGCCAAGAAGGACATTCCGAAACACCAGACAGTCTTTTAGCTGTTTCAAGAAGTTCTTCGTACTGTTGCTTGTATCTGTTCACAAGTTGTTTATGCGTTTTAATTCTTGTGTTTAACGATGTCAAATCTTGAGAAATTGATTTTCTTTCATCCGACAAAGTTATTGAATGAACAATATAACACAAGCAACCAACAATGTTATTGGCAACAGCAATGTTAGATAGCTTGTTTTCTCCAAATTCAGATTCTTTCATGATAACTGTGTAGTTATTTTCTCCTTTTAAGTTGAATTTTGCCAATTTTGCAACAAGAGAAGAATCAATTTGATCCAAAACAATTTGTGATAGATTGTTAACTAACAAAGTTGTTTGTGGCGATGAAGATGAAGGATCAGAGAAATTAGATGTAGTTGCAATTCCAAAAATATCCTTGAAAATGTTTGAAAAACTAAATGTTTGGTCTTGAACATTCAACCATTGTTTGATTTGATGTTGCTGCTCTTGTAATGGCAAAGATTTCATGTTATTTATGAGTTTGTTGTATTTATCTTGCAGATCAACTTGTAATCCGTTGTTTATAAATGTCAATCTTTGCATGTTTTCATCTTTTTGCTTGTTCAAATCATTTTCTTTTTGTAAACTATCTTTGTATTTTTGTTCCAATAATTGAACTCTTTTTTGAATTTCGTTTTCATCAATCTCTGATTCATCGTTTGATTTAGAACCACCAATATCTAATTTGGATTTCAATGATGCCAAGTTTTGCATAAATTGGATAATGACATTGATTTCTGAAGTGAAATCGGAAAATCTGTCATTAAATTGTTTGATGTGGTTCTTACAATGATGATCAAATTCTCTTGTGTTCAAGTTTTTGACATAAGGAGACACTCTTTCAATGTATTGATTGGTGGATGTCAATACTCCAAGGTTTAATGATTTATTCAGTTGCAGCAAAATCATTTTTTGTCTGAATAAATCAGGAATTTGTAAATACTGACTTTCATCTGAAACTAAAATGAAGAAATTAACTAAATTGAACAACAAATTGAAGTTTTCTCTATTTGCTTTATTTGTTTTCTCTGTGTTCAAGTAGTTGTTAAGTATAGTGAACTCGTGTTGATCGAAATAAGTTGAAGCCAAAGTATTTTCTGAATTGAACAAAAAGAAAGACAAAACATCAAAAACTTCATCCCAATTCATTTTGTTCATGTCCAAAATGAATGTTGTTCTGTTTTTGTTTTGAGAAATCTTAACTAATGCTTTAAACAACTGGTTGTGGAAATCAGAATTGTCCAAGACAACAAATTCAGTGTTCTTTATATGTCTGAAATAATTCAAAGAATCCAAGTTCAAAATTACATTCAATTGCAAATTAATTATTTCAAACAAAATCGAAACAAAATTGAATTCCGTTGGCAAAGTTGCTGTTGAAAAGTTATGGTTCTGATACTCAATAATGTTTTGTTCATTGATTGCGAAACTGGAAGAAATCTTCAAAGCGTTTTCTAAACCGAAATAAATTGAGAAAATTCTGAAAAACACTTCAACAGTGTCAATTTTTGTATTTTGTTCTAAGAATGATTTAACAACTGCTGGTTTTTCATAGTTCTCTAATAGAGATTTAACTTTTTCTAAATTGCTTCCGAAAATGATATTTGACTCTAATTTCTTCCAATCGATCGAATTTTCATTTCCATTTTGTTCAATCAAATAAAACGGAACTTGCATTTCGTAAAATGGTTTGATATCATTAGTTGTAACAACTAAATGAACATTCTCACAATAATAATAGATATTATCTTCCGGAGATTGTATAGTCTTGAAAAGTGACAAACCGTAAACGAAATCTTGAACTTCTTTTATGGCGTTGTTGAAATCGAACAAAACAATCCACAAAGAATTTCCAAATTTCGGACAATAAACATTTCTTTTCATCAATTTCAAGTAATTAAAAACTTTCATGTGAATCTTTTTGTTGAAAGAAGATGCATAAAGAACTAAATCTTTTTTGTCTTTCTTGTCATTGACAAATTGTTTTGCAAATGTCCTTTTTCCTGATGATAAATCACCAGTAATAACAAAAGGCATAAAAGTTTTCAATGGAATAAATCTGATTTTTTCTTCAGTGATCAACGCTTGTTTGTATTCTTTGGTGAATACGCATTCAATCAGTTTGGACATTGTTATTGATTGGTCTGTCTCAGAAATGTATCTTATTGTGTTCACGTTTTTAATTAATTCATTCAAAATTTGACCATCATGTTTTTGCAAACTTTTTTGAGAAGAAGTCATTTGATTGATGAAAGAATCAACGAATGCAAGGATTTCCACTTGATTCTGCTTGAATGATTTGTATTCTACCAGTATTAATGCAAAATCTTTTATGGAAATGTCAGGAATTATTATAGAATCAACATTTTCTTCTTTGATTTCTCTAAAAATCATAAATTGAATCGATCCGTAATCATTGATTACTAAATTAACATAATCATCAGTTAAACTTGAGATTGAATACGTGATTCTTTGTATTTTCTCTCCTAATGAAACAAAAATTAATGACATAGCAATTAAAGTTGATTTCGAAGTAATCATAATTTTCTTCGAAATGGATTTTGTTGGATAGTCTTGTCTGTATGATTTAGACGAGTTTGTGTCCAATTGGAAGACTTGATCTTTGATGTTTTCTATCTTTTGAAATAATGTTTCCGAGAGATTTATTGTAATTGGTTCTTCGTATTTAACAACTTTTCCTGTCAACAAAAATTCGCAAATATCGAAGAAAATTCTAAATTTCTTTTTGTTTTGCGATATCTCTTGAATTTGGTTTTGTCTCAATACCAATTTGGATAACAAATCCAATTTAATGTCATGTTGAATGTCATTGTTTCTGTTAAGTTCCTGAATCTCTTTAATTTTTTGTAGAAATTCTGTTTTAGATGTTTTATTCAAATGAATTGGTCTCAGTCTTTGTTTCAATGACGAAGGAATGTTTTCTTGTTGGAAATTAATGAGGAATGATGTTGGCCCAATCGTTATTTCATGGAAGGAATTGGAACTCTTCATAGTTGTCAATTTGTCTTCAACACATCTGAAATAATCATGCATCTGAGAAGTAATGCTTGGAAAACTCAAAATGTTGACAATTGCTTTGATTTTGTTGGCTGCAACAATGAAATTATCGAGCATATTTGTAGAACAAATTTCGAAGTAAGGCATTCCAATGTAATCAGCAAAAACTTTCAGAAGATTTCGATTGTTTTCATCTGAAAATTGTTTGATGAAAAATGTTTCGGGGTTTGTTAAACAATGAGCAAAGACAAGGAAAGAATCTTCTTCCGAATCAGTCATTGGGAACAATCTCGGTTCAGTAATAAGCTCATAGTAGTAAGGAATAGTTTGGTTATCAGCGAAATTGACGAAAATATCTCCATATGGATTTCTTTGATGGAAAAAGTGACGTCTAAATTTCAAAGAAAACTGAGATATTTTTTCTTCTGATTCGAAACTTTGCAAAATATCTCTGTGTCTCAGCTTCAAAGACATAAGGAGATTGATTAAGACTGATTTCTCAGGATAATACTGAAGCTCTTTCGACAAAAATTTAATGGTTTCTTGTACATTTTGTTTGAACAACAACCAATCAATTTTTGAATATTCTCTTGAGAAAATTTCCATGACAGAAGAGAAGAAATAAGCATTTTCTGCAATCAAAGAAGACTGTATTGGATACTTTTGGTACCACTTAGATAGATCTGTGTATTCTCTTGAAGTAAAAGCATCTCCAATTGATGTTTTCACTGAGTTTCTCATTTCATTTTCAATTACATTCAAAATTTGTGTAATTGTATATTTTTCAAGTGGAAAAACACCAGAAAACAAATAAGTTTCTCCGAAATTATTTGTAACTCCAACTAAACTTTCTTGATCTGTAATAGAGATAGCGACTTTAGAAATAGATGGGAAGATTGGTTTCAAATCATCAATGCTTTGTTTTAAGTTCAAACAACTTAAAATTATATTCGAAAGTTGTTTGTTGTCAACGAAATATAATCTTGGAAATTCTTTTCTTTGTATGTCAAACAAGTTTTCGATTTCTTTTGAAACAAATTGACATCTCTTTTTGCATTCATTTAAAAGATTGATCAAGAAATCACCAACAAACTTTGATGGATCAGAATTTGTTACTCTCAACAAGATATCATTTGAAATTCCTTTGATTTGACTGTTTTGTAAACTTGATAATGATGCTTTTGAATTAAATAATTCAGAATTTAATGATTTCGTAGAAACCATAGCTGTATTTTCACTGCTACTTAATTCTGATTGCAATCTCTCTTCGCTTTTTGGAACTAATGATATCAAATGTGGTTCTTTTGTCACTTTTTCTAAAAATGACAAAAACCAATTTTTAATATTTTGTATATGCAAATATTCGTAAGAAAAATGCAAAGAAAGGAAAGAAACCAAAAGCGATGACATGAAGATATATTGTGACTGGAAATCAAACAAACTGTTCAAAATCGAAACACTTTGGTTGAGTTCACTTTTCCAAACTTCTGCTCTTAATTTAATTGAATCAAAATATTCAGAAGATGAAGAGTTTTCGATATACAACAAATAATTTTGCAATTGAGTTGTAATATCTGATAAATTCGGGAAAGATATGACAGAGTGATTGCAAATATTCGAATGAACGAATTTAAACACAATATTCGAATATTCTTCGTGATAATTGTTGAATGTCTTGATCATGTCTTCTCTCTGCTGCATGTTCAAGATGTAATTTCTTATCAAATCAAATTTATCCATCAATGTTTGATTCAAAACTTTTTTGACAATCATAAATTTGAATTGTTCGAAATTCATCTCGAGAATTTGGCAGAATCCGAACCATCTTTCCGAATTAAATTGGACTTTCGATAATATATGGAATAAAGGCTGATATTCATATAATTGGCCAAAGAAAAGTGACATTCGTTCAAAAAGTGGATTTTGAACATTTTTCAAATCTCTTTCATTATAATTTCCTAGGAATTCAATCATTCTATTCATGTCCAATTCGACCATCTTTGATTCAACCAAGAAGTTGTACTCATCCATGAATACTTGATATTCATTCCAATACTGCAAAATCTTTTTCAATTCGCTTTCTGTCTTATCAATTTGAGAAAAGTCATAACCGCTAAAATTCAATCGACTTGCGGTATTTACAAATTCTTTGATTGTCGATTTTAAGTTGTTTATCTTCTCAAGACATTCATTGATATCATTGATAGCGACAGAAGGAGATTGATTTGGTTCGATTTGGCTGAACTGGGACTTCAACTGTCTTCCGAAAATTCCAATTTTCTTTTCGATTTCTTTTTGTTGTTCATTCAAAATCGAATTAATGTAATCTTTTCTTTCCAGCATCATTTGTTGAGAACGATTCAACAAGCTCTTGAAATCATCGATCACAGTGTTAACTTCTTGAAGACTTTGTGATAATATAGGTGTTAAGAAGTCACCCATTTCGATGGCTTTGCTGTAAATCGAATTTACAATTTCTGTGGATTTAGTTAATTCAGGAATAAAATTCAATGCATTTGAAATTCCGAGATTAAAAACAGCTAAATCTTCAAGTGTATCTCCACTGAGTTTTAATGAATCTATCTTCTGCTTCACATCAGAAATAATGTTTTGGCAGATGATTTTGTAGTTTCGGAACAAAATATTGTTGTTATTTTCAATTAATTTATCAACAACAACTTTCAAGTCATCTTGCAAAGCATGTGCTTCTAAAGATATCATACCATGGGAGTAATTCATTCTGAAAGAATACGCACTCTCTTTCAATTTGTTCAGATTTGACAAATTATTTATGAAAATTGTCAAATCTGTCGAATTTTTGATTGATTCCCATTGTCTGTCCATTTCGTATATGTCATGTGTTGTGTTCTTGTATGTCAATAGCGTTTGGTATGCTTCATCGTAGCTTTCCTTCAGAGCATTCATGAATTTGTCAAGATATTCGTTAAATATTAAATCATTTTTCATTAAAATGCGCCAAGGAGTATGATTCTGCATATCTTCTTCTGATACATGTAGCTCTCCTTTCATATCAATGCATATTGGCCGCAAATAAGAATGGAAATATCTGAGATATAATTCCAATGTGGAATTCATAAGAGATTGGAACTCTTCAAAGCTTGGAGAGAGGCAAATGGAGTTATTCAAGAATGTTAAGTATACTTTGAATGTAATTTCATGGTTATCTGTGATAAAAATATTACATAACTTCTTTGCTTCTTTTCTGAATAGTTCCAAAAGGATTTTGATGATGTTTTCATCACAAACTGCGGAAAATTGTTTCAAACTTTTCACATTATTAAAAGCAATATCAATTCTTTTTTGTCTTTGTTCTTTTACGAGCTCTTCTTCAACAATACTTAATCCATGCTTATGCAGACAAGTGGCTGCTGATAGTAATTCAGACGGAATCTTTTTATCTTTTACATAATCAATGCTTCTTGGTGTTGACTCGAATAAATATTTGTCGTATAGGTTTTCTGCTAACTCTCTAAGTAATTTTGTAGTTGCTGCTGAGCATTCTTGAACTATTACTAAATTTTTTTCTGCAGAGTCCTCAAAATCTCTTTTAATAACATTGAAATAGTGTATTTTGACTGTATTCATTGGAAACAGTTCGCACTTGTAAAGATTTTGAATAATTTTTCTAAATTCGAAAAATTTCGGTGGTAAAGGCGTTTTTGTTAACCATGACTTCTGGGAAATACTATCACGCTTTTTATTGAACAGATTTTTGATTGTTCTCAATTTCCAAATCTTAAAAGTTTTATATTCTTTGAACTGCGAGAAAACATTGATTTTTGATATCATATCGAAGTTCATCTTTTCTTTTATGAATGCATCTAGCGAAAGAAATTCAGAAAACCCATTTTGTTGTAAAGTAATAACTCCACTTCTTGAAACTGTTTGGAAATCTCCATCAATTGGTGGTTGTTGTAGTACACTAAATGAATATCTATTCTCTCTATTAAGTGAACCGAATTGAAGTAAAATATCTGGTGAACCTGAATCACTTTTAGAAACGTAAGAAATTGCATCACCCTGGTCGACAAGCTTATTTGGAAGTAGTTTTGATGTTGTTTCTGTAACTTGTGAAAGATCTAATGTAGTTTGAAGAATTGGAGAGCTTTTTAATTCGTTTGCAAGTAGTTGTGATGATTGATTTAGCTTAACAGGAGAAGGTTGTAGTGATTTTCGTCGTGGGCATGTAGACCTTGCTGATTTTGGAGCATGGATCTTTGATAAATCGATTTCAGGAGTTTTAAATGTAGGATTTGTATTCATACTGTATTGTGTTGTTAGTTGATATCGCTTTTTGATATAGTTTATCCTTTCTGTTTTCGCAGGTTCCAGGTGATATTCATATTTTAAATCTGGAAATACTGTAAGGAACACAGATTCTGGAAATTTTTCGCTAAATCCATCTAAGCTTTTGATTTGCGATATTAACTTTGTTGTCAGAGCAGTAGATTGAAATTCTGTTTTTGTTTGCGCCAAATTAACAAAAAAAGATCGGAAATTAAACCACTCGTAATCTAAATCGGCGGTTTTATTCTTAATATTGCGCAAAAACGTCGCCATTCGTTGATGAATTTCATCCAATGACGACATATTATTGCTCCTAAATCGTTACAAAATTTTTTTCTTGAAGAATTTGTATTTTGATTCTTATGAAATGAAACGAGATGATTTATCATGGTTTCTTTAAAAACAACTTCAAAAGCCCATATTTCTAAATTATTTAAATATTTTTCATTAGAAATTAGAAGATTGGAGTGTTGTATTCATTATTTAAGCATGCCTATATGCGTATGATACTATTATCTGCATGATTGAGCTGAAACTCCATTAGAAAATAATATTTTAGATTTTCTTGTATGCATAAAAATTTATATGAAATTAAAAGGCTTCAATAATGCTGATGATAAAATTATTTACCAACCGTTACAAGCTTTCAATATGCGAAATTGGATTATAGAATATAAGAAATTCAAAAGTGTGAAATCGACAATTTTAATTCTGAATCAAAGAAATTCATATATCATGAAAAATACAAGTTTGAATAATAATTGCAAATTTTTATTTCAGAAAATCACATCAAACGACAAAACCAACAATGTTTCCCATAGCCAAGATGCGTGTTTGTGATTTTGATCTTCCTCAAAAACGCATTATCACATTTGGTTAGTGAAAATAAATCAAAAGGTGATTTTATTAGATATTTATGGATTGAATAAGAAAATATGCCATTACAACAACTAAGATAGCCTATCGACAAAAACAGACCGGCCCCTGAAAAAGAATCATTTCTTTTTCACTTTCTTGCAAGATTTTGGATCACCGGAGATTATTTAGGGATAGTAATGGTCAATTATTGATCCCCTAGGTTTCAGCCAAGATTTTCGAAATTATCGTTAGTTATTACGATCATTGCGGAAATAATCTAACATATGTTTATATATTTGATTAACTTAAAATAAAATTAACCTAAAACTTTTCCTCTCAAAAAATGCTACCTCTCAAATTAGTTCTCAAAAAATACTAGTATTCAAATTTGTGAATAATCACAATTTCAATGAGTTTTCAAATTTATACCATTTGTCATTTTATCTCAAATCAAGAATGTTTCAAGCGGAATTTGCCAAGGTATTGCTCCCACCGAAGACCCTTTGGACCAAAGAAGAAGATAAGCTCTTGACATCCGTCGTCCAACAGTTCGGACCAAGAAAATGGAACTTCATCGCAGAGCACATCCCTGGCCGTACAGGGAAACAATGCCGCGAGCGTTGGGTTAGCCATATATCTCCAGAATTGATCAATATAGAATGGAATGCTTCTGACGATGAGCAATTGATCAACTTACACAATTCTCTTGGAAACAAATGGGCAAAGATTGCCCAGTTCTTCCCAGGAAGACCACCGAATGCTATAAAGAACAGATTCAACTGTCTTCTTAGGAAGAAAGCTAGAGATTCTCGTTTAAGCCCATGTCCTTCAGATTCAAATGAAAAAATCAATTCCAAGGACACTACACATAATGAAGATGTCTCTATTGCCTCCTTCTTTGAGTTAGAGGCAGCAAATGACTTTGGTCAGATTGATTGCGAATCTTTATTCGATTCTTCAGTCTTTTCCATTGAATTTTAGAGTATAAAGTGTTTGTTTGTTATTTAAAATTAAATTATTTCCTTTTTGCAAAATATAAATTCAAAATTACGTTGATTTATGAATCATAAAGCACAATTTTTATATAGTTTTTGCTGAAATTACATTTAAGTGTATAATGCCTTAAGACGAGATGAAATTTAATGAAATTGGCCAAAAAATTGAATGAAAATCAGGTATTTTGGTATGATATAATCAATAAGATAAAAATCATTTGCTCTAAAATTGTCCTCTTTGTCTTTTTAATGTTTTTTTAACAAATTTGTTCAATTATTATCCTATTCACAAAATCTAGTATCCGATATTGAATGCAATGCCCATATTTTTCTGAGTATTTGGACCCGAGTTTTGAAACTATTAATGAGTTCAATATATTAGAAAATGAAAAAACTAATTCCATTCATACACAATTGATTAAAGCTACTTATATTGGACTTAGTGTAACTTCATTTCTGTCATCAATGCAATAAATGATCATTATATCTGTTATCAAAATATATTTTATTTTCTAATTCATACCTATTCAAATTTTGATTCCTTAGTTTCTCAATTCCCATTTGGATATCATGTATGGATAAGTTCAATATAAGCTTAGTTACTAATAAATAAAACAATTATCCTTTATTTAAAAGAAGCTAGTGACAAAATTTAAAAAACAATATACATAATAATAAAAAAAAATTAATGGATATTCTCTAATTTCTGTTTCATTAGTTTTGCATTTGCAGCAAATTCCTGTACGGCATCGATTGTCCTTGTTGATCTAGCTGCTCCAACAACGACTCTTATTTCACGATTTTGCTTTTCCAAATCTGCGAGTTTATCCAAATCTTTTTCTGCAACTTTTACTTTATCCGAAATCTTCCTTATCATCATCAAAATGCTGTTCTTGTCAATAGGACTTGAGAAATCAACGTATTCAGGGAATTTCGTGCAAATATCTCTAAGGAATTTTGTGAATTCTTCCTGGAATTCTTCTTTTGCTTTTTCAAATTTTGTTGGCAATTCTTGCATTGCGGAAAACTTCGCCACTTGAAGTTGTGAATTATAATACGATTCCTGTTGTTTTGTCTTTTCTTGTGCAGATGATAACTGCATCTCCAAAACTTTCTTATCAACTTCTAAGTTGTTTATTTTATTTTCAAGTAAATTCACTTCTTCTGTCAATTGATTCACAACATTATTTAATTCATAAACTTTCTTTTCAGATTGCATTTGCGAGAACTGCAATTCAGAAGTTTGATTTGCCTGTGATTCAACTAATTTTTCATGTGTCTTAAGTTGTTCTTCTTTTTCATCAGCTTCTTCTGTTTTTCTCTTTAAAGCTCTTTGTACTTTCCTTATTCTATTTGCCATTGCATCTAATCTTTGCGATTGTTCATCATAAATCAAATCAACAGCTTCTTCCATTTGTTTCTTTGATCTTTCTTTAACTTGTGAAACAGAAGCAGCATATTTAACTCTTTCTTCATTCAACTGATTCTTTAATTCATTGTTTTTATTCTTCAAGAATTTGATTTGTTCTTGTAATTTAATATCAGAAATTCTCCAATTATTTTTAATTTTTTCTAATTCTTCGTCTTTTTCTTTAATGATTTGTTTAGTTTCTTCTTGAAGAGATCCACTTGCTACTGTTAATTTAAATGTTTCTTCATCAAGTTTCGTTTGTAATTCAGCATATTCGTATTCTTTCTTTTGTAAATCGTTTTTAGTTTGTCTAAGAATTTCATTTGTTTTGTCCAGTTTTGATTTTAATTTTTCTAAATCACTTTGATATTTTTCTGACAAAACATCATCAGATTTTATGTTTTCATCCTTTAACAATTTCTTGATTTGTTCTTGGGAATTTTCAAGATTAATTAGTTTGGAAATTGTCTCTAGTTTCTGTTCTTTCTCTTTTAATTTGTCTTCAAACTTATTCAAGGTTTGTATCATTGAATCATAATCTTCTTTGAGAATTGAATTTTGTTTCAATTTCTCGTTTTCTTTCGATTTATTTTCTGCAAGTTTTGATGATTCTTTATGGAGTCTTATTAATATCAGGATAAGGCAATTGACTGCTTAAGAATAAGATATAGCTCTATTCCTTCAGCTGTTTGTGGATTTTCGTATTTCGAAAGAAAAGTCAATATGTTTTCTTTGATTTTTTCTGGATCTGATTCTAAAAATCCGAAAATGGACTTTTGGTCATTGATTTGGCCACAGTTCTTCTCAATGTAATCTTTGGTGTCACTGATATTGTGATAAATACTTTCCCGAAGCGAAGAGTCAACTTGCAAATCATCAATTTTCGCAATCTTCTCGATATATGATAATTGGCCTTTAATAAGACTAGTTAGCTTATTAACAAGTGGTAGTTGGTCAGTAAAAGTGCTAATTTTCTTGTTTTGTTCAGAAATTATTTTTTCTTTTGATCTGACCCTTTCGAGAAGCAAATTAATCAGGGATTCGATTGTTTCTGTATATGATTTGTCTTGGTGTGTTAGTTTAAGGATATCTGTGATCGCATCTTCAATATTATCATGATTAATTTCATCAATGGAATCAAGAATCAAATCATTGATATTTGGTAATTTATTGGGTATTGGTCGTTCAACGACGATCTCTTTTTGAGAAGTTGTTTGGTTTTTGGCGTTTTCATGTTTCATTAAAAGAATTTGTTGGGAGTTGACGAGTTCAAACAACTTATTCCTTTGTTGGATAACATCAGTAAGCTCTCTAGATACTCCTTGGTAGTTTTGGGCCATTTCGGATATAAGATATTGGAATTTTTGTTTTCCTTCTGCGATTCCTTGGGATCTTTCTGAAAGTATTGACTTGCTTGTTTGTTCAGTAATCTGAGATAGTCTCTCGTTTTCAGCTAAAGCTGTTTGTAATTGATTTTGGAGATCGACCACTGAAGCTTTCGTTTCTCTGAGCTCGGATTCGTATGATTGGATCGTAGTTTGAGAATTTGATTCGTCTTTCGATTTGGATTTCAGTTTCTTTCGAAGTCTGAAGATTTCATCTTGTAAAGGAGGAATTTCTTGAACCATTGAATTCAATTCAAGGATTTTGTCTTTGTATTTATCGCGAATCTGACGTTTAATTTGCTTGATTTCCTCTTCACGGCTCAATTTAGAGATATCGGAGGTAAATTTGGAATCTGATAGAGAATTAGATGAGTTTTTTCCGTTACTTGATCCAAATGATCCTGTATTTTCTATTTGTGTAGATCGATCTGTCTTTGATAAAGATTTTATTTTTTCTTTTAGTAAATTGATTTCATTTTCATATTGTGAAAGCTGATCTTTCTGTTTGTTTATAGTGTTGTTGTTAATTTCATTCAAAAAGAGTAATGCAACGGATAAAACATCTTCACCAGAATAACTGGAAAAATCCTTAGCAAAAGATGGTAAATCTAATTTCTTGTATTTTGTTAGGTTATTTGTCATAGTTTTAAGCTCCTGAATCAAGGAATCTGGATAATCTCCTTTAAAATTTCGTTGAAGCAATACAAGGAGCTTAGAAATGGATTGTGTGACTTCATTGGCTTTCTCTATGTTAGTGATGGAATATTGGCCATCAACTTTGGAATCCAATGGCCTTTCCATCAAAAAATGAAAAGAAATTCTATAAAATAACCGTAAAACAAACTCATCACTTCGTTAAAATTGAAAGTTGCAGATGTATGCTAACAATATTGATCAAGCCAAATGAATTGAGAACTATCTAATTTTTTTACAATTTCCTTTGAAAAATTTTGGATCTTTGGAATAGAGGAAACTGAGTAACGAATTAGATAAACTGGCTACTGTGAATGTCAAATTATTACAATCCAGTCCCACTACATATTATTTGAATTATGCATCTATTTCTATGACTTGATAAATATTTCATTATTCAAATTTCCAATATATGGATTATGACCCTCTCCAATGTAAATTGGATGTTGTTTGTGGTCATCTATTTTTACTATGCCTATTCTTTATCAGAGATGTATTTTGTGTGTTTTCATACTTCAGAATATTTTTTAATCTGATATGGTATTATATGTCGGTAAATTAATTGTACAATCCCAATAAAGAGCGAATAATTGAGTAAATTCAGTGATCTTGTTTGAACCGTTTATTCTGAATAAAATTTTTATCATTCTGTCATTGTCTTAGGAGTTTATAGCTAAATTAATCCATAAAAGTAATTTATTTTCAGAAAAAAAATTAATAAAAGTCAAATTGGTAGTAACGATAACGATTTTGACTTTTCTTGATGTATCATGCTAATATTTTTATATATTTAGCTAATTTGAGGTTAATATTTCGATGATAAAATGAAAATGGAATTTGTGCATTTCTGAGATGAAAATATAACTAAAATAAACTGTGTTAACTAAATGGTCATCAGCAAATAGTCAAACGGGCAATTTTCACAAAACAATAATTTCAAAAATTTTAAGGGTCCACTGTAAAAATTGAAAGTCTCTCAAAATTGAGAGGTGATTTGCAAATAATCGTTATCGTCTTTTTTCGAAAATCCACTTTTCCTAGTGTTCTGATTAATATTTTGTGAATGTAACAATAAAGTATATGTTTTAGTAAGATGATAATACATTCTATCACTTCAAATCACATAAAAATTGCAAAATCAGCGAGTTTTATAAGAACATGATTTTTTCGAATTTTTTCGCTTCTGGATGCGTGTTTTGAAAAATAGATATTTTCGAATTTTGATTTTAATTTAAGTATAAATTTTATATTAGGAATTTTTTTGACCTATTTCCAATCATTAATTCCTAAGTTTTTCTAGGAATTTAATTGAGAAGAAATTAGGAAATTCGCTTTAATGCCATTACATCCTAATATTGTGATGCATGTAGTTTATATTTATTGAGGCTAATGCCGGAATATCGTGCATTTTATAAAAAATTCAAAGAATTGACAATTGGATAGCACAAATTTAATTCTCTAGACAAAGTATTATTGTTTATATATTCAAAGCATTATCCTTCGTTTTGAAATGTTGGCCAAAAATTTTCGTGTTATTTTTTGTGTTTCAGCATAAATTATGTATTGACTTATGAAAGATAAGCATTTTATTCATTATCATAAAGATATACCAAAACAAATTGATAAAATTTAAAAAAATGTGTATTTTAGTGGGTATTATTCTGGCCAATGCCCATTTTTAAACGATTTAATATTGACCATATCAATAGCCGACTCAATGTAAAAATTTAGATATTATTTTTTTCATTATTCAAACTTTGATAAATTTTAGTATAATGAATGATTTTGTTTCGTGTATGATACAGAAATGAAAAGCTTGATTAATATCATTTTGCATTTTTTCAAGAATGTTAGAGTACATCTACATTAAAAAATCGGATTCGAATTGCGATACTGCATCAAATTGTTGCACATCTGATAAGGATTTCAAAAGAGTAAAGTTAATTCAGAATTCAAAATATTAGTTGGGCCTTAGTAAAACACCATCTTGAGCAATATTTTTGGGGCGACGATAGGTCTTATTTGGCCTTACAATGGACCCTTAATTAATTAACAAAATTATATACCATGGAACCCCGAGCTATTATTAATGTAAATGATCAAGAAAACCTTGCTATAATAATTGAAGCTCGATGAGAAAAAAGCAAAATAAAAAAAAATAATGTATATCAAAGCATATGCGTATTTGAGCAAACATCATAGATTCAGATTCATATTTTGATAAACAAGCTCTGACATTTTCGTTTTCAAAATTGAATGACCGTAGAAAACATATAGAAATTTTTTCTCAGATATATTCAAAAATTCTATATTTCATTTCTATTTTGAAATGACAATGTTAGCAATTGAGGATTTATATTCAGTATCCAAAGTTTAGGGTTCGATTGTTGATGGACAAAGAAAAAAGACAAAGTCTAAAAATTTGATATTTCGTTATATGGATATTGATGCAACGATTTCATTTGGTGTAAATATTTTTCTATATTTGATTTTTCAATGATGGCAGTTGAATTTTGCAATGTAAATTTACGTTTCTTGAATTTTTTTCTTAAGACTCGTTTTTCGGCAAACTACACTTGATATGGATACTCAAACTAAAGAAAAAACAACATCTACAATTAGCGAAGATCTAACGGCCACAAAAAGCTATTTTTATCAGCTCAAGCAGAAAAATGCGAAACTCGAATTATTATTTCCCATTTTTGATCAAAGTATGCAAGAAACAAAGTTTCCATGCTGCATCATGGCCATTATTTCCATAATTATTATGCTCCAAACGCTTTCTGTTGGACTTTGGATCTACACGCCAATTTTCGAGAACAGTTCTAAGGGTTGGAAAAGATTTTACATCGATATTCTTACAGTCTTTGTTCTTACAGATCCATTTGATGTTAAAACACCCAAATTGGCCGTTACTTATTCAACTTTTTGCATCGCAATTATTACAATTCTTCTCACTTTGTATTTAATATGGTACGAAAGAAAATATTACCAGATTCCAAAAGTATACTTATATGTAGCACTAGCACTAATTGACATAGTTGACACTTTTCTGATTATACCGGCAGTAAATATTGTAAATCATGGCATAATTTCATTAAAATACGGATTTAATATAGCTTTTGTACAAGAAATCGTCGTCGGATCCATTAATTTCATATTTTTCCTTTCAACATTTTTAATTTCTACGAACCTTAAATCGAGATCAGTTGTCATTACGAACCTTTTATTCCCATTATTTGATGACTTTTCAATTACTCTCTGGATAGCTTCAACTTCAATATTTTCATTATTTTCTGCCATTTTTAACTATTACGAAGCTTGGGTTTTTGTTATTGGCGACATTTTTCATTTATTGATGACTTTGTACATTTGTTACAAACTTCATTACATTCCATATTATGAAGTATGGCGAAATACACTTAATATGGCTTTCTGCATCACAAGTATTGCATTGGATATCAACTATTTAGTTCTTTATTCTTTTAATCTAACGTATAATTATACGGTTTTAGTTATGATTTTCTCTTTTGTTTTAGGTTATTTATTTTCTGATTTCTATTTCAAACTGATGATAAAAGAAATCACAGAAGATTTGACTTATGATCCTGATATTGTTGATGTGAAAAAGTACTTAGAATCAATAGGAGTTGGAAAAAGTCCTTCAATAGCAATGATGTATATAAGTGTTGGTTTGACACAGATTTGTGATTACTTCATTGATGGTTCTTTGACAGAATACATCTTAAGCAAAGATGATTTATCAGATGCAACATCAATTATTTTACAAATATTGACATTCTTTCCTTTCGAATCAGAAAAAATGAAAAGAGCTTTCAAAATTGTTGACAACAGAAGAAAACAGAAAATTTCTGACAAATTCCTTTTATATCAGGCATATAGAATAAGGCTACGAAGATTAGTTTCCGATACAAGAGACACAAAGTTCATTTATGATAAGTTAGCTCAAAAAACAAAAGAATGCAAAAATGTTTTAAATTTGTTTTGGGACAAACAATGCCATAATGATGCATATTTGTTTTCTGTTGGAAAAATGATAGAAAATCTTGATTTATTGTTTAGAACTGCTATAAGTGATATACCAAACAATGTCAATATAATGAATTTATATGTTGACTTTTTAATTGAATGTAAATGCGATTTTGATGAAGCAATTTCAATGCAAATAAAAGCAGATCAGATTTATTGCGGAAAGAATTTCAATGTTGACTTAAGTTTTCACTCATTTGTCAATAGATTTCCAAGATTTATCAAAGATCATTATTTAGATTTGAAAGGAAACAAAATACTTAGATGTGACAGAGATGAAAAAATTCTAACAAAAGATTCAACTCCATCATCAAGTTCTTCCGATATTGATACAGAAAAAAGTAATGCATATGCGAATAAATTAATAAGAGATGCAAATCTTCGAATGGCACTTCATGGTGCTGTTTCAAACTCGAAGCCAAAAGAAATTAATTACACCAAGATTTTGACAACTGTTTTGTTGATTATTAATATTTTTGATTTCATTTTCCTTTTTGAATTCATCAGAATGAAACTTGAATGGAGAAAAATGAGCTATGAAAATGTTGGAAACCTTGCTTATTCAACGTTCTATCATATCTACTCAAATATTTATATAATGTGCAAGTTTGCAAGTGATAATTTTAGATATGACACAACACAGAAAAGTATTGGAAACTTTACATTTGATAATTTATTGACAGAAACATTAATAAAAAGAGATGCATCTGTTCCAGAAAAAGCATATATTGCAGCAAATAACAGTAAATACTATTTGAAACAATTGTTGGATAACATTGCAAAATTAGCAGAAGGTGGAAATCCTTTTGCAATATCGCAAACATTAATCGCTCATATCGAAGATTACGTTGTTTGTAAGGATGGAATACCTATTGGAAAAATCCCTGTGTCATTGAAAGACCAATTAACTGCATCTAATTATATGGTAGCTGATATTGCAGGATCAATGCAACAAGGAAATGTTTTTCCAAATATCTTTCAAGATAATGATTTTTGTCAGAAAATGTCTAATGATAATGAAACAATCAGAGCAACTTATAACTCTTTGGATCAATTATTCGATTTCTTTTCTAGAAAGTCTAAGAGGAATTCATTTTATTTTCTGTTAATGACAGTTATTATTCCATCAATTGTTTTTGTTTTAACTATTTTGTTCTATACTTTGGCTATTCTTACTTATCATAGAGGAAAGAATAACATAATCAAAAGCATGACATCTATTTCATCTCTTGATAAAGATGAAGCAAAGCAGCCTTTGTCATTAAAAATAGAAGATTCTTCTGTTCAAGCTTCAAGTAATGTAATGAATAAGAAAGATATTGTTATTTATTTGCCAATTTTTGTTTATTCGATGTTGATCATTGTTATTTTAGTTTTCCTTTCTATTGGAATTAGCGCAATAGGATTAGATAATAAGTTATCAACAATATTAAATTGGTATTACTTTTCTTGCTCAAGAATCGTTATCTCTTGTCAATTAGGAAGTAGTGCAATACAAATGATATTGTTGAATGGTTCTTTACCGCAAAGTATTATTTCATTTAATAATTTAACCAAAATTGCCACGAAAAATCTTGAAAAGATGAATCAAGAAAATCATTATGTTTTATATGGTGATGGAAAATCATCAGGAAGCTTAGGTTTTGATGATCTTCTAGATCAATACCAATTATCAAGTCAATGTTCAATTGATGGAGATCCTCAATCTCTTCATGATATGTATGCTTGTTCAAGTGTTGTTCAGCAAATGATTGTATTAAGAGATATTGCTTCAAGTGTTATCAAAGATCCTCTTTCTTTTGGAGGAAATCTCGACAGCGAAGTTGCTTCAAATTTGGTTCATATATTAAGATATCATTTATATCCGAATGTAATAAAAGTTACACATAGAATTGGCGAAGTTATGGAAGAAACATTTGAAAAAACAATGAGAATTTTAGGTATTCTTGATATACTTGGATTATTATGCTCTGTTATTTGTTTTATTTTGCCATTCTTTTTAACAAAAGTTATTATGATTAATTATCATACAATGCTTGTTCTTTTACAACATATTTCGCCAAAGGTAATAACAGAATCATCTGACATCTTAGAATTCTTTTCATATTCATTGAAATCAACAAAAGGAAAAATGGGAAGATTCAAAACAATTATTTATAATACAAATGAATGCATCATTGTTTTGAATCCGAATTTATGTATAGAGATTGTTAATGATAGCATTGCCAGCAACCTTGATTATTCTTCAGATCAAATGCTTGGACAAACAATAATTAATTTTGTTGTTGAAGATGAAAAACAAAGATTATTAGATCAATTGGATTTGATCATAAGATCAAATGAAAAGGAATATATTGAAGATCATTTTGATTTGATTAATGAGAACAATGAGTTGATTCCTTTCAAAGTGAAGATGATGGGAATTTATAATGAGAACAATCAGATTTCATCAATTGTTTTAAGTTTGAACAACGAAAGAAATGATTTAGAAAAACAAAATGCAGCGAACATCGCAAAAACAAGATCAGAGAAACTCTTAAATCAGATAATTCCAAAGGAAATTTTACCAAATCTAAGTGTAAACAACAGAGAAAATACATTAGTTTTTCAAGATGCAACAATTATTTATATTAAAGTTGCTGCTTTCAATGAATATTCAGAGAATTTGTCCCCATCTGAAACAATGAAAAACTTGTCAAAAATATTTGAAGATTTTGATAAACTCCTTGTGAAGTATCCAAATATTAGAAGAATTAAGACTTGTGGATAAAGATACTTATGTGCATGTGGTTTATTCAATGATCCTGCAAAAGAAAAATATGCTTTGGAAGCTGTGAATTTCGCAGAAGATTGTTTGAAATCAATGGAAGATATAAATACAAATTTGAATTCTTCCCTTGAGTTAAAAATCGGAGTGCATACTGGTGGGCCAATAATTGGCGGCATACTATGGAACATGGAATTTGACATAATAGGAACAGATATAAACATTACACATTTCCTGGAACATACTTGTGTTTCTGGACATATTCAAATTTCGGAAAAAACAAAAGAACTTATCGGTGACAAATTTATTGTCAAAAGACGCGGAAACCTTCAAATCAATGAGAATATTAAGATTGTATCTTATTTTGTTTGTTAATTAAAAAGTATATTTTTTTGAAAATAATTTTTTGAGTAATGCAAATGCTGATACTATCATAAACTCTAGATTCAAATTAGCTTAATCTGATATTATATATGTTCAACGACTTTTTAAAAAATTTCTTATTTTGAAAAAAAAAATTCTTTGTATGATTTGTTGAATAATGCCATGCTATTGTCCATTGTCGTAATAGTTACAACGGTAATTATGATGTTTTTAATTATAATTTTTCGTATATTTTGAATATAGAGACGTGTTCTTAATAAACCCTAAGTTCATGTAATAATATGTGGGGACTTATTTGATTGAACTGCTCAATATATTGATGAAATCTCAATTTTATTTTTAAATAACGCATTTATGCCGTTAAAATGCGGAACATAGTTGTTTTATGCAGTAGTCAAATATATGTTCAGAACTGTGATTGAAGAATGAATAATCATTGTTTAATGACATGTGATTAGGGCAAAAATATAGAAGTTGGATGTTCCCGCTGATCGAGTGAAATTCCAACATTGTTAAAAAGAATATTAATAGGATTTTGTTCATTTTCCACATAGTTTGAGTGAAAATTTAAACCAATTATATGACCAAAGATAGTTTTTAAGATTTTGATAAATATATGAACGAAATGATTGTGCAGCAATACCATACAAACATAAATATCTTTCAAAATTTATAAGGCCGTTGGAATTTTTGATAAATCTTAATTCACAAATTCGAAATAAAAAATATTATAAATTGATATAGTAATGATTTGTAGCTTTTTTTTATGGGGCAATAAAAAGTTGGGGAGATATTTGAAAGAAATTATGCATATTCGAGATAAAAAATCATTGATAGAAGGAGATATTTTAGATCTTATATTTAATTTTGGTAAAGTTAATTTTTCGAAATTGAATATAGAGGGTAATGAAACTACAGATGTCACAATCTCAATTTTTTCAATGAGTTTTTTAACAAGAATGATAAGATTGTAGAGATATAATTGATCAAAATTAAACAGATTATTTGATTTTTAAATAATATTCTCAAAAGAAACGACATTCAAAATTTTCTTTTATGAGAAGTATACAGAATTTAATGGTGCCAATTAAGTATCAGTAATATATAAATATTTTTTTATAAAGTTCATTTCGATGTTTATCAATTGAGCTTTTACAGAATTCGAAGAATTATTTTTCAAATTCAATGTGATTTTTCAGAAAAAATAAAATTGGTGTTATAGCCTAATGCCATCAAATAATGATGTGTAATGGATTTTTTCATATTTGTAAAAAATATTTTTGTTGTGAAATAGAAAAGTTGAAATAAGCCTAATGTATTATGTTTAATAATGTTATTTCGATAAATTTGAAAATAATGCAATCAAATTTTTATTTAGAGGATTGAATAGCATAGTATTGAATTTCATTACTTCTCGGAAAACTTCGTAACATGAATTTGTTACCAAAATTAAATATAAACAAATAAGGGTTTCGTTTTGCGAAAAAAACGTACAATACGCAATTTCGCTAAAAAACATTTAGCTAGCAATTTCGACCCTTGACTCCACTCAAGACGTCACTTTTTTAATTTTGCGGTATCATATTTTTGGAAAATCTTTATGAATATTATATAAAAAGTCTCTTTAATATCTATATTTCATATTTTTATCGATTTTTAAAGTTTTTGCGAAAAGTATTCAATTATTTTTGCTATTTGGTCGGGTAAATGTCAGATTTGCGACATTTTCTGATATGATATTCAGATTCTACGTTGATAATAATGCTTATAGAACCCTCTTGCTATTGTGTCAAAATTGCGAAACCGATAGCAAAAATATCTCGCAATATCAAAATTGAGATATTGAGTGAATTATGCATTATAGAGATTAAAAATCTGATTTGTGAAAACATCTCATCAGTTTCTAGCTAATTCAAAAATCTTTACTATCTTATTCGATTAAAATGAAAAGGGAATAGTTTCATTATGCTTTAAATGACAGCCTTATAATATAATCATAGTTTTCGCTCAATATGCAGCATTTTTTTTTCGAAATCTATGGTCAATGTCCTAAATACTGATTGCTTTGCATTCATATCTCTTACATTTTCTATACCCACATCACTATTCATTGCTATTCCTATCTTTTTCATTTTTGTTTGTTTCTCATAATTTCTCAAAAAACACGATAACTTGATATTTGTAAATATCATACTTTATAACGTAAATAAGAACTTGACCTATTAAGAAAAGCAGTAATGAAAAGAAAATCTGAAATTCATAAAAATTACAAGTTTCTGATGACAAGTTGATTCTGTTTATTACAATATACAATGTGTGTGTAAAGAAAATACTTTATTTACTAGTTAAAAAATCATTTGGTATTGATCAAGTTATTTTTTCTGGATAAGATATTATATGGATAATTGGATAGAAAATACAATTATATAATCTTGTACCTGGTTTAATTTGTAATAAACAGAAATTCATCAAAAGTGACAGCTCTCAATTTTTTGACATTTGTAAATTCTAAATTGAATGAGAAAAATGAAATAATACTAAGCATAATACAATATTCTAGATTTAATTATAATTAGGAAAAAGTTAGTTTTGAGAGTACTTTTCATAGGCATATAGAATGAAATCTTCTGAAAAATAATATCACATAAACTCATATTATTTTCTAATATATAACTATTTTCTATAAAAATCAAATTCAATGATCTTAAAAGCGAAGGATAAACCTCAAAATTTACGAATATAATGAGTGGGAATATAATGCTTATCTATCATAAAACCATATGAAATATTAATTTTTGCTTTACGCCTAATTTTTGACGACAATTAGCAAAAAATGTTAAATGTTAACACTCAGTCCATTTGAATATGAAAAATAAAATTGACTTTGATTAAATGTTTTTATTTATCATGCAATTCTTCTTGCGACCAAAGATTTGAATAAAAGTTCAAAAAATAAGATAGCTTAAAAAATAATATACGGTAGTGTTTACTAATAGATGAATAGTATATAAATTCTATTAAAATGGATTTGATCCAAAAAAATATATAAAATTTGATCATAAATAAAATCGTTTTAAATTACTTCTTCATTTAAATTATAACAATTATTTTTGGTTTTATATTTTTTTGGATCAAATCCATTTTAATAGAATTTATATACTATTCATCTATTAGTAAACACTACCGTATATTATTTTTTAAGCTATCTTATTTTTTGAAATTTTATTCAAATCTTTGGTCGCAAGAAGAATTGCATGATAAATAAAAACATTTAATCAAAGTCAATTTTATTTTTCATATTCAAATGGACTGAGTGTTAACATTTAACATTTTTTGCTAATTGTCGTCAAAATTAGGCGTAAAGCAAAAATTGATATTTCATATGGTTTTATGATAGATAAGCATTATATTCCCACTCATTATATTCGTAAATTTTGAGGTTTATCCTTCGCTTTTAAGATCATTGAATTTGATTTTTATAGAAAATAGTTATATATTAGAAAATAATATGAGTTTATGTGATATTATTTTTCAGAAGATTTTGTGTTCTTCTTCAAAATTTTATTTTTTTATTAAAAAGAATCTTTACAAAATATACATTTACTTTAATTAATATTTAAAAACGTGCTCTATCAAAAGTTCCAAAAATTCAATATTTTACCTTTTTTGAGGTGTCACTTTTGATGAATTTCTGTTTACAACAATATCATAGTTTTTTTTTGGTTTCGCAAAACATCCAAAAACAAATATGCTATAAAAGTGACAATTTTAGCAAAACGAAACCCTTAAAACAAACTTTAAACTCATTAATCTTTTTATAAATTTCTCTCAAATGGTTGGTTTTTAAAATAGCAATGTACAAATATAAATAATATTGTAAGAATCAATGCGACAAAAATGCTAGGTTTTCAATTTTATAATGTATCAAATTCAATACTTCACAAAACATCTCTGAATGAAATATTAATATTCATTGTCACCTACATTAGTACATTATTTCTAGATAAAATAAGATTTGAAGTGATTCAAATTTCTATGGAACTTAGCGGTTAAGTAATTTAGATTAATTTTTTGAAAAGTGTGCAGCAATAGTTTCCTTTTATAATTGTACATGACGTTAATAAGTTTTGATAATTCCACTCAAAATTCATTGATTAAATTTTATCCTTTCAAACCATATGTATATCTTGTGTCCACTTTCTACACCATTTCTAAAAATAATCAATTATTTTGTTCTCAAAAAAATTCATAAATGGACTTGAAGGAACTTTACAGCCATCTGCCATATGCCGCAGCACCACCAAATTTGAGTAATCCCATTATATTGGTAACCCCGAGTCCTCTTGTATACGAAGCTCCAGTCAAATATGCCTACTATCCAACGCCGGCCCCAACTCATTATTGCTATACGCCAGTTCCTCACGTACAAAGTCCCTTTTCCCATTATAATACAATTGTTCCCAATTATTTAATCCCACAGCAACCAGTAAGATACCCCGTCGCCGAAACAAATTATATTCAACTTGATTCATCAAAGAGTGTTTCGGTAAGCGTCCTGATATTTTCACTCAGTTCTCAAGTAGTTAAGCGGAAATTCGATGAAATATGTACAGACCCAAACATTACATTCAATCCCCAAACAATCAATTTGATTCCTTACTCTCTTTGGAAATCAGAAAATATTACATTTGGGTATCTAGTATCTTTCCATTTCAGAAAGAGAAATTCTTCAAACTCCAAATTTCCGATAAAGCTCTTCAATGCTCTCAAGATTACTGAACACTGTCCGGATCTCTTCCCGCATATTGGTGTGAAATGGATCACGGATGATGTTATTTGGGTTGATAGAGAAGCATTTGCCTGCCTTATCGGGGTTAAAACCGTTGAAGGCGGTTTATTCCATCAGCAAGGTAACTTCCCTTCTCATGGTTTTGTTGAATTATCATATGAAGAAAGTCAAATGCTTGCAAATAGCCTCAACTTGGGTAGAATTGACTTATCTGTAATGAGGCTAGTCAGGCATAGAACTGGATTATTCAGAAGGGGATGCACCGAACTTGATATTTTGCGTTGCCAATGGAAAGGTTGATTTATTTTCATTGGCTTTTTAAAGTTATTGTTTGAGATTAAATTCGCGTATAAATTGTTAATTTTTTGATTAATTCGATTCATTTTAGGATATATACTCATATACTTAGTAGATTTGTATTAACTATGATGAAATTAAGATTTTATTGTTGATTTAGAGTTGTACCTGATAAAAAAAGTGTCATATAATATGCTCTTCTCTGAGCATATATATGAGGATGTTCTAAACCCCAAAACATGGGGAAATCTTTCATTTTATCATATTTGATGGTAGATTTAAATTTAATATCAATAGGAAATGTTAGTATACTAGTTTTGTATTCAATGTTCTGAATAGTAAAAGTCGATTATGAATGATTTCCGAATCAGAGGAAATGCTCCTTATAATGTCAATTTGATAGTAAAAAGCATAACGGTATTCTCAAATTAGATTATTTGTGAGGAATGAATAAATGAATTCCGGATTTAGAAGAAAAATAATTTTTCATCATTTTCCTAATCAATCAATAATTACATACTATTTATTCCGGATAGTTTAAAAGTTGCTTCAAAGACAATCTATTCTCAGCGAGAGTAGTTGGGTGAGGATTCTTCTGCATGAGTGGTGGCAATACGCTTAAAAGTGGTATTGAAAGCGGCATTATTTCCTGTCCAGGAGGTAATGTAAGACCAGCACTGGCAGGTGATGGGATATCCATGCAGATATCAGTCTGTTGAGCATTCTTTGGTTTTCTACCGCGTTTCTTAAGGGCTGGCTCTCCACGGGCCATTCTCTCAAGCCTACGCTTAAGTGTACTATTCCATCTGTTTTTAACGCAATTATCTGTTCGTCCGTTAAAATATTTTGCAATTTTGGCCCATGAGTTGCCAAACTGTTCATGAAGGGTTATCAGAAGATTATCTTCCTCTTCCGTCCAGCTTGCATGTTTGATTGCCGGATTAAGATGATTGATCCATCTTTCTCTGCATTGTTTTCCAATTCTACCTGGTAGTAATGCAGCTAGTTTAGACCAATCTCTATCACCGTGTTCTCTAATAAACTCAAAGATCTTTTCATCTTCTTCTCGAGTCCAAGATCCTTTAACTAAATCAGGTTTTAATGCTTTAATCCATCTACCTGATACCTGTGGTGCTGTTTTATTAGGAAAACTCTTTGCAATTTCAGTCCACTTGATATTAGTACTTTTCGAAACAAGATTTGTTAGGAGTTCGTCTTCCTCAGGTGTCCAGACAGCTGCAACTGAGCTATAGCTGCGCTGTTTGCGGGAGCGAGTAGGTGCGAGCGCCATTCAGGATCAAAAAATAGCATACGTTTATATTTCATCGATGAAAAAAACACAAACGCATTACATATTTTTTTCTGATTTACATCTTTTCAAATAATCCGATACTTCGAAATTAATAAATAATGTTGAGAATACCGAATACATAAATATTGGGTTTTTGACCAAAGATATTTTTGAGACCATATATAAATTTGTCGCCTTTTCTGCGTTCATGTCAAAGGCCTTCGAACCTAATATTATGCATGATAAATAAATTCTAGTCGATTTCAAACACAATTAATTCGATTTTATAATGTTTTACCCATTGAAACGGACGAAATTTCAAATTCATGGATGAGCTTGCTGTAAGCATTCTAATTTCATCTCATACTTTTCACTAAAAATTTTCGAATTCGGGAAAATGAAATCTAAACCTTGGATTATCATGGTCTTATTTTGATTTTCATATTTTTTTTTGAATTTTTGAAACTAGTTATGTCTTTTGATCTTTATATAGTAGATATTTCTGTATTCTAAATCATACAAATGAAATGATTATTAGCACACTTTTATATTATTAGCGAGTATTATCAAAATTGATTATATCAAATTCCATTCGAAAATAATCATGGCAATACAGATAAAACTTAACACGGAATGATCAATATACAAAGCACTTTTCTTAGAAAGTAAATCAATTTGGACATTTATTTCATTTTCTTCAAAAATATCCTAAATTATCAAGTTCTTCCCCTCGTGGAGTATCTCATATAAGGAGTTTATTAAATTTTTCACCTTATTTTTATAATATGCCATTATGAAATCGATGATTGTTGATATTTGAGATGGAACTATTTGAAAAGTTTACATAATGAAAAATAACCTTAGTAAAATGAATTTATTGTAATTTTATCATATTGTTGATATACTCAAATTTCAACACACTCAAGTTCCTATTGAATTTTTTGATAGTCTCAAAAATGCTTGATCTTGATACCGACACTGATGAACCATTAAATAACATGGATCCACTTACAACATTGACATTGGAGCTACCAAAATTCGTAATTGATCCGAAGAAAATCGAGATTTTAGATTCGATCGGCGAAGGAGGATTTGCTTCTGTCTACAAAGGCATTGATAGGCGAAACGGCAATTTTGTTGCTATAAAACAAGTCTTTGAATCTCGTGTTTATGTAGATAACTTTCGAAGATTTTCAAATGAAATCCGAACAATGGCCCGCTGCCATTGCTGCTGCCTAACAAAACTCATTGGATTTACCACCACAAAACCGTACTCAATTATTACCGAATTTGAAGAAAATTTATCCCTTGATTCACAGTTGACAAATAAAAAGAAAGCTGATATATTCACAGGCACTAGATTATCCAAAATAGCAATGGGTATCGCTTTCGGTATGCAACATGTCCACATGCTCGGTATTTTGCACCGAGACTTGAAATTAAGTAATATCCTACTTGATAGGGACTACAATCCTAAGCTATGCGACTTTGGAATTGCTCGATTTTACAAAGATGATATGGAATTAACAAGAAAAATCGGCACGCCAATTTATATTGCCCCAAAAGTCTTCACAGACAATCATTATACAAAAAAGGCCGATGTTTACTCCTATGCCATACTTCTTTACGAGCTTTCGGAGAAAACACGCCCATTCAAAAAGCCTGAAGGTTTATCTGTGGCAGAAATCATCCAAAAGGTCGTTCAGGCAGGTCAGAGACCTCAATTTACTGATGTTACGCCAATTCCATTAAGAAAACTCATAGAATCTTGCTGGGATGCGGATCCAACAAAAAGACCAGAGTTTTCTTACATTTACGAACAATTTAAGTCAGGAAAAGTGGCATTTCCTAATACAAAATCAAAAGATATCAAGGCTTACGCGGAATATCTTGAAAATGACGCCAAAGAGAACCAACAATTGATTGAAGAAGAGCTAGAAAAGGCCATACCGGAAGAAATTGTTGACAGAGAGATGGAAAAGAAGAGACATAAAGAAATGAAACAAAATTCTCCAAAATCAGAAGAAACAAAGCACATTTCTCGTCGTAAAGGCAATGGAGAGATACATGGAGCATTGATTGTCCCACAATCTCCACCTTCTCCCTCTCAAAAGGCGATTAATTCACCAGATTCTCGCAGTAGACATTTCATGGCCGGAAATGTAAACGATAACCCATTTCTCAATGACGTAAATATGCCAATTATGTCAAAAATGGCCGCAAAACAATTTAGGCCTTCATCAATCTCTCCAGCCCCTCAGAGTCCAAGAATCGTACCGCCTACAAGCAAAAGACCATCTGCACCAACACCAGAAGGCTTTGGTTCTTCAATGGTCGAACAATCTACTGAAAATGATGGAATTCAATCAACACAAAACCCTCCACGCTCTGGAATGAGGAGATCAACATCCAACATGAAATTCGAATCAGATGAAGATATTTTGAGAGAATTATCTGATGAAAAATCTCATTATTTCAGAAAAGCTCTAAATGAAGCGGTTGGAATTACAGATATTGAATTATTTGAGAAGTTTGCGGTTGTTTTGGTCGCTCACGTTGCAAAACCAATAAGTTCTACCAAATTAAAGCTGATTCTCCAAGAAATCAGTGATTTAATGTCAAAAAGTGATGAATATGTCCAACTATTCAACAAACTAGGCCTATACCAAGTACTTCCATCGAAATCCGACAGTTGTCTTCAATATAATTTAAATATTATCAAGGAAGTGTTCTCAAATCATCCTGATTACCTCACAAATGCACATGTACAGGTACTTGGCAACCTACTCGAGAAATCTCCTGAGAAAATGTTGAAACTTTTTTCATTTTATGGGAAAAACTTTTCAAAATTCAGTAATCCATGGGTAATATTAGATATATTACTTACTAAGCAGCAGTATGTCGTAAATACAGAATACGGAGCCGATTTAGTTCGAATTTTATTTTATTTGATGCAAAACTATCAACAATACTCTGCCCAAAGAGGTTCCCACTCAAGAGCGACATTCATTAGTTGCTTAGATTCATCAAACATCAAGACTTCTCAAGCTGCTTACAAAGCATTGATGAATATCGACCAAGACTTGAGTTATATCAACTTTTCGATCATCATAAAGCATTTGTACAACGAGGATCTATGGGAATACGCCATTTCTTTGATGTTGAGGTCGAATTTACTCCCCGCAAGTTACGAATTGATCAAAATGCTGATAGAAAAGGCCAAAACATGCTCCTACGCATGGATTCTTCTGCTTAGAATAGCAAGTAACCATCAAGGAGCTGCAATTTTCGCAAATGATATCCAAATTTGGCAAAATTTGGCGAAAGAGAGTCCAATGAACGCTTTTAAGCTTTTTGTTTTGGTATTCACCAATACAAACCTAAGAACAAAGATCAGTTCTTCATCAGAATTCTCAAATATGATGAAATATTTTACTGATAGCGATAACAACCAAATTGTGTATGCAATACCATCTATAATAACAAGATCACAGATAGACATCGTTACTTTGAAGCGTTTGCAAGAAGTTGGCTTCATTTCAAAATTAATCAAATTTGCAATCGCAAGACCAACTGATGTTGACGCAAATAATACATGTATCATGATCTTGGACACATTGGCCAGAGTTGGATATTGCAAAGAATACATTGACTATTTTAAGTCATTAGTTCAGTTACTTAAGGAACCAAAGCTTTACAACAGAGTTCTGACTGTGATGGTGACTCTTTCTTTCCACTCTGAATGCGCAAAGGCTTTGATTTCCCTTGGATTAGTTCCTTATTTCACTTCTTTGAAAGAATACGAGAAATACCAAGCTTTGGCAATTTCTTTCCTTAAAAATGCCAGCCAATACACTTAATTTATTAAATTATTACATTGTTTGTTCTTTATTAAATTTATAAATCATGTAATTGTTTTTAAACATCAATGCTCTTTGAAAATTATCGATATCTTGTGGAAATCTTTACGAAAATATTAAATATTGAATTCAATAAAAAAAAATTTAAAATTTTATTAACAAAAGAAGCTCATAGACTATAAAACACCAAATAAATCCCTTGAAAATAAAGCAAATTTCAAAAATTATACTTTAAATAACCAATATCTCATTCGATATTCAATATTTAAACTGAATTTCATACAAAATTGAGTAAGTATATATTCTGTGATTCAAAATAATGATTATTATCATACTATCATTAACTATAACAAAATGATAAAAATTGTTAATTTTTATTTGGATTGATTTTCATGTAAAGAACAAATAATTTGCTAAGATAAAGTACGAAAAGATAATATTTATGGTAAATAAATCAAGATAAAATATAATTACAAAAAAATCAAATCTTTTTGACGTCAAACGAAGCACAGCGAACAAAGAAAGCATCTCCAACGAAGAACCTTCCTGTTACGTTGAGAATTGAGTTACTGTGGCAGTGCACGGCCGTTTCAAGCACTCCAGGAATAGAAATCTCTGTTTCTTCCATTCCTGCGGTCAAAACAATTCTCTTCTCTTTCGTATCGCGATCTTCAGCTGAGAATGAGAGCATCACCTTTGTATTCGTTATCTTCTTGTTGTTTGGCTTGACTTCGGCGCTGACAGTGAGAATTTTCTCAGATTCTCTTTTAATTGAGAAAGAAACATCGAAAGGAGGCTCCTGGAGCAGTGCAAATGTTGTTCTGTCGATCCTGACGTGATTCATGCTCAAATCACCTGAATTTCCGTCTTGATCTGCCCATTTAAGGTTCAACTGTTTCTGAATCTTTGTTTTCAGTACAAGCATCTTCCAAAGCCTTACTTTATCGTTTTGGTCCAACGGTTTGTTCAAATTTTTGACTAATGCTGTTTCACATTTTCTTGTGTACTCAAAATCGAGATTTTCGTATTGGAACCTCAACGCGTCTTCATCTACATCGGTGTTGATTCTATCGAGCTCAACTAAGTAAGTTCCGTAACTTAATGCAGCGACAATAACGTTGTGATCGGAACCAGTGACTTCTATTGGGATTTCGAAGGGGTTCCTGATAATGACCATGACTAAAATTGTCTTGGATGAGAAATCATCGTGCCCTTCCACAGGGACAACGTGTAATCTGTCGATGTGAGGTCCTTCAGCGACAGTTAGGTCTTGGTAGTACTCGAAACGCCTCGCGAACCTATCAGAACCGTATTCCAAGGCAAATGAAAGGTTTTTGACAGAGTTATCGTTGATCATTACGAGATTGAAATTAAATGATTGGCCGGGCTGAAGAGATTCTGGCATCGGAGGGACAATCTTGGGTGGGTAATCAATAGGCAATGAGTCGTATGTCAAAAGAGGCGGTGGCGGAGGGAATTTGACATCTTTTAATTTAATTTCGACGTCAGAAGTATTAATTAACTCGAATGGGACCTTGGAAAGAAGGTTCTCGTAAAATACTGGCTGTAATCTGAATGGTAATTTGATGTTTAACATTGGCATTTTCTCAATAACCTTGAAAACAATAGGAGTTTCAAGAGTTTGTACGACGGTGAGGTTTCCCGATACGAACTTGAATCCTGTGACCTTCATTTCGCCTTCCTGGATGGCAGAAAGAGACAATTGAATCGTTTGATTTCTTTTTGGAGCCAAAGCAGCAATCGCTGGGGTGCAGATCGCATTTGTAGCCTCAAGGAAACAGAAATCAATGACGAAAACAATCTGTAATGGGTTGTAAAGCTTCAATGTGAAAGTTAATTGTTCTCCAACAGCGCAAATGTAATCTTTCTTAGTATTTTTCTTATCTAATGCATTGTACAAGAAGATGGAGTTGCTCCTGGTCATCTTTGCTTCGTAAATCGGAGATAATGGTTCTTGAAATTCGAGTTCTCCTTCTTTATGGAACAAAGTATTGGCATTGATGGTAATAGGAGAAGGAATACGTGATAATAATTCAGCTTGTTTGCTTCCATCTTCGACTTTGTAAAGATTTTCTAATAAATACTGCATAACAGGGATTTGGATATCTCTTTGGATGGGGACATCAGATGTAAAGATCTGTGTAGCGAATGATATACGCTGCATGTGCCAATTTGAGTCGTGAATCAAAGATTCTGCCAAAGGCTTCAAAATCAATGGATTTGATGTAGGTTTTCTGTTGTAATATAAATAGGCGTTGTATGTAAATGTACGTTCGTGGCCGCATTGGCGGAGAAGAAGTAAAGCGAGAATTTGGTATCTGTTGTATTCATCTGACGAAGAAGATTTGCTGTTATTCAAGACATATAAAAGAAGATCACGTTGGGATGACTTAGGAACACGTGGAACTAAACGAAGAATCAATCTGATAATAAATGCATTATTTTTGCTTCGAAGAGCGTAATTTAAGGCGGTGATAAGCCCACCTGGCCATTCTGAGAAGTCAATATTCGAGAATGCCGCAGGAATCGAGTTATCATATAAAGATTTGTCGATATTAAATGATAATCTTTGATTTTTGGACTGTTCAAAAACCTCAGCTAATGCAATGTAGTCTGATTTGTTTTTGAGTGCCTCTTCGTAGTATTGAGAAGCAATATAATATCTGCCAATTAAGAAATAAATCGATGCCAATTTAACAAGCGAAGCAGGTGTTTCGTTTTTAAGAGCTGGTTCCTGCAAAATGGGATTTGGGCCTTTAAAGTACTGCCAAAGGCAAAAGTAAAATGCTTGTCGAATACTTTCTTTAAGAGTTGCGTTATCTACGTTACCAATTATTTGCCTTCCTGGAAATTGTTCTGCAACGGGGTATTCTTTTGTTGTAAATGCAAATAAGAAAGGAATACAATTTGGATTTGTTGTTTGAACTGTTTTAATGAAGTTATCAGAATACAATTTGATATCATCGGGTGATTCTGCCATGGCAATGCCAAGTGCAAAATCATATGAGAGATGTGGAAGATTTTCTTCTGTCAATCCAATCAAAAACTCGAGAGATTCGGTGTTTTCGCATACTTGAATGGAACATTTTGCACGACCATTCATGTCTTGATATACACTATCGATTGAAAGCACATCTAAATCTAAGTCATTTAAAATTTCGTCGCAGATTTGCTTAATATTATAAAAAGCATCTGGAACTTTCAAACCAACCGGCGTGATGATAGCTCGGAACTTTCCAGAGTGTCCAAGAAAAGCGCACGGAAGGTCATAGATTTTCATTTTACGACTTTTGGCATCATAAACTAAAATTTTCATCATATATCACTACTATTTATACGGTTGTTTTAAAATGCTAATTATTTGTATTTAGAAGTTCAATAACTTTTTTTATCGAATTTTTGATATCAACGAGGAAATAACATAAAAAGGAGCTAAGCAACAGAAAACTATTCTAGACTTACTATTCCTTTTGCCTTAATCATGAAATGTTTTATAAATGTTTTTTGAAAAAAAGGTTGTAAATTTTTTTTGATCAACTTCTATTTTTACTGATGCAATGTATATAAAATTAGGTTTAATCATAGAAGCAATTTACTCCTTGCCAGCCTTCTTTGGACGGATAGACTTGCAGTGGCCGCATTGTTTATGGCGGCATTGCTGAGCACGCTCAGAGAGACGAGCATAGCACTTGCGGCAGACAGAACGCTTAACGTTTGTCTTTTCGGCAAGAATACGGAGGGATGGTTCATAAGCTTCCTTGCCACCACCACGAAGACGAAGAACGAGGTGGAGTGTAGAATCCTTCTGGATGGAGTAATCTTGGAGTGTGTTGCCATCTTCGAGCTGCTTGCCGGCAAAAATGAGACGCTGCTGATCCGGTGGGATACCTTCCTTATCCTGAATCTTGGCCTTAACATCCTCAATACGGTCTGTTGGCTCAACTTCGAGGGTGATGTGCTTGCCAGTAAGGGTCTTGACGAAGATCTGCATAGCAAAAAGGACGGACCGACCAGACCCCTCAATTTTTTTGTAAATTTTTCATTCCATATTCGTGTTTTTAGCGTATTGGAATCTATTTGATATGAACATTAAATGTCATGCTTTAAAATCCCGAAATTTCATGAGTAGGTGACAAAAGTGCATACTCTTAAACAACCATCGGATTTCCGGGTGAAATCGTGACACACTTTCGTCTTTCGTAGGCAGTGGTGGTTGTTACAAAAGGTAACTTCGAATGTAGCGTGAAATCTGCAAAAAAAATTCTGAAATTTGAATGGAGAACACAAAAATTGAATAGTTTACGTCAATAAAAAGAGAAAAATGAAGCCTATGTGTCTCGAACCTAGGACTTAGAGCAGCAATCCCACTGTTTATCCCATTACACTACATGCATCTCTCACCTCAGTGAATGAGATCAACTATATGATAACTTTTCCCTATTATATTCTTGTGGAAAAGTGACAAATAGCAACTTTGACCCTCTCTCGAAATTTCATGAAATTAAATTTCCTTGGAAAATCATTTTGCAATTTCCATAATTTAACTATTGAAGTGGAATATCTACTTAGCAGATATCCTGTTTAGAATATTATTTTCTCTATTAGCGATTATCTAATTTGAGTCCTATTAATCCCTGGAGAAGACATAAATAATACATCAAACTCATGTGAGATAAAACCTTTCTTAGGATGATTCAGTATTCATGCATAATGATAGCGATATTACAACATAATTATTACATTTTGCAGCATATCCTCGTCATGTTTATGCATTACACGAGGATACACGATTTAATCTTAGCTGTTTCCATCTTTCAAAAGGAGATCCGAGGATTATCAGATCAACTTTCCTTAAAATTAGGTAATCAGTAAAGAATCAATATTCTTGCATACAAGATAGACAATTTCAGTTTGTTTGAGTCTCAAATAAGTTAATCTTTGATTGAGCGTATATTGTGATCGCTATATACCCAATACAGTAGTATTTTAATCAGAAACATTCATAGATCACATCTTGATATGAACAACGTCCTAAAAAACAATAGGATGATAAAATAGAGACTATTCGGATTTCATTTTAAGAGTACTTCACTGATGACTAATACTTGATATATCCATTATACGAATCATTTACTCACGTGTGAAATATTTGTCATTCATTTGTTTTATTTTGAAAGAATTTTGACAATCTACCATTGCAAAAAAAGCAAAAAATATTTTTTTTCTCAAATAAACAATGGATGTTAAAAATCTTGAAAAACAGTTTCAGGATTTGCGTCCATTGATGTTTCCTGGAATCTTTGACAAGCTGAATCAAGCTGATGATAAATGCGACAAACTTTCGAAACAAATTTTGATTACAATGCGCTCAAATCACTATAACTTGTTTGCTGATGTCTTATATGAACACCACAAGCAAGGTCCAAAAGCAGAAGCGATATTAGAGAGTGGATATCAAGAACCTAATGATATCCTTCGTATTTATGAGCCTCTTGAGGTTCAATCCATCACCATGCTTCTCAAATATACATTATCAGATCCACCACGCTTCGTAAATGCATTACTTCAGCATTCTAAGCGTCCAGAATTTTATCAGTTGGCAATTTTAACAGTGCCTGCTGTATTTTCATTCTATAGCACAAAAGAAACTATGGGATTCGCATTCAACTTTTTAATGGAGCTTTCACGAACAAAAAACTTCGATTTATTTACAATTTTCATTTCTCCAATATTAAATTCGACAGCATGTAGTGTCTTCATCAATTTACTATTCAAAAAGATCTTCTGGGCTAATTTTGACTCAGATATAAAAGAAAAAGAGATATCACAACTTTTACTCAATGAAGCCATTCCATTATTCAAATTTTTACCTGAAACAGTTGTCGTCCTACTCAGAATGCTTCTATTACAGTGGGGAGAAGTCGAAATTTGGAAAATTTTAGCCAGAACATTTCTATTTCCTCAACTTTTACTCCAAGTATCAGCTAAACCATTCAATCATGTCATTTTAGATAAAATAAATACACTCAAAGTCAAATCATACCTTTATTCCATTGGCAAAAAGAAATGTTTACTAAATATCCCACATTTAGAGTTCGGATCATCATATAAAGAAATTCCAGAGACATTCATCCCATACCAGCACAGTTTCGCTCTTGATCTCATTCTTACCGTTTCAGATATCAAAAATTTGATTTCAATTTCAGGAGAAATTCCACATCACACCAAGAGATTACAAGGGATATTAGATAGTACAGCACATCCACCCTTAGCTCCCTTCTATATTCACTTCTTCCCTAAAATGCTCGTTCCTCCACCGATGGGGCTCCGAAATCTCTTTACATTTCCGAAATACGTGAACTCAGACATCCAACAGCAATCGTCCATGGCCCAGCTTTGGTCTACATTCGAAACAGCTACTGTTTCGACGAGATCTAATCCATTTGACCTTCTAAAACAGTCTCCTATCCATACCGGTGAGTACAACCTTGATCTACAGCTCAACCATTCCGTGAATCTCGAGGAATTTTATCACTTTGGCCTTGACAAAACCGTCAAAGATTTATGTTTGACTGCAGAGACGTTGGAGAAGCTTCTAGAGCATTCCATGGACTCCTCGACACTGAATAATTGGCTGATTGAGTGCAGGAACTACGAAAACATCAATGCAATGCAATCTGCCACTTCAATAATTTCGAGATTGAATTTCAAGCTCGATCATATCCAATCGAACTTATGGGATTACGTATCCGAATATGGCTGCGGATCTCGTAGTATTTCCTATTGGCTTGCAGTTCTTTTCTTGGAAAAAATCGAATTAAATTTCTTGATGAAGTACAAGAAGGAAGTTGTTGAATTGCAACAATTATACCGAAATTACTTGATCCTGAAGAATGCCAAAATTAATTCGGCGCCATCTTTCAAAAATTCCAGATTAAAGAGCGCAATGTGGGAAGCAAGTGGTTCATTGCAGTTTGCCAACCACCAATCAAAGCTTTCCAAGCGCTACATCATCCTTAACTCTTATATCGAACAGGTTGAACTGATTATTGCTGCAGAAGGCATCGATAACTCACTCGAGAAGACAGCACAGATCTTGGAATTCTCATTTTCGGAATGCAAACAGGTTTGGATCCTCGAAACAATTTTAATCCTCAGTTGCGGACTTTTCAACAATGAAAACTTCGCTCTTTACGCTCCTCCTCAACTTATTGATAGATGGAGGAAGTTTGCAGCTGCATTTATTAGATTTTTGTCAAATGATATTAATATTATCACAAAATATAACGATTTCTTAACAAATACAATTTGATGTTAATATTGCGTTTATTCTATTTTCTGTAAAAATATTATTTCTTTAAATTATTTTTTTATTTATTATTTTTGTTACTTCTAATTTAACACTATGACTACATGAGGCCATGTCTGGCGATAAACACTCATTTTTGGCCTTATTTTGTATTAATATTTTTTTCTAAAACTAATATATTGAATTTTACTTGGGTATTTAAAAATAGCATACACCAATACATAAAATCACGAATTGCTTATCTTATTCTCATGATTTTTAAAAACTTATCTTCAAAAATCTATTGTATATGCATTATATGGATGGGAGCATTACAAACATTACATCTGATAAACAAATTCTACAGGGAACTATGAGATAGCATTGAATTTACCAATAATTTGTTGTGCATGAAAATTCGGTTCACTTCACTTCTGACAAAAGTGACAAGTTTACATGGCAAAAATAGTTTACATGGCAAAAATATATAGGGTATTTTTTTTTAAAAGTAGTTATCTTTATATATAAAAATAAAACTTTTGATATATTTGAGTAAATGATTTATTAATTTATTTATTTATTTTTTTTAAATCAAATCATATAAATATATATATATATAATAGTGAAATAGAACAAGAGATAATTATTGATGATTAAATTGTAGACGAGGATAAAAGTTTAGATAAATTAATAAAATTAGTGTGGAATCAGACAAATTTCGGGTTGTTTGGAAAGGAATTGTTGGCTATGATGTACTGATTCATGATCAGTACATCATAGCCAACAATTCCTTATACAAAGTTCAAAAACTTGGGTGCAATCAGTTCTGATTGCACCCAAGTTTTTGAACTTTCTCGAGGGAATGGAAGGGTAAGAGGTATATATTCATAATGTATACCTCTTACCCTTCCATTCCTTCGCAAACAGCGGGAAACTTTGTCTGGATGTTAAACTATTCAGACAAAGTTTCCCGCTGTTTGGGAAGGAATTGTTGGCTATGATGTACTGATTCATGATCAGTACATCATAGCCAACAATTCCTTATACAAAGTTCAAAAAACTTGGGTGCAATCAAACTGATTGCACCAAGTTTTTGAACTTTCCATTAACAATTGTTCAATCACATTTATACAACCCAAATCTATACCAATCATACTCTTATTCATACATCATATTTTAAAAACTTTTTTGCAATATGATATATGTAAAGTGTCAAAAATGAATTGAACCGAATTTTCATGCATTACAGAATTTACCAATAATTGATTTTTTGATGTAAATTTCACCAAATTTGTTGCGAATAGGGAAGACAAATACATAAGGACTAGTGTGATGCAAATTTACATCACTTTTCGATTTTTTCACACAGGATATTTGTGAGAATTCATGTTTCAACTTTTGAGAGAAAATAAGGTATTTTTATTTTGCTAGAGATATTTGTTAAGACAAAGGCTATATGCATTTTTTCAAATTATCGGAAACGAAGATCAAAAATTGAAAGGATAAATTACAATAAAAACGAAGAGAACAAATGGATTGGCTTAAAACATCAGATCTAACCCAGTTTTATGTTTTTAATTGTTTACCATCTCGAGGTTAATTTTTTTTGATCAAAAATTGATTGGGAAATTTTTAATTCAAATTTCCTTAGTAACGATTTTTTGACTAAAATTTCTGCTTTTATGAGCAAACCTTTATAATTACCTATGAAAATACATATTTCCACATAAAGTGAAATGAATCCAAAATCAAAACTTGCCAAAATTTATTCAAAATAAAATGACTTCATTTTTTGATATGGAGCAAGAGAAAAGCGTCCAACCGAACGACGATGTCGCTCAAACACCTCCAGAGCCAGAGCCAAAGAAGGAATCTCCAGAAAACTCAGAGAAGGAAGAGATTTCTGAGAAGGCCGAAGATGCAGAAGAGAAACCACAAGAACCAATCATGGTAGATGCATCCGAGTACGAAGCCTTCAAGAAATGGCAAGAGAAGAAGAATGCCAAGGAATCCAAGAAGGATAAGAAAGAAAAGAAGGACAAGAAGGAGAAGAAAGAAAAGAAGGATAAGAAGGATAAGAAGGACAAGAAAGACAAAGAAGACAAGAAGGATAAGGAAGAGAAGGAAGGAAAGAAGGATAAGAAGTGCAAGAAAGAGAAGAAGGATAAGGAAGAAAAAGAATGCAAGAAAGACAAGAAGTGCAAGAAGGACAAGAAATGCAAGAAGCACCACAAGTCTGATTACTCCTCCGACTCATCCTCTTCTTCCTCATCATCCTCATCATCGTCATCTTCCTCTTCTTCATCATCCAGCTCATCCGATGACGAATTCTCACGCAGAGAACACCGCCGCTTCAACAGATTTGGCTTCCCATTCCCATTCCACCCACCATTTGGAAGACATTTCCACAGAGAACATATGTGCCCACCACCATTCTTTGGTGACTTCGGCGGACCATGGGACACATGCCTCCTCCACCACCACCACCTCCTTGCGGCAAGCACCATCATCACCATCATCATCACGGCCCACCAGGCTGGATGAGATGCCCACCACCACCACCGCCATTTGCCCCTGAATTCGCACCACGTCCAATGTGGCCACACCATCATGAGTGCCCACCTCCACCACCACCATGTGGCGAATTCCCACCACCACCGCCATGCTTCGGCCGCCGCCATTGCCATCGCCACTGCCACAAGAAGTGCTGCTTCCCACCTCCACCACCATGCTTCGATGAGAAGCCACACTCTGATGGCGAACAGTGCCACGGACCATGCTGCCCACCTCCACCACCTCCTCCACGCGATGGTTGCCCAGGACCAGAGCACAAGCCATGCCATGATGGACCAGCTCCACCACCACCATTTGGCGGATGCCACGGACCTCATCACAAGCGTTGCTGCGGCTTCCCAATGCCACCTCCTCCATGCCCATGGAAGAAGCACGGCAAGCGCTCATCATCGTCTTCTTCTTCGTCTTCATCATCTTCGTCCTCGTCCTCATCATCTTCATCATCATCGTCCTCATCGTCTTCCTCTTCTTATTCATCATCATCTTTAAGCGAAAGCGACGATCCAAGGCGTCATCGTGGCAAACGCGGTCGCTGCCCATTCATGCGGGTCTGGCGCCGTCATCATGGATGCAGAAAACCATACTTCTGGTAAAGCATCCCTAATTTTCCCCGAGTAAAAAATTAATTTTAATTTTTCTCATTTAGACAATACTCTATTTAACCAAGCATTTTATTGATTTATGAGAACAAAAATAATTTATCGAATTCAAAAATCAATTAAGGTATACCGATTAATGCGGGAAATATTAAGAATTTATTCATTGGATCATGCCTAATCATATATTTACTGATTTATCCTAATAATGTGTTTTATGAAAAGAAAAAAAAAGAAAAATTTATGCACTGCCCGGGAATCGAACCCGGATCAAAAGCTTGGAAGGCTCTCATGATAACCACTACACTAGCAGTGCTTTACATACATTTGTTTAACGAGACAATTTAAAATATTTTATAAAGAGTATAGAACTTACTTGAAGATTTGTTTCTCTGGTTCATGAATATGATTTGCTAACAGTTGGAGGGTTTATTGAATTATTCAGTCATTTAATGACGATCGATACAATAATATACTCTTTCGCATGAATATCTTTGATAAAAACTATCATATATTAATACAGAAATAATAAACAGTTTATTGAACAAGCAGATTGGAATATATATCTGCATTCTCATCGGTATTACACGTTTCGATGATTGTGTCGTAATTGGCCTGTTTAAGAACAGGCTCTGCAGAAGGAGCGTCATAAGCTTCCTTCTTATCTGTTGTCAGATGGATTTCTACCTGACAAATTGTTTGAGCAAAATTATTTCCTTGAGCAACCATTGGAAGGAAGTTATTTGTAACCTTATCGAATGGAAGCTGGAATGTTGGAATATCAACTCTTGCGTACAGGACGTTTCTCATCATTGTCTTCTTATAGAGCAAAATTGAGAAGTTATGTCCTCTAAGGTCACGAATGTTGATATGGAATCTCTTGGACATATTGTTTCCTTCTGAGCATGTGAAGATATGTTTCAAACTTTCAAAGTGAGAGATGTTGTTGTGAACAATGAAGAAGAACTTATCTGATGGTTTGTTCTTTCCTCCATAGAAGGTGAAACCACGGATGGTGAAGTATACAGTAGTCATAATGATTTTTCATCCTCTCAAAAAATTGTGAACTTTGCACTTTTATCGTAAATTACGAAAATTGACCGTTTTGCTCCACTCATAATTATAAAGAGATGATTACTTTTCATAAAAAGTCAAACCGAAATCTCCCATCTTCTGAATTTTTTGAGCAAAAATTTTATAGATCATAAATTATTAATTATATAAATATAAGTATTTTTTAAATGGATCAACATAAAATAAAAAAGTGACAACTATAATCGGGCAAAAAATTTCCTTTCATGTTTGACAAGCAATATATTAATTAAAATTTTGACATTCATAAAACCAAGATTGTGAACCTTATCAAAAAATTACTTTTTTTCTCAAATATTTTACATAAAGTACTCACAAAATCTAGATTGAGAGGCGGTCAATGACTTTTGAGGGGAAATCAACGCATGGAATTTAATATTATTTAGGTTGATATTCTTGCTTATTATTTCAGAAAAAAATCTTAAAAATTTCAATATGAAAATTGAAAGCAATTCAAAAAAATTGCTAACATGTAAATTTTAATATCCTATGCATAATTTCATATTTTGAACATTTTTTATTTTTGTTTAAAACTTAAAATTTTGCGAATTTAATATAATTTATAAAATATGATACGTATATATATTTAAAATACACTAAATTTAATTCTTAATTTACGTTTTTGGGAATGAATTTTATCAAAACATGCCTGAATCCGAAAATTTGAAAGAACGAATTACACAATCATATATGTAGAATTCAAAATACAAACTTAAAGATTGTATACGTTTCAAATTATTCAGATTGTGTTTGATTTCCACTCATTCTGTTTCTTTTGAACTCTAACACTAACATTTCATGATGATTACATGATCCATTTATACATGGTTGAATTGTTCCAGATTCTACCAGAAAATCAATCCAAATTTCTCAATGCATTCATGTTGATTGGACAAAATTTAAAATTTATCAGCCTGTTTCCAGAGAAACTCATATATTCCCTAATGTAATGTAATTTTTGCTACATTTATTTCAATCAAATTTCAAAAAATTGACTGCAGAGCTTGAAAAGGTGATGAATCATGTTGTTATTAGATGTACATATTAGATTTACTATTTCCAAAAAAATGCTCAAATTTGAATAGTTTTTAGAAAATTTGGAATTACACTCCTTACATTATATATAATTAAATGTTTAAATTTTATTTATTTTTCCCTTTTAATTTTATAACGTGCTCTATCAAAACTAACCTCTCAATTGAAGGCCACAAAATCTAAGTAGTGAGGGTACACAAATTTTGTATGGAGTACGGTTCAATTTTTGAGAGTCTCAATACTTAGATTTTGTGACTACCTTATATTTATCTTCACTGTTCAAACTCGTGATTCCAGAGCCAATTTTAAAGTTTCAGCTTCACTCACGTTAGGATTTCTCAAAATTTGAAAGTGAAAAATTTTAGCATATACAGTTGTATATTTTATCAACTTTATGAATCAGATTTAATTTTTGCTAATAACAAACCAATCCACTGATATTTTCATCCTCAGATTCTATGGTTGGCGGATAAATTTTTTTCTGAAGCCATAAAATCTTTGTTTCAAAAATATGCCTCCACTCCTGACCTGATTTTCCACAACAAAGCATAATATTGTGACAGGGTAATAAGAAAAATAGTTAAAAAATATTGCATTAAAATATTGATATTGAGTCGATTCAAATAAAATTCGGCGTAAAAAAATTAATCGCCATGTAAACATTTTTAATATACGCATTACCAATAAAATGGTAGGAAAATAATAATTAAAAAAAGTATAACTGTTTATTTATTCATAAATTACACATAAAGGACAATTCGAACTATTTTTAAGATCATATGTCAGCTCATTGCATTATCTTAGTCACAAAATCTTTGCTTTGCAATGAGTTGACAAGTTTTTATCATTAGATTTCAAAGATTCGAAAAATTTACACATGAAGTATTATTGTGGTCCTTATATAAATAGAATCTAATAAAATAGTTTACTCAAGCTTTTATGCACTCGCTATAAATTCGTGACTCAAAATTAGATATTTTTCAAGTTCAAAATCTAATCATTAAGCAGAAATAAGCAAAATTCAACAATCACATGCACAATCAAAGAATTAAGTTAGCCGGAAACAGATTCTATTAAGGGTATAGTCCACTAAAAATTTTTAAGTTTTGACAATGAAAATAAGCTCTGTGACCATGTAAATATATATCTATGCAAAACGAGAGGTTATGCCATAATTTTTTTAGTTATCAAATTTTCCTTTTTTTGAGAGAAGTCTCTCAATAATTTGAGAAGAATCTTTGATATAAAGAGATACACATTTGTAGAACGAAGTAAGTGTTTTCCAAACATTTTATATGTTCATCCTGTATAACAATATAAAGCTGCATAGTGCCATCTTGTGCGTTTGCTATTTTATGTACTTTTCATTGAGATAATCCCTCTTCTCGGGTGATTTTAACAGTCAACTCAATTTTAAAATAAAGATTTCATCAAAATGATTTCGAAATTCGGATATAAAAAAAAAAAAAAAAAAAAAAAAAAGGTAGTGGGGCTTCCAGGCACTTCGTGCCCTCTAGCCCCGAAGATGTTTAGTATAAATGAAGTTTTTATTCGGAAAATTGTTAGTCTTCTGGTGTGAATTCGGAGGACTCTTCTTCTTCCTCCTCCTCCTCTTCCTCTTCTTCGTCATCGTCGGCGTAGTGGAGGAGGACGTAGTTCATCCAAATTCTGTATGGACGTCCTGATTTGGATTTAAATGAGATGGACATATTTTGTGTGAGTGTTATTTCAGTTTCGATAAAGAGTTGGTGTGCTGGTTTGAATATATGTTCGACGTTGGAGAATTTGTGCAACTCATCTTCTCCCAATTCTGTATTGATACAGACTTCGATGAAGTCACCACTGAGAATGTCTTCACCTGTGGGCATATCCACAACAATTAAATGAACGACACAATAGTTGTGAAATTCATTAGTAGGAAATACTGTTGCAGGCGTATTATATGAGGGGAAAAATGTTTTTTCTTCCCCAAATTCATCTGCTACTTCATCTTCATCGTATCCGTTGTTAAAAGCTTTAAATTCATGTACAATTTGAGCAAATTGTTGACGGAGATTTGGTGGCATACGTAAGCAAGCTTGTAACAATGTCCTACCTTCCACACACTCAGCAAATATGGGAAGGTAGGAACATATAATGTCCGTCAATTGGTCCTGGTTGGGGACCAATTGACAGAGTTTTGTGTATGCCGTTATTGTTTCTTTAACGGTATTTGTGTAGATACGGTTATATGGAGTATTTCCCTGGTTGTTAAGGGAAAAATACTCATCCGATTGTAATTTCAATCTTGACCTCAACTCTTTGTTCGGTATTCTTTGGTCTATTCTTAGAGCTGTATTTGTTCGTGCGGGCTGTGGTTTTAAAACATTCGAGTCAAGTTTTAATTGCTTCGAATTGGATGTCGATTTGAATTGGGAGTCTTTTGAGTTCTCCTGAGCTTGGTTCTGTATTAAAGACTGAATAGCAGTGTCAGCTTCTTGTTTTTCGAGATAGTATTCTATTGAATTGGGCTTCACTGTTCGAGACGCGTACATTATGAAAAATGAACTGTTTTTTTTCGGACCACTCATAGAAAAGTTTGAGATAAACCGTTTTCGTCAACGGTAACCCCCTCTATTTTTTTATTTTATTTAATAGTTACCGTTGGCAAACCGTTCCATCTCAAATATTGAATGAACTATAAACGTTTTTTGTTTTCTATACATACTTTTTTGTCCAACGGTAAAACTTTTTACACAACGGTTTTTGAGAGTCGTCGCCGTTGACTTTTTTGTAGAGCACTCAAAATAGTATAACTTTGTCTGGACAAGTAAGGGTCTATCGTCGCTACAGAAAAGTTACAGGCGTTCCAAGGAAGTATACTTTGAGAAGCCTTTCCCTTAAAAGAATGATAGGACGGTTATTTTACAAAACTGACAACACTTTGACCGAGTAGTTTTTTGAGCTGAACAAATAGTGTCATATAAACATCTGTCAAAAGCCGCTTTTTAACTTCACTTAAAATGCCACGTAAGCTACGTAAGAATATACGTAAGAGGAAGGGAGCATTGAAACATCCAAAAGTAAAACTGACACCACAACAACAGTTGCAACAACAAATGATGAATGACCCCACTATGTTGCAACAAATGTCAAGCAATCCTATGCTTTTAAACCGAGTTATTGGTGCACAGAGTGGAGGTTTAAGAGCGGCACTTTTAGCGAAAATGGCAGGCTATGGTGGAGCTGCAGACGGAACAGCTATAACCCTCAAAGTCAAATGAATTTGAGTTCACTCAAAAATCAAATAACAGATGTCAAAAAGTCAAACATAGACATACAGAAGCAAATAAGTGAAAACGAAAAGAAACTAGAATATGACAGACACACAAAGAAACTCAATGAGTTAAACGTAGAGAAAAAGAAGAAAGAAGAACAACTGAAAGAACTAAGTACAGAGGAATATGCGAAAAAAGTGTCAGAAAAAGCAGCAGAAGTAGCAAAAATGGAACAAGATGTTATAAATTTGAAAAACCATACTACTCAATAAAAGTACTGAAAGATGAAGAAATAAAACAAAAAGCCCTGAAGACATATATGGATAGCGATGAGTATAAAAAAGAAGTTGAAGCAAATGTAAAGGCAGAAAAACTTTTACAGTTGCAAAACCAAACCGTACAGTATGAAAACTTAGCACAAGAAAGTAAAAATAACGACGCAGCCATGCAAAAGGCAATGAAAAGCGCAGAATATATAAAAGCTAATAATGACTGGTTAGATGCCCAAGCCAACGCTAAAGCAGCCCAACTTATAGGGTCAATAAGGACAAAAATACAAGCGGATGAAGACAGTTCAAATGAAGCTTTAACAAATGCTGACTTTAAGAACGCCTTCGAAGCTCTTCATAGTAAGGTGAAACAAGTGAACGA